TGTTTTCTGACACTTGGTGAGTTCCCTGGAACACCGGGGACACATATTCATGTATAAAAGACGTACAAAAGTGCATTTTGCATGATAGGTCCCCTTTAAGGAACTCTCCTCATCAAAAACGCTTCAAAATCAATACGGCAAATCTTCCTGCTGCAACCCTATCCACCAAAGATAATGTGATTTTTAAAGGGATATTACAATCAAAACCAGTCTGACCAAAGTAGAGGGTTCCCCAATATCTTCATCGTCACTGTACATTTATCGTCCTCTCCAACATTATGTATCTGTGAAACAAAATTGAACAAATGTGTCCACCTATCTGCAAAACATATAAAAATGTAACTTTAAGTTACTGGAATGATTCTGACTCTAGTTCTTATCCAAATGTTGACAAGACAACCATTATGAGCATTGCTAGAGGCACAAATAAACAATAATTAACCTCCACAAACCTGGAACAAAACTTAATCTTTTAAATATATATATATATAACATTTTAGCTGTAGCTTTCCTGGTCTATAAAATCCCTAATGGCTACAGAGGTTTCCACTAGGTGCAATATTATTTATTTGTAATATTTAGCAACCAAACAAAACATACCTTGAGGTGTTTGTTGAAGTGACACTGATAAAGACAATATTTTCAACGATTATAAATTAACCCTTTTGAGAAACTATATGAATAAACCTAACATAATAACATATTAACATTGCCATGTCCATGTTCTGCAGGTGTTGCCACCAACATCCTCCCCTGTAACCTTTGTTTTAACCAGCAAACATCTCTCTGTCTGTTTGATTTAGCTTGTAGTCATCACCAATTCTCATTTTTTAAGTACATAAAATGCATTACTTCTGTTTCTGACAAAACAACCATCAGATGAGGCTGGGTGAAAGTTGAGAGAGAGCAAGTTATAATAAAACCTTAAATAAAACTTGATATGGTGATCTTTGCCACCAATCTATTATAAGTAATTTGAGATAAGTTATACATTTGACCCAGTTAAGTTGATCATTTACCAGGGTTCAAAATATCTTGGTTGCAAGGTCATGTTTGGTCAGCTGGTGAGAAATTAGCTGTCTCATCTACTCCTCTCTATGAAAGTCTGCTTTTCAAATATAGCAGTTTAGATCAACTCTCACTTTTAATTTAGTTTGAACTAGTCTTTCCTTTATTACATTACATTACATGTTACTTGTTAGACGCTTTTATCCAAAGCGACGTACATACTCAATACTGTGGACAATCCCCACAGGAGCAATTTGGGGTGAAGTGTCTCAGGGACACAACGACATGCTGACTGCAGTGGGGTTTGAACCTGTGACCCCCTGATCCAAACACCAACACACAACCCACTGCACGACACGCCTCCCTTTATCTTGACCCTTGAAGTAACATAGTCACTGAGGTTATCAAAAATGTTAGTTAATAAATTGAAAGCTTCATGCAGTTTTTAGTAGAGTACAGTGTTATCATGGGCAATGCTCCAGCAACAGATCTTCTGATTGCAGAGCATAAGCTATGAGAGAAAAACAATGGTTGTAACTTTTTGCTGCAGATAATATTCTACGTGGTTTGCATGTGCTTGTAACATTAGGGATGTTTTGAAACCAGAGCTTTAAAAGCAATCTGAACAAAAATCAAATACATAAAACATTTTAACATGGCTTGTAAAAAAAGGAGCTTTAAGGATGAGGCTGGGTGAAGGGTGACAGAGAACAAAGGTACAACTTTGTAGAAAACTTTTATGATGATCTTTGCCACCAATCTATAAATTGGATAGAGTCCTGTGACGTTTATTGAATCCAATAAAGTTAATTGTTTTTTTACAATACAGTTTTTGAAATCTAGGTAAATCATACATCTGAGTTTGTCCATGAGTCTGTGTCCTAGTTTCAGTGAAACCCTTGTGGCATTCTCTAATTCAAAACATTTGCAAAATACCTGCCAGAAATGTCAGCCGCAAGTAGTGTGTATGCCTGCTCTTTATGAAAAGTGAGGTGAGATAACTTCTATGAGCAAATACTTAAACGTTTGCAATGTAATCAGTGTTCTGCTGATCATGTAATCATTAAAGAAAATATTGTATAACTATAATATTTCCTTCTTTCTCCATTCAAAATGCTTGTGTACTGTGAGTCTGAGTCGTTCACAATGAGAGTGCATGAATACTGTTTTGACCAGTAGAATAATGTCAGCACAGACAATCATTAATGCAGGCCCCCACTCACCCCTCCACCCAACCCAACACTGTGTCCATGGGTCATTGGTATTTAGCCAAAATGTAATCTCACTTGTCCTATCAACCTCTGTACAGGCCAAGCCAATCCCTCCATGATCACATGAAATCTGAGGGAGCAAAAGTGCAAATCAATCTTGTTAATATCAAACAGAACAAATAGACTGTTCTCAAAGGTCCTAATAAGATCAAAGGAGCAGCTATTAAAATAAATCTCTCCTCCTCACTCAGCCAGAGCCAGCTGCATTCACTGTAAGGAATGCGTGGAAAGGGTAGGACCCAAATGCAGACTGCAAAACAAAGTAACAAGGTCTAGAAACAAAAACGAGCTTTAATCCAAAAGCTGAACAATAGCATGGCATGAAACACATAGGTTCTACAGAAACAAACAATGAACCGACAAGGCACACAGGGGAAGACAAGACTAAATACAGAGAGGGGTAATCACAAGACGAGACACAGCTGGGGTAAGGGAGGCAGAAAACACAAGGGCAACAGGTGAACACAATCAAACACACCAGGGAAACTAAGACAGGAAGGCAAACACAGAAGACACAAGGAGGAAAACATTTCAAAACAAAACAGGAAACCAGAGACAGAAAAAGACAAGACAAAACACAACACAGACAGATCGTGACATAACCCCCCCCGGGGGGACAGCTCCGGAGGCCGAGCAGGACCCAGTATCGGCCGGACAGGAACCGGAACCGACGGGACAGGCGTAGACGGGGTCCTGAACATGACGTGGGCTGGTGTCAATGGGACCCCGGATGGAGCAAGGGCTGGTGTCGACTGGACCCCCAACGGAACAGGACACAGAGTTGGCAGGACCCCCGGTAGAACAGGTGTCGGCGGGACCTCCAACAGGACAGGACACAGAGTTGGCAGGACCCCTGGCAGGACAGGTGTCGGCGGGACCCCCAACAGGACAGGACATGGAGTTGGCAAGACCCCCGGCAGGAGAGTAGTCGGCGGGACCTCCAACATCACAGGACATAGGGTTGGCAGGACCCCCGGCAGGAGAGTAGTCGGCGGGACCTCCAACATCACAGGACATAGGGTTGGCAGGACCCCCGGCAGGAGAGTAGTCAGCGGGACCTCCAACATCACAGGACATAGGGTTGGCAGGACCCCCGGCAGAAGAGTAGTCGGCGGGACCTCCAACATCACAGGACATAGGGTTGGCAGGACCCCCGGCAGAAGAGTAGTCGGCGGGACCTCCAACATCACAGGACATAGGGTTGGCAGGACCCCCGGCAGAAGAGTAGTCGGCGGGACCTCCAACGGCACAGGACATAGGGTTGGCAGGACCCCCGGCAGAAGAGTAGTCGGCGGGACCTCCAACGGTACAGGAAATGGGGTAGGCGTCGGCCGTAGAGCCAACAGGACACGGGGGGCTGGCGTCGGCCGTAGAGCCAACAGGACACGGGGGGCTGGCGTCGGCCGGAGAGCCAACAGGAGACGAGGTGCTGGAGTCGGCCGGACCACCGACAGGACACGAGGGGCTGGAGTGGGCCGAACCACTGACAAAACACGGGGGGCTGGCGTCGGCCGTAGAGCCAACAGGACACGAGGTGCTGGAGTCGGCCGGACCACCGACAGGACACGAGGTGCTGGAGTCGGCCGGACCACCGACAGGACACGAGGGGCTGGAGTGGGCCGAACCACTGACAAAACATGGGGGGCTGGCGTCGGCCGTAGAGCCAACAGGACACGAGGTGCTGGAGTCGGCCGGACCACCGACAGGACACGAGGTGCTGGAGTCGGCCGGACCACCGACAGGACACGAGGTGCTGGAGTCGGCCGGACCACCGACAGGACACGAGGGGCTGGAGTGGGCCGGACCACTGACAAAACACGGGGGGCTGGCGTCGGCCGGGGAGCCAGTACTGGAGCCGGAACCATGGCTGCTGGGGCCAGAACTGGGGCTGGAACCATGGCTTCTGGGACCAGACCTGGAGCTGAAACCATGGCTGCTGGGGCACGGGCTGGAATCCTGGCCCTGCGTCTCTTAGAGGCCTTTTGGAGACGCTGTGGACCTCCAACATCACAGTAGTCGGATCCCAGGAAAGGGTTAGAGGCTTGAGAAAAGCTTCCAGGAACACATGTAAAATGTTGTAGCCACTCAGGCAACAAACCCCTGAGCCCGGGCTTGCGAGCAAACTCCTGGCGTGCCTCCTTCAAAGCCGCCACTCTACCCCGTATAGATCTGGCGTCATACCAGGTATAAAAGATGTACTCCAGAGAGCACCCAAGACGGTCCGCCTGTAGCAACATAAAATCAGAGTCTGCTGAGTCCAATTCTGGTCGGTTCATTCTGTAAGGAATGCGTGGAAAGGGTAGGACCCAAATGCAGACTACAAAACGAAGTAACAAGGTCTAGAAACAAAAACGAGCTTTAATCCAAAAGCTGAACAATAGCATGGCATGAAACACATAGGTTCTACAGAAACAAACAATGAACCGACCAGGCACACAGGGGAAGACAAGACTATATACAGAGAGGGGTAATCACAAGACGAGACACAGCTGGGGTAAGGGAGGCAGAAACACAAGGGCAACAGGTGAACACAATCAAACAATCAGACACACCAGGGAAACTAAGACAGGAAGGCAAACACAGAAGACACAAGGAGGAAAACATTTCAAAACAAAACAGGAAACCAGAGACAGAAAAAGACAAGACAAAACACAACACAGACAGATCGTGACATTCACACAGCAAACAAGTTAGAGTACTTCAGAACACTTGATTAAAGTCATGGGAATATTAGATATTTTTCTCCAGGCCTCGAGTACTAGCTCTCTTTTGGGGGCTCTGGTGGTCTTGGTGCTTGTCTACATCGTCTCCTCCTCCAGCTTCGGATCCCAGGATGAAGGAAAGGGACCTCCAGGTCCGAAACCACTTCCCCTACTAGGCAACCTGCTGCAGCTTGACCTCAAGAGACCCTACCACACATTGCTGGAGGTGAGGCATTGTCGTAAAATAAGCTTTCTTTTAGAGGAGTCCGTTTTTTCTGATTCTCACAAAGCTCTCGTCTTGTTTGCTGTATTCTGTGTGTTTTAAAAAGAAAATATAATGACATTATGTTGTTCTTTAGCTTTCCAAGAAATATGGATCAGTGTTTACCATCTATTTGGGACCCAAAAAAGTGGTGGTCCTGGCAGGATACAAGACAGTAAAGGAGGCACTTCTCAATCGAGCTGAAGAGTTTGGAGATAGAGACAAGCTGCAAATTACGCATGATTATAATCAAGGGCACGGTAATAAACGTTTTGCCACATACTTATCCTTTTCATTTCCACATCCTTTGCCTTTGATGATTTGATTCCATGACATTGTTTGCTGAACTACATTTCAGGGGTTCTATGGTCCAACGGTGATTCATGGAAAGAGATGAGGCGCTTTGCCTTGACTAACCTCAGAGACTTTGGGATGGGTAAGAGGGCTTCTGAGGACAAGATCATTGAGGAATGTGAGCACCTCATAGAAGTGTTTAAGAAATGCAAAGGTAAGTGTCTTATTATACCTAATTGTATGATAACCAACACTTGTCAAGCCAATGCATGTGATATTTATCATTTCACCATTTCCCTTTTTACAGGAGAAGCTTTTGATACAACTCAACCCATAAACTATGCGGTCTCTAATATCATCTGCTCAATTGTTTATGGCAGCAGATTTGAATATGATGATGCAGAGTTTACATCACTGGCAGATCGAACAATCAGAACTATTCAGCTTGTGGGCTCACCATCGATACAGGTCATTAAATGTTTTAAAGCTTAGACTTTCAAATGTGATTTACATAATACATCGATTGCGGCAACTTATTGAAGAAATATTGCATTTTTAACTTTCTTTTTTTCAACTATTTTCTTTAACTTGTTTCCATGGATCGGTAAATTTGTCGCTCACAGAAAGGAGATCAATATGTTGATTTCCGCCAACACAAAACAGAATCAACACCTCTTTAGTCGTTTGAAAGAGACCCTTAATCCACAGATGTGCAGAGGCTATGTGGATGGAGGTTGGGAAGCATTTCATTACTAACCCTAACATATCCACATCTCCGCTGTTGATATCTGAAAAGGGAAATTACATTTACCTGGTCACAATGTTGTTCAACACATTGAATTCTTTAACTGATTAAAATAAATTTTAAATTAACAAATGGAAGTTTTGAAATGTTATTTCCACAAGATGTAACTAAATTGCTAAATCAGCCCTTTTGATTAAAAGAAAAAAGTATTGCAATAAACTCACTCAACCATCACTACTACCTAAAAAAACAAGATCAAATTCCCTTTTATGTCACATGTCAAAGTGTGGGAACAGGTTTGTTGACTAAAAGCACCGATTCATATTTACTTGCAGGAATCTGGGGTTACGGACAGTAATTTCCACGATAAAAACCTGATGCAGACAGTTCTTAATCTCTTTGCTGCCGGGACTGACACAACAGCAACAACGCTGAGATGGGGACTTCTGTTTATGGCCAAGTATCCAAAAATACAAGGTTAGGGGCCTACATTCTTAACAAATGTCTTACAATTAACAGTCCGATCAACAATATTTTCTTTACCAACAAAAACATCATCTTCATGAAGTCAAAAACGTTTTCTTCTGCCAGGCAAAGTCAAAGAAGAGCTGAGCAGGGTGATAGGAAGTCGTCAAGCCCAGGTAGAGGACAGGAAGAGCCTGCCTTTCACTGACGCTGTCATCCATGAGACACAGCGACTGGCTAACATCGTCCCCATGGCACTTCCTCACAAAACGAGCCAAGACGTAACTTTCCAGGGTCACTTCATTAAGAAGGTTAGAATAAATGAAAAATGGTGCAATACATTTCCTTTCATCAATGATAAATAAAAACAAACCAGAGTAATGAAAATCCAATTGTATTTTGTCCACAGGGGACCACAGTATATCCTCTCTTGACATCCGTCCTGTATGATGAGAGTGAGTGGGAACACCCCCTCAGTTTTTATCCTGCTCACTTCTTGGACAAAGATGGGAAGTTCCTCAAGCGAGAGGCCTTCATGCCTTTTTCTGCAGGTTGGTGAATTTTGCCATCACTTCTTGATGTGCATTGACTTGCAGGCGAGATGATCATATTCTTTTTCAATTCTTTCTCTTTAAGGTCGCAGGGTTTGTCTTGGAGAGAGTCTGGCCAGGATGGAGCTCTTCATCTTCTTCACCAGCCTCTTGCAACACTTTCGTTTTACGCCTGCTCCAGGAGTTTCGGTGGATGAATTGGATCTTACTCCACGCACAGGCTTCACTCTCAACCCTTCACTTCATAAACTGTGTGCTGTTTCCTGTGACCAGTAGGGCTTGAAAATGCTGCTTAGTCCCACTGTCATCACTTCATATTCATTAAATTCATGAGTTCTGATTCTGATTTCTGAGTCATTCTAATGAGTTCAGCATGATATTTCATGTAGTGCAATAGGACTAAATATATACAACTTCATTAATGTCATTATCACCTTCTCACAAAAAACGTGTTGTGAATGCAAATCAGTTCAAATATATGGTGTTCTCTATATCAATTATTGTTTCTGCCTATCCTGTCATTAAAAATTAAAATTGTATTCATATTGATCTCTATCTGCCTTTTTTTGTAAATACTCGGAAATGTACTTCACCGAAGTCAACTAACTCATTGAGGTAAGTGTCTTAATAAACCAATATGTGCATGATTGGCGACAATTTGCCAATGCTTGTGATATGATATTGATTTCTCTATTTTTACAGGAGAAACTTAGCCAACGAACTATGCAGTTTTTAAGAATATATTTTTCATTTTGAATGGCAGCAGATTTGAATGATTCGTTGAATCACCGGTCGATCGAGCAGTGTAATACCTAGTATTTGTCTACGCTTCTTGCCAAAAATAACTTTTAGAAATGTGAAATCATGTTTAAACTAAGCCAAGTCAGATACTAGTTTTCACTGAATAGTACTGAACACACTATTGACATTTTGCAGGAAATTAACACATGTTTAAAGGCACTCTTCTGACTGTTTTTTTTTCATAATAAAGTATTATTGAAAAAATATATGTCTGTGTCCCGGACACGTCATATTCATCCCCAGTAAACAGGGGCGCAGCCAGCGATTTTGGGCCCCATGAAAATATATCACATTGGTTACTTAAACGTTTTTTTCTTAATGTTCTAAAATTGTTTGGGCCCCTGTCAGTCACGGGCCCTTAGAATCTCGTTATTCAAGCACCTTGAATTGCCTTGTGTTGAAAGGTGCTATATAAATAAACTTGCCTTGCCTTGCCTAGAATCGTCCTAACTTTTCACCCCCTTACGGCACCCCTGCCAGTAAATATAGGTCTCGACTCACGATGGTACCTGAGGTAGTGTAGAAATACATTTTGTCACGTTATAAGACATAACCACAATAAACATCCATAATAAAATATAAAATTGTGCAGCAAGTCACTGTCACTCATATACAAGACTCATAGATAACTGAGGTGCTTCGCTTGTTCTAGAAAACTTGTTGACACAATCCTATAAAATACAACAGACACACACGCAAACGTTTGTGCTCAATGGATGGCTGATATTTTGTCTAAATTGCTATTGTTTTTATGAAAATCAAGCAAAAAGTTACCAGCAGGAAAAGGCACACGTTTGTATTGTTGTGTAGAGGCAAAATTAAACTTTTAATTTTAACAACGTACGTACTTGGTTTTGTAAAGAAATGATCAATAGAGATAAGAATGAGTGAAAGATAAAAGAGAACAACATAACAACTTCATATGAAACTTTTTATCAAGATGATCTTTAACACCATTTTATGTTAAGTCATTTGATGTATATGATCCAGTAACATTAATCATTTCAAGAGTTTTCTAAATCAGGGTTAATGTTACATCTGAGCTTGTGTGTGGAAACTTGGCCATAAGTCTTTATCCTGGATCCTGTCAAATATATACTAGCAGTTAACACAATGGGAACCAGAGGAATATTTTGAAGGCTGACATCCTATCTTGTCTCATTTTAGGATGACATTTAAGAATTTTAGTAGGATACATTTTCTCCTTACTATATTGAGGAACGCAGTTTTATCTCATCTTAGGATAGGAAGTTAGCTCAAGTTATTGAAGAATCATCATAACTTAGAAAAAGTTAGTAATCCTACATTGGTTGGATGGCAAAGACCCTTTCCTAAATGTAAAACAATTGCCAAGTGACAGCCAGAAAGGTCAGCCTTTGTTTTTGGACAAAACCAAAGAGGTAATTAATTTCATCCTCAATGTTGATTATATAATCATGCTGAGTTCCATCAAGAAACAAAGGCAAAAATAAGACTTCAAAACAGCTAGTTATAAAATCATTATATATTTTTCAAAACCTTACACTCAGTTGTCAGAAAAAGTTCCCAAATCCTACAGAGTGTACAGACCAGGACTTGTCCAGGTTAAACCTCTCCTTAACCTCACTAGTCTCTAACCTCTGTACAGACCAAGCTAACTCTCTCCGTCTGATCATATGACATTTGAGATAAGAAAACTGTAAACCAATATCAAAAACAAAGACTCTCTTCTGAAGTGTGCTGATAAGAACAAAGGTTGAAACCAGCCCTACCCTTGGCAGGGCTGTTTCCCTCAACAGCAAATATAAAATAAATGACTCTTCAACACACAAAGCACATAATCCAGAAGCGTTTTTTCAGTAAGCTGTCAAGGACGCTTTTTTTTTTTTAAATCATGGGGATAATAGATTTTCTCCTTCAGTCTTTCAGCTCTATCTCCTTGTTTGGGGCTTTGGTTGTCCTGCTGCTCGTCTTTATTGTCTCATCCTCCAGTTTTAGCTCCCAGGATGAAGGAAAGGAACCTCCAGGTCCAAAACCACTTCCCATCATCGGAAACCTGCTGCAGATTGACCTTAAAAGACCCTACCACACATTTCTGGAGGTGAGAAAATGACTGGAATAACAAGCATGTCTTTAAGGGTGATTTGTTGGATGTGCACTTCAGGTAGCAATGTTACAAAGGTTCAATCAAATTAATTTGTGTTTTTGGTTATTTAAACATTATGCCCCGGTTTTCTTAGTTTTCCAAAACATATGGATCAGTGTTCACAGTGTATTTGGGATCCAAAAAAGTGGTGGTCCTGGCTGGATATAAAACAGTGAAGGAGGCCCTTGTGAACTACGCTGAAGAGTTTGGAGACAGAGATACAATGCAAATAACAAAGGAAATTAGTAACGGCCATGGTAAGGAAAGCAATATTTGTTTACACAAAATATTTTCCTTGTTTGTTAAAACAGCCGATTGGGCAGTAGGCAACAATTTGACCAAATACAACGCAGCCATAAACTTTGTTGCAACCTAGTCTAATCTTGTTTAACTTAAAACATTTTTTAATCTTAGGCGTTGTATTTTCCAACGGTGAATCATGGAAAGAGATGAGGCGCTTTGCCTTGACTAACCTCAGAGACTTTGGGATGGGTAAGAGGGCTTGTGAGGACAAAATCATGGAGGAATGCACCTACCTCATTGAAGTGTTTAATAAATGCAAAGGTAAGTGTCTTATTAAAACCAACAGCATGAGAAACAACATTTTGCCAATGCTTGCGATTCCTTTTTTATGTTCCTGTAATCCTTTCTACAGGAAAAGCTTTTGATACAGCCCAACCAATGAACTGTGCAGTCTCTAATATTATCTGCTCCATTGTTTATGGCAGCAGATTTGAATATGATGATCCTGAGTTTACTTCATTGGTAGAAAGAACAAACAGGAATATTCAACTCCTGGGCTCCCCGTCGATACAGGTGCTATTTCATATGTTTATTAAGCTTAGACTTTCAGATGTTGTTTTAATGTTCATATAAAATATGAACATGACAAATGTGTCACTTGTCTTTTGAACACTATTTCATTGCCTGTTAATTTTTAACAGGTATATAACATGTTCCCATGGATTGGTAAGTGGGTTGCTAACAGAAAGGAACTCCACACGATGGTTGCTGCAAACAAGGAACAGAATCGACGGCTGTTTACACGTTTGAAAGAGACCTTCAATCCACAGATGTGCAGAGGCTTTGTGGACTCATTTCTGCTCCGAAAGCAAAATCTGGAGGTTGGCAAGCTACACATCACTAACCCTAACAAAAAACACTGGTTGATCAACCCGTTACTGCTTTGTTTGTCTCTCCATAGGCCACTAAGAAAATTATATTGTTATTTATGTACAATTGTTCTTCATCATAGATATCATAAATAGAATCCTAGATGTGTAAAAATTAGGGATGCACCGATGCTAAATTTCTTGGCTGATGCCGATGCGGTTTTAATGTAATTTATTTTCCACTGTTGTTATTCCATGTTGTGCCAGGAAAAACACATTTATTTCTCGCAAAATGGTTTCAGTTTCAAAGGCTGAGCAAGTTCGTTATTATAACATCATAGTACGCTGTTTAGAAAGTATGGAGCTCCACCGGATCACCTGCAGGTCTGCTCGCAGTGAGGGGACCTTGTGAGCGGAGCAAAACACACGTTTAGATTTAGACATCACACTTAGCTAGTTCATCTACCTATGAATCTACCTAAACTAGTTATAAATATATTTATTCTTCACTGTCGGATCACTCATTACTGGATCAGCTTGAGACGGATACGGACCGGCTGTCAGGGGAGAGAGGAAAAGAGAGAGAGAGGGAGAGAGGAAAAGAGAGCGCTCCGTTCCGTGTCAACGGAACACTTTTTGTAAACTGCAAATCGCGGATCTCTGGGTGAAACAATGAAATAGTCCCACACTGCAGATTTTTTTGTTTTCTTTAGTTAATGTTTTTTTTTATATAAATGAACTACGGGTGCCGCAGATGTTATGACGGAACGCGAGAAAAAATAACAAAAACCTCGGCGCCTAAATAGGGCGAACATCGTCCCTCTGGCCGATGTATCGTTGCATCCCTAGTAAAAATACATTTAGACAAGAAAAGAGTAAACTGTTGAAATGTTGGTTTATAATTAAATGTTATAATTTAATATGTATGAATTTAAATGTAAGATATCTAGGATTGAATTTCAGAAAACTATTACCGATTTCTAATATCCATCTAGTAAAACTCATATTTTTACAAGTAACTTTTATACTTGAGATGTATACAATTAATTGTAGATCTAGTCAAATTTGAATTTAGTAAGGATTATGGTAATTTGGGCCAAAATGTTTTTGAGATATGTTGTGATATATTCAAAATGCAGACAACTGGTATGGGAAATTACACATACACTTGTCACTATACTTTTCAACATTTATTGTAAGTATCTCAAATTGTTATTCATATAAGTTCAAAAAGGAATTATTGATTTTTTAACAAATGTTTTTACTGTTATATATTTACATTTTGCCACGTAGAAATGTGATTTCCACTAGTGAGAACTAGATTGCCAATAGTCATCCCTTTTGAGTAAATTATAAAAGGGCTATCCATAAACCCACTCGGTCATGAAAACTACAAGAAAGAACAAGATCAAAATCCCTCATATGTAACATTCATACATTCGATTGGTTTAAATAACTACAATAATGAATCTTTACCTGCAGGAATCTGGGATTACCAAGAGTCACTTCCACGATAATAACCTGTTGCAGACAGTTCTTAATCTCTTTGGTGCCGGGACTGACACAACAGCAACAACCCTGAGATGGGGACTTCTGTTTATGGCCAAGTATCCAAAAATACAAGGTAAGGAGCCTAAAATCGCCCCCAAAAAATCCTACAACAGTCCAAGCAACAATATGTGCTTTACCAACACAAAGATCATCTCAATTATAAAAACTTTCCATCTTTTAGACCAGGTCCAGGAAGAGCTGAGCAGGGTGATAGGAAGTCGAAAAGCCCAGGTTGAGGACAGGACGAGCCTGCCTTTCACTGACGCCGTCATCCATGAGACACAGAGACTGGCTAACATCGTCCCGATGGCCATTCCTCACAAAACAAGCAAAGACGTAACTTTCCAGGGTCACTTCATTAAGAAGGTCAGAATGAATGAACAACTTAATTTAGAGAATCCAAAATTACTTGAAAGGATGAAACACATATGACTAATAAAACCGAAGGACTGTCCTGTGACTTAAATTAAACTAGACATACCACCTTAGATCTGCCTAAGCTGAAAAAAATGCAAACCTTAATCAGCAGGTGCTAAGCAAGGAACAGGGTTAAAAAAGAAAGAAAAGACATGCTCTTCTTGACTTAATCGATTGCCCTTATTTAAATCATTAGGTCATATTAGTAAGACATCCATTGTTCAACCAGTTCTATCTATAGAATCCGCCCTCTATATATATGACAGTATTGGAAATGGACCGTGTTTTGTCCACAGGGTACCACAGTGTTTCCTCTCTTGACATCCGTCCTGTATGATGAGAGTGAGTGGGAACACCCCCGCAGTTTTTATCCTGCACACTTCTTGGACAAAGATGGGAAGTTCCTCAAGCGAGATGCCTTCATGCCTTTTTCTGCAGGTTGGTGAATTTAGCCATCACTTCTTGATGTGCACTGACTTGCAGGCGAGATGATCATATTCGTTTTGATTTCTTTCTCTTAAAGGTCGCAGGGCTTGTCTTGGAGAGAGTCTGGCCAGGATGGAGCTCTTCATCTTCTTCACCAGCCTCTTGCAACACTTTCGTTTTACTCCTGCTCCAGGAGTTTCGGAGGATGAATTGGATTTGACTCCACGTGTAGGCTTCACCCTCAGCCCTTCACCTCATAAACTGTGTGCTGTTTCCTGCATGTGAGCAGTAGGGCTTGAAAATGCTGCTTAGTCCCACTGTCATGACTTTAAATCAATTTAATTCCAGAGCATTTTCTAATTGTACAACTTGATAGTTAATGTAGTGCAACAGCAGATAATATGTACAACTTCATACATTTCATCACAACAATTTTCACTTCCTCACTATAGACCTGTAAATGCAGATCTGGCAAAGTACATGGTATTCTCTACATCAACTGGTGTTTCTGGCTATCATGTCATTAAAATGTCAATTGTATTCATGTTAATCTTTGTCTGCATTTCTTTGTAAATCATTGAGAAATTGATTTCACCAAAGTCAAAAACCTCATTGAAGTGTTTAAGAAATGAAGGGGGTCAGTACCTTGTAAAAAAAATGCATGATTCGCCACATTTTGCCAATGTTTAAGGTATTCATTTATTATCCCATTTCCCCTTTTTACAAGAGAAGCTTAGCAAATAAACTACGCAGATTTGAATTGTATTTGTTTCATTGTTAATGGCCAAAAATGTTAATATAATGATCTAGAATTTACAGAACTGGTAGAGGAGGAAGCAATCAGTTAATACAAAGTATTCATCCTAGAAAACCAGAACCACAATAAACATCCACAATACAGTAAAAAAAAAAAACGTGTTCATGTTACTCCCAACGTGTTCATGTTACTCCCATACTCATATACAAGATTCAGAGTTAACTGAGGTGCTTCACTTGGTCTAGCGTAATTACTTCTCACAATGCTATAGCATAGAACAACAAATAAAAACTCTTCATGTTTATTGATGGCTGATATTAACTCAAATAATTCATCGTTGCATTAATGTTAATGTTCTCTGTGAATTGCTGTCGTGTATAGCTCTTCTACAATCCTGCAACATTTGAGAAAGAACCGGTGTACCAAACCCAACAAAGTGTCATGTTTTTTTTTTAAACCAGCCCATTTCAGTAGGCCGGATTCATTACTTTCTTTTCCATCCATCTTCAACAATGATTAGAAAGTGTTGAAGAGCAAAAATCAAAACCCAACAGACTGGGACAGAGGTTTGTGTCAATATTATATACTTAACTTTATTATTCCGTTAAATTCTCCCCTTCGGATCACATGACATTTAAGATAACAAATATTTGTGTCTATTTTCTTTTGCCATGTTTCTGTATACTGTGCAATACTGAACTGTTTGCACGGGAAGTCCACTCTGTTCTTTCCTAGAGAATAATTAACTTTATCGTTCCATAAAACTCTACCCTTCCGATCCAACAAGTCCTCCAACTAATACGACCAAATAGACCGATTGTTCCGACCCATAATACGACCCACAGGAGCGTTACGTTACGTTTGTTATGAACGTATCTCAAATACGTTTATTTTCTACATATCTTCTAGAAACATATTTTCTCCCATGTTACGTTTGTTATCAACGTATCTTAAATACGGTTATTTTCTACATATCTTTGCCATTTATTGTCTTGCTTATAATAATGATAATAGTCATTTATAAATATAATTTTAGAGCACACATTTGAAATCGACAATCGGACTCGATATATGGTTACATTAAAATCAGTTGGCGAGGCTGTAATTTCGCCAGCTGTTACTCTCATGAGCGAGGCAGAAAATAATAGTTGTATCATGCCAAAAAGCTGCTGTGTCGTTTATTGCACCTCAAACATTAAAACAAATCCAGAGTTACGTTTTTCTGTACTTCCTCTAAGAAGAAAGGACAGTAAAAGAAGAGCTCTGTGGCTTCAGGCTTGATGGCCGTTCAAATGACAGCGTTGGTTTCCCCAAAAGTGGGCGGGGCTGTAAAGTGACGTAGATTTTACTCTCATCTATTATTCAAAACCATTCTATGTATTCTAACATAAATTACATGCCAGTGGTTTATCTTTTTATTTAGCGATTTGTTTATGTTTACCTGGGAATGTTTTTACAGGAACAATACCGGAAACAGACGTAGGAAAGATCCTCAGCTCAGTGATTGGATTGTTTAGCCGCAATGCACGTTGGGATATGCTGTTTATGCAATGTGAAATCCGAAAACATTTTATAAAAAAAATAAAAATAATACTTTATTCCGATCGTTCTTGCTTTTCTCTTCGGAAGTCATCCCATAACGGCATTGTAATACACGGTTCGGCTGCATTAAATATTACATATCTGCCGTAGATATTTATTTATAGAGCCCTGATCAGAAGACCTTTTGACAAACTGTAAGAAATGCCGCCAAAACTGAATACGTAACGTGGATCATAAATATATTAGCAATTAAACAACATCTTCCATTTCTTTTCACACAATACGTCTCCTTGCAGTATCAACACTAATTCGGCTGACTTTTATATTTGATCCAATTGGTAGATAGGTTATATTTACACCATAACGGTGCACAGCTAATAGAAAGGGATTTTTGTGTAGTTTTTAAAGATATTACTGATTTACTGAACTACTTTTCCAACTCCTCAAGCAGTTGACTGTTACAGGTCTATACAGGTTCATGGTACAATGCATAAGTTCAAATCGAGAGACTGAAACTGTATTTTCCTTTACCGTTCTGTTTTAATTTCACAATAAAGTTAATAGTCATATTATGTTTGATATTATTATGTTTTAACCCGCACCGCCTAGTGGTTAAAGCACGTTATTGAATTTTGTTGTTGAATACGTTTTATTTGATGAAAAAATTTAAATATTAAGAGTAGCCTACATACAAAATTGGGGCAAAGTAGAAGGCATGATAGAAATATAGAACAGAAAATATCAAGAAGATACTGTAGTGATCTCTACAATAAAACAGTTTAGTGCAGGACGTCCAAAGATATTAACAGGCGGATGTGCAAAACAGACAAACTAATAAGGCTTTATTTAAACATTAAAGAATACTTTAAGTTAAGGTCTTCTTTTGAATAAGAAAAAAACGTTGGGGGTATCCACAGATAAATATTAAGCCTGACAAAGTACTTAACGTCCAATATATTGCATAGTTTATTTTGGCACTTGACAATCACCTTCCCTGAATTTGACTCAGGTGTAACTAAAGTCTGATTTAAGGGTTGTTTATATTTCACATCATTAATCAGAATCTGCAAAGTAACTAAAATAAATGTAGTGGAGTAAAAATACCAGGTTAACCTCTGAATTGTAGTGTAGAGTAGAACAAAGTAGTATGCTGCTGTAACAAAAACATTTCCCAACTTGGGATCAAGAAAGTATATCTTATCTTATCTTAAGATGATCGATGGCTACTGCCATATTTGCAAAATTTGCCTCTGAACCTTGACAAGTGCATGTTTCAGGCTAATCAATGAACAGGAGTGGTCACAGACATAAGACCAGCTGTTAAATAAAGCTCTTCTGACCTTAGGTGTCATGTGGGTATATTAATTCACCAGTTTATTAATTATATGTTTTAAATTTGATAACACCACTGTGTTTCGTATCCCCTAAACCCCCAGGGTGTACACAGTTTAATACTGGCAACTTCTAATTGTGGGAAATACGAAAACGTCTTATAAAAGACACGGGGGGGGGCGGGGGGGCTGGACCCGGGGGCTGGACCCGTCCAATTCCAGTTTCGGAAAGTCTGCCGTGGTTCCATTCCATTTCATAGAGCTGTTTGACGCTCAGCGTAACCTTGTCACACTGCCACTCCAACATCCAATCACAGGGCTTGATGACTAATCACGGGGTTTGTAAAGCAAGGCGGATGTTGTAGTCCCAAACGATAGCTGGGGATTCTGGGTAGTGTAGTGTCTTCGGAAACTGTAGTGTCTAAACTCCGAAAAAACTATTTGTTTCTCTGAATCGAAGGTTAAAAACACAAAAGCATTGTACACAATTTAAACCAATCAATATTGTGTAATTAACAAGGATAAACTGATGTTTTTTTAGTGGATGAGTAATGCAGATATCACTGTGTAATCATTTGACAGTGAGGGGAATATATCCGGTTTTATTATGAAAACTTCGAGACCGGAAAAACTGTTTTCACCCACGCTAACTTTACATGGAAGCTGCCCCATATACACGTTATCCTGGCGAGACCTAAAATCATCTTCGTAATATCTATTAAACTATAGATCCTACACATCGACTGGACGTGGATTCTAAGAGTATACACTTCTCGCCAGAAATCGAATCAAAAAGCATTTTAATGGCCAAACTATTCCACAATTTAGGATTTTCCAGAGAGGGTTATTTGTGAATAAACGTCCCTCCGGAGCATCCAGAGCTGTTTAAAGAATTTAAAGACAGACAGGTTAGCGAATGTGATAGATAACATAATTACATCATGCTCAAGCCCATGCCCTCAAATCTACTGTAAGTCAAACAAGTGTAATTTATTTTGTGACAAACAAACGTTTTCGTAGTTTGACGAGGCAATTAATGGCAATGATAACTGTCTAATATGGCAATCTTTTTAGCTAACATCTGCAATGTATATTTTGTCAATAATTATTTATATTACTGTACTATTACATGTTAATAAAATATAAAGTTAACTATCAAAGAAATCACATAAACTCAAGTATAAAGAAGAGACCATGTTGTAAGAAAACACTTAACAGATAAACTACAATTTTATTGATCATGAAAATAATAAAAGAAAAGTATCGAAAAATAATCGGAATCGCAATTCTTGACGTGGTATCGGTATCGAAACCAAAATGTTGGTATCGTGACAACACTACATGACATTAAGATGAGAAATCTCCAAACCAATATTAAACAACAAAAGTAAACTCTGTTCAGAAAGGTACACAACAACTGTGTTAGCTGATGCTCTTATCCAAAGCAACTGACATACACTTCAGTATAATAGACCTGCCTGCTACTTGAGCAATTTGGGGTTTGTTTACTGCCCAATGGCACTTGATATGTTGGCTGCATGGGTTGGGATCGTCTATTGACCATCGGATTAACAGCTACATTTTTTTTTGACAAATCGAAAGGGTGATTCATTTGATGCCGATTGCTGCTGGTGATGCCATAGCTCTGAATAGCAAATATGACCATCATTTCAATTTTTGTGTCTATTATCTTTTGCCATGGGTCCTTGTATTGTGCCAATACTGAACGGATCTCGCACAGAAAGTTCACTCTGTTCTTTCCTAGAAAATAATTATCTTTATTGTTCCATTAAACTCTCTCCTTCGAATCACATGACATTTAAGATAAGAAATCTGCTAACCAATATCAAACAACAAAAGAACACTCTGTTCTGAAAGGTACATACCAAGTTAGTTAGCTGTGGCTTTTATCCAAAGCAACTTACATGCACTTCAGTATCATAGACCTGCCTGCTACATGAGATATGTGGTGTTTGTGTCCTGCCTGTTGGCTGCAGGGGTTGGGATCTTTGACCTTTAACAATCAGATTAGGAGATTAGCAAAATACCTCCCTGCACTGTTACCCTTAACACAAGCTCCAAAAGACATCTGTCCCTGACATCAAGGGCCAAAGGCAGAAGCATTTTGTCAGAACTGAAACAAGGACGCTTTTTCTTTTGAAATCATGGGGCTATTGGATCTGTTTCTCCAGTCTTTCAGTTCGATCTCCCTTTTTGGAGCTCTGGTTGTCCTGCTGCTCGTCTACATTCTCTACTCCTCCAGCTTCAGCTCCCAGGATGAAGGGAAGGGACCTCCAGGTCCAAAACCACTTCCCCTACTTGGGAACCTGCTGCAGCTTGACCTCAAGAGACCCTACCACACATTTATGGAGGTGAGGAAATGATTGAACTAATGTTCATTTCTTTAGGGGTGTTATGTTATATGTGCCCTGCAGATAGCACATTGTTGGTCTTCTGATTAATTATTCTTAAAAAAAAAAAAATGATATGATGATGCCCTTGTTTTTTGTAGCTTTCCAAGAAATATGGATCCGTTTTCACAGTGCATTTGGGACCCCAAAAAGTGGTGATCCTGGCTGGATACAAAACTGTGAAGGAGGCACTTGTCAACTATGCAGATGAGTTTGGTGACAGATATTCAATGCAAATAACAAAAGAAACTAGTGGAGGCCATGGTAAGGAACTTTTTTTTAAATAACCTCCCTGTTCTGTTACATTTTTAGCAAAGTTTTATTGTTTTTGGTGCTGGATAACAGCAAATCAGGACGCAATCCACAATTGAAAACATTGAGCAAATATGGTCTGGCCATAACATTGGTTTTATTTTAGGACTTGTATGGTCCAACGGTGAATCATGGAGAGAGATGAGGCGCTTTGCCATGACTAAACTCAGAGACTTTGGAATGGGCAAGAGGGCTAGTGAGGACAAAATCATTGAGGAATGCACCTACCTCATTGACGTGTTAAAGAAATGTAAAGGTAAGTGTCTTATTAAAACCAACTGCATGATAAGCAACAGGTTGACAAAGTTTGTGGTTTTTATTTGTTTTACTTTTTACAGGAGAAGCTTTTGATACAACTCAACCCATATCCCAGGCGGTGGCTAATATCATCTGCTCAATTGTTTATGGCAGCAGATTTGAATATGATGATGCAGAGTTTACATCACTGGTACATCGAGCACACAGAAATATTGAACTCCTGGGATCCCCGTCAATACAGGTGCCATTTATGCCTCTGTGTTTATTGTATCTTTGTAACTCTGGCACAACAATTTCCTGTGGGATAAATAAAGTCCTATCTTATCTTATTTAATTTATTATTTTTGATCAAGCTTAGACTTTCAGATTTGATTTTAATATACATAATAGAGGAATGTGGGGCAACTGATTCGAAGGTTGTTGTTGTTTTTTTTAAAGGTGTTTAACATGTTCCCATGGATCGGTAAATGGATTGCTGACAGAAAGGAACTTCACACGATAATTGCTGAGAGCAAGAAACGTAATCAGCAGTTGTTTAGTCGTTTGAAAGAGACCCTCAATCCACAGATGTGCAGAGGACTTGTGGATGCCTTTCTGCTCCGAAAGCAAAATCTTGAGGTTGGGAAGTATTTCATTACTTACCCCGTCTACACCTTTTCCGTGACCAGTTGAGTTGTTTGTGACAAAGGAGGAAATGCAATTCGTTCTAACAGTTAATCACCAGCAGTAATAGACATTTTAGAAATCAGCTCTTGCTTTCTGACTATAGAGATCCAAGCCAACATGTCCATAAGATGATATGGACAAGCAGTAATTCACATTTTTGACAATTGATTTTACTAGTGGAAATGAATATGTTTACATTACAGATTAGATCAATGGAAATCTGGGTAGCAAAAAATTAAATGTGACTTGAAAGAAAATAATAATTATTGATTATTACTATTATTATTATATCTGATATGTTTTCCAGTTGTAACTACTGAAACATTTGTATTGAAACAACTATACGTAAAATATCTCAAATTAATTTAAAGCTGGTCAAATTTGAATTTAGGTTATAAAAAAATAATTTCCTATAGTCAAAATTATAAAGTAGTTGAAATGTTAATATCGTGTGTCAGAAATACGCATGGCAATTTGGGCCATATATCAGAAATGAAGATGGCAATGTTGGCCAATGACCAAAAATCATTTGTTGACATATCGACATATTAAAAATGATGATGGTGATGATGATGGGAAACTGCATTGGTCACCATTCTTTGTTCGACATGTTACATTTTAATTGAGATGTGTTTTTTAAGTGAAAGAGGATATTACTGACTTCATATCAAAAGTGATATACAGATATCCCGATTAACATTCTGACATTTTGAGATGTAATGTACAATAGAGATGATTACATCAGTACTTGTCACAGTCTGCTTTCTCACTCACCTATTTTCTGCATTAACATTCCTTAGTCACCTGGTAGCCACACCCTGTCTCTCTTTCACTCTGTTACACCCATCAGCTCCAGTAGTATATAGGCCCACTTCACTCTCACCTCAGTGCCAGATCGTACTTTGCAGCATGCCAGTCTTTCCAGCATTACTTCCCAGATTGCTCTCCCGGTTTCGACCCTGCCTGTCCCTGACCTGCCTGCCTCGCCTGATTCCTGACCCTGCCTGTACCCGGACTATTCTGCCACGCCTGCTCCCTGACCCGGTCTGTACCTGCGACTCCCGTCTTGCCTTCTCCTGGAACCCTCGCCTGTCCCCGACCAGCCCTTTGCCTACTACCTGCCTTTTCGTCTCCTACCAGTTATTGCCTTCAATAAAGCTGGTTACAGACTATCCCTGGTTTCCCCGTGTTTTGCATTTTGGTCCTCAGCTCGTTTGTGACAGAACGATCTGGCCAGAAATGGACCAAGCAAACACCGGGTCTCCTAGAGACCGCTTTGAGAGGGTTGAGGAAGCCATCCAAAGACAGGAGGTCACGATAGCTACCTTAGCTACCGAGACCCACCAGGCAACCTCAACCCAGGAACAAGCGCTGGCTTACCTGGCCTCCCAGATGCAACAGATGGCCGCCACCGTACAACAGCTAGCCGCTAGCATGGCTGCTACCGTCCCTCCGCCTGCAGCTCCGATGTTCACTCCAGCCTCTGGATCGACTGGATACGCTCCGGAGCCTCGTGTGGGAACTCCGGAACGCTACGCTGGTGAGCCTGAGGGATGCAGTCCTTTTCTCACAAACTGTTCCATATTGTTTTCACTGCAGCCACACACCTTTGCCTCCGAGGCGGCTCGCGTAGCTTTCACCGTTAATCATTTGACGGGGAAAGCCCGCTTATGGGGTACTGCAGAGTGGGAGCAGCAGACTCCAGCCTGCGCCTCTTTTGCTGTTTTTTCCGCGGAGATGCGGAAGGTGTTCGGTTCCGTTCGTCTGGGTCCCGATGCTGCCGGAGGTCTGCTGAGCTTGAGCCAGGGTTCCGGCACGGTGGTGAATTACGCTATTGACTTCCGCACCAGCAGCCGCCGTAGTAGCTGGAACAAGCCGGCGCAATGTGACGCATATCTGAGAGGCTTAGCGGATTATATGAGAGATGAGCTGGTTTCCTATGATCTCCCTGCTTCCTTGGATGGGTTGATCGAGCTCACCTCTCGGATCGACAGACGAATTCAGACACGAAGAGAAGAGCAACAGACACGAGCGGCGGGCCGCCGCTCGCGACAACAACTTCCGGTTTCCGGGAGATTTCAACTTCCGGTTTCGGCGGAGAATTCCCATCCCTACTCTGACTCACGGTACGGGGAGGTCGAGCCCATGCAAGTGGGTCGTACCAGTCTTAGCTCTGAGGAGAGGGAGTTACGTCGAAGAGGGAATTTATGCCTTTACTGTGGTCAGGCTGGACATTTTGTTTCCCGTTGTCCGGGAAAAGGCAGAGCCCATCAGTAATGGGGAGTATACTGGTGGGCCGAACCTCTGAGCTGATCCCCAATGGAAGACCTTTGTGCCATGCTCGACTTCTCCTGAGAGGCACATCTCAGGCTCTGGCTGTGTTTATCGACTCCGGATCAGATGTCAGCATCATTGATGAGGAGCTCGCACTACAGCTGGGCATTCAACAGATTCAGTTGCCCCAGCCGGTACCGGCTAATGCTTTGGACGGTCACCTGCTGGGAACGGTGACTCACCAGACGACACCGGTCCATATGCTCATGTCGGGGAACCACCATGAGACAATCCAGTTTCATGTGCTACGGTCCCCCAAGATTCCTCTGATTTTGGGTTATCCATGGCTCCTCCGCCACAACCCGAACATTGACTGGTCAACTGGGTCCATCCTAGGGTGGAGTTCTTCCTGTCATCAGGTTTGCCTCAAGCAGGCCGCTGCACCTCAACTATCTGTGGATATTAACCTGGTTCCGGATGTCACAGGGGTTCCGGCGGAGTATTTGGACTTTAAGGAGGTTTTTAGCAAGACTAAGGCAACATCTCTCCCACCTCATCGGCCCTATGACTGTGCTATTGAGCTACATCCGGGCGCAGTCCCACCCAAGGGGCGGTTGTACTCACTTTCGGCACCGGAGAGGAAGTCCATGGAGACGTACGTCAATGACTCTCTGGCTGCGGGAATTATTCGTCCTTCCACGTCACCCGCAGGAGCAGGGTTTTTTTTTGTGGCGAAGAAGGATAAGACCCTGAGACCCTGCATTGACTATCGGGGTCTGAATGACGTCACGGTAAAGAATCGTTATCCCCTGCCACTCATCTCGTCAGCATTCGAGTTACTACAGGGAGCAACAATCTTTACCAAGCTGGATTTACGAAACGCATATCACCTGGTACGAATCCGTGAGGGGGATGAATGGAAGACCGCCTTCAACACCTCTTCAGGACACTACGAGTACCTGGTGATGCCATTTGGACTTACCAACGCCCCTGCAGTTTTCCAAGCGTTGGTGAACGACGTACTCCGGGACATGTTGGATCGTTATGTTTTTGTTTATTTGGACGACATTTTGATTTTTTCAAAGACCCTCAAGGAACACATCCATCACGTCCAGACAGTCCTCCAGAGACTTCTGGAGAACTCGCTGTTTGTCAAGACGGAGAAGTGCGAGTTTCACACTTCTTCGGTCGCCTTTCTTGGCTACATCGTGGGTCAAGGAAGTGTGGAGATGGATCCCTCCAAAGTTTCAGCGGTTACCTCGTGGCGGGTTCCTGATTCCCGGAAGGAGCTGCAGCGTTTCCTAGGATTCGCTAACTTTTACAGACGGTTCATCCGTGGCTACAGTACCGTGGCCGCCCCGCTCACCGCCCTGACCTCGTCTAAGGTAACGTTTAGATGGTCCCATGCAGCAGAGGAGGCTTTTCAGGACCTCAAGCGCCGGTTTACGTCGGCTCCTATCCTACAGGTACCAGACCCTGCTGGTCAGTTGGTGGTGGAGGTGGATGCTTCTGACGTAGGGGTGGGGGCCATCCTGTCACAACGCTCTGGTGAGAATCAGAAGCTCCACCCCTGTGCTTTCTTTTCGAGGAGATTGAGTCCGGCGGAGAGAAACTACGACGTGGGGAACCGGGAGCTTCTAGCAGTCAAGTTGGCGTTGGAGGAGTGGCGACACTGGCTTGAGGGGACAGAACTGCCATTTCAGGTTTGGACCGACCATAAGAACCTGGAATACATCAGGTCGGCACAAAGACTGAATTCCCGGCAAGCCAGGTGGTCGTTATTTTTCACCCGGTTTAATTTTTTCCTCTCCTACCGCCCGGGCTCCCGCAACGTGAAGGCCGACGCTTTGTCCCGGCAGTTCGGGAGGGAGGGAGACACCTGCGGTATCCCGGACACTATTCTTCCTGCTCCTCGAGTGATCGGTGTTCTCGCTTGGGAGATTGAGGAGAGGGTTAAGACTGCGTTGGTGGACCAACCCGGTCCTAGTTCTTGTCCTCTTAACCGTTTGTTTGTGCCTCAGGTTTTGAGGGCTGAGGTGCTTCAGTGGGCTCACAGCTCCAGACTTTCCTGCCACCCTGGGATTCAACGTACCAGAGGGATGGTCTTGCAGCGGTTCTGGTGGGCTACGCTGGAGGCTGACACCCGGGAGTTTGTGAACGCCTGTCCTGTGTGCAATCGGCACAAACCCTCTCACCAAGCGCCAGCTGGCCTCCTTCATCCATTACCGGTTCCACGTCGCCCATGGTCACATATTTCGTTGGACTTTGTGACTGGTCTTCCACCGTCCCACGGACATACTGCCATCTTGACGGTGGTGGATCGGTTCAGTAAAATGGCTCACTTCGTACCCCTGCCTAAGATCCCGTCAGCTAAGGAGACGGCTGAACTTATGCTTCTCCACGTTTTTCGCCTTCACGGACTGGCGACTGATGTGGTTTCCGACCGGGGGCCCCAGTTCACCTCTGTGTTTTGGAGGGAGTTTTGTGAACTGATCGGGGCGACGGTCAGTCTCACCTCCGGTTTCCATCCACAGGCCAATGGTCAGACTGAAAGGAAGAATCAGGAGATGGAGACCACTCTCCACTGCATGGCTTCCGATCATCCTACGACCTGGTCTAAACAACTCCTGTGGGTGGAGTATGCCCACAACACACTCATCAGTTCCGCTACTGGTCTTTCCCCTTTTCAGTGTGCATACGGGTTTCAACCCCCTTTGTTCTCTGCATTGGAGAAAGAGGTTACCTGTCCGTCTGTCCAGGCCTTCATCAGACGTTGTCGGAGGACTTGGAGGCGGGCTCGAACTACTCTGCTTCAGTCTGCTAACCGGTACGCCACATCAGCGAACCGCCGACGCACCAAGGCACCTGTGTACCAGCTAGGCCAGAGGGTGTGGCTTTCCGCTCAAAACATTCCCCTTCGGGTGGAGTCTAAAAAGTTAGCGCCCAGATTTATTGGACCCTTTGAGATCGTCAAGGTCATTAACCCTGCAGCAGTTCGACTGAGTTTGCCCCGGAACATGAAGATCCATCCCACCTTCCACGTGTCTAGGATTAAACCTGTCCGGGAGAGTCCTATGATTCCCGCCGCTCCCCCACCACCACCCCCTAGGATGATCGATGGGGGCCCGAACTATACCCTTCGTCGTATACTTCGTTCCCGACGCAGAGGAAGAGGGGTTCAGTATTTGGTGGACTGGGAGGGCTATGGTCCTGAGGAGAGGCAGTGGATTCCTGCTCGTCACATCCTCAACCCTCAACTCATCCGGGACTTCCACCTGCGCTACCCGGAGCAGCCTTCTAGGACCCACGCTCAGCCAGGCGTTAAGCCGGGGGGTACTCGTCGGTTACGGACCGGGGGCTTCATCGAGGAGGAGGGGGAGGCGTCTTCAGTCGAGGAGGACGAGGATTTCCAGGAGGGGGAGGCCGAGAGAGCATTCTCAGATGAGTATTAACCTTTCCCATACCCCCACCTTCCACCCGGTGTCTGTAGGTTTTTTGTTGATTTTTTATTTGTTTTTTTTCCCCGTAAGTTTGTCTTGGACGTCGGGAGCCGTCCATTAAGGGGGGGGTTCTGTCACAGTCTGCTTTCTCACTCACCTATTTTCTGCATTAACATTCCTTAGTCACCTGGTAGCCACACCCTGTCTCTCTTTCACTCTGTTACACCCATCAGCTCCAGTAGTATATAGGCCCACTTCACTCTCACCTCAGTGCCAGATCGTACTTTGCAGCATGCCAGTCTTTCCAGCATTACTTCCCAGATTGCTCTCCCGGTTCCGACCCTGCCTGTCCCTGACCTGCCTGCCTCGCCTGATTCCTGACCCTGCCTGTACCCGGACTATTCTGCCACGCCTGCTCCCTGACCCGGTCTGTACCTGCGACTCCCGTCTTGCCTTCTCCTGGAACCCTCGCCTGTCCCCGACCAGCCCTTTGCCTACTACCTGCCTTTTCGTCTCCTACCAGTTATTGCCTTCAATAAAGCTGGTTACAGACTATCCCTGGTTTCCCCGTGTTTTGCATTTTGGTCCTCAGCTCGTTTGTGACAGTACTAGTCAGCCCTTTGATTAAATGATAAAAAAGCTGGCCAACTACTACCTCAACAAAACAAAAAATGCCCTCCTATGTAACACGTCAAAGGTTTGGTTCAGATTTGTTTGAATACCTGAATTATCTTTACTTGCAGGAATCCGGAATCACCGACAGTCACTTCCATGATAAAAACCTGATACAGACGGTTCTTAATCTCTTTACTGCTGGCACTGACACAACAGCAACTACACTGAGATGGGCACTACTATATATGGCCAAGAATCCAAAAATACAAGGTAAGGAGCTTAGAATCCTCACAATTTTCAAAAACAGTCCAGGAAACAATATGTGCTCACCAACTAAAGAAAATAATCTTAATGGACACAAAAATCTGGTCTTCCAGAACAGGTCCAGGAGGAGCTAAGCAAGGTTAAAGGAGGTCGTCAAGTGCAGGTTGAGGACAGGCAACACCTGCACTTCACAAATGCCGTCATCCACGAAATCCAGCGACTGGCTAACATCGTCCCCATGGCACTTCCTCACAAAATGAGCCAAGACATCACTTTCCAGGGTCACTTCATTAAGAAGGTTGGATAAAATAAAACACCTAAAGAACCCAAGATGACTTGGAAGAATGAATCATACATAATTCAAAATGGGGGTGCTGAGTTAAGTGGCTTGTCACTAAATGAAAATACTGTATATTGTCCACAGGGGACCACAGTGTATCCTCTCTTGACATCCGTCCTGTGTGATGAGACTGAGTGGGAACACCCCAGCAGCTTTTATCCTGCTCACTTCCTGGACAAAGATGGGAAGTTTGTCAAGCGAGATGCCTTCTTGCCTTTTTCAGCAGGTTTGTGAATTTACCCATCACTCCTCAATATTCACTTATTTTGCAGATGAGTTGAAAATATTCCTTTTGTTTTCCCTCACAGGTCGCAGGCAGTGTCCTGGGGAGAGTCTGGCCAGAATGGAGATTTTCCTCTTCTTTACCAGCCTTTTGCAGCACTTTCGTTTTACTCCTCCTCCAGGAGTTTCGGAGGATGAATTGGATCTGACTCCAATAGTGAGCTTTGCCGTTAGCCCGTCGCCTCATAAACTGTGTGCTGTTCCTGTTGTGTGAGCTTTACAATGCTGCTTTTCTAACAGTCAATGGTGCGAGTTGGTTCAAGATTTTGAGTTGTACATCATTATATTAAATGTAGTGATAAAGTAGGCCAAGATCAGATTTTCAATATCAATGATGTAATTTAAATTAATAGACATCTTTCTCTTTAGTTTTGAATGTCAAGCGTCACTACTTAAGCAGCTTCAACCAGTTTGTAATTGTCTTTATTACTAATAAAGCTCACTGATATGCTCATCTTAATGTCTCATAAGAAAAGAGACTCCACTGCCAACAACAAGGAATAATAGTGAAGTTAAAGCTTAACAGTATCCCAAAGGAACAAGTTAACCTCGTTACCTTTCAGGTCCAATGGAATGATCTACAAACACACAATGATTACCACGCTTAGTGGAATAACGTTTCCACTAATTAAGTAAGCCACTTGGTTAGATTAAGCTAAAGATCATGGTTTGGTTTAAAACAAGAACTTTATTATATTATTAAAGTAATGGAGATAAATCAAATATAAGTTCTTGGTTGACTAATAGTTTTACACGGAACACCAATCTCCTCCGTGAAAGTCCAGTGTTTGTTTGACCATCCTATGCAAACGACCTCCTTACGGAGACAGCACTTCCTCTGATTAAAACCTTGTTTGTGAAAGATCAAAAACAGATGTAATCCGAGACAAAAAAGGGTCCTTCAAAACGGGGTTTCAAAAGAGCGGTTTTGTTTTTATGAAACCTTATTTTTAGGAGACCAGGCAGCTTCAATTAAATGTGCTATTATTATAGGGCGCAGAACATCATGCTGAATCTGTGTATCTGTAAATGCTGTATCTCACACAGAAGATTGACAATAAAGTTGACTTTGACTTGATGCTAGAGGCTTCTTTTTCCCAGTCTAACATTAACTTCAGCTATTTGGACATTTTCGTTGTTGTCCATCTTGAAGCCTTGGTTAAAAATCAACCCTGACCTGGCAGAGCTGAGCAGGGCTTTATCATTGATAATGTTGATTTATGTTCGCTGGATATGTTGATAGGTAACTGCTTGCTAACACAGTAGCATAATAACTTTGTTTGTTGCTTTTTGGGAGAAATTCTGCCACCTGGTGGGCTGAAACAAATTAAATCATGCATCTGAAAGTCTTAGAACTAATGCAGTGATGATAAATGATGTAAAAGTCTAAAATAAAAAAAGAATAAAATATTGAGCAGCCTGACTTGACGAGACAAATGAATTAAATGACCGTATGTCAAGGCTTAAGTGCTCTATAACAGTTTGTGTTATAAAAACTAGACAAAGTAATTTATTTATACATAGTTAGAAAATAATGGACACAATAAATGTTTTTGAATCAAAAAGGAAGCGAAACCGTGGTAACAGTTACCATGTTAAAGCTATATTAGGGAAGGTACAGGGTATGTTCTGACTGAATAAATTGAATGTCTCTGCAGATGTTATAAAGAGATTTTATATTCTGGGAGCTGGGGAAAAGTTGTAATCCTTTCCTAAAAGAACATGTCATTGCCATGAGCCATTGAATAATACACACAGGTAATCATTTTCAAGGGTTTGCAAAATCAGGGTAAATGAGCTTGTGTGAGTGAATACTTGAAGACCTCGACCTTGTTTCTATCAAATCTGTACGAGCAGTAAACACAATGGGAATTGTTTTTTTTCCTTTCCTTATTAGAGAGATTTCTTAGGTCTGACTGCCTGTCTCGTCTCAGTTGAGAGTTTTATTAGGGTACATGTTTCCAAACTTTATCACAAGTTAGCTATTGAAGAATTGTCCTAATTTAGAAATGTCCTTAGTTAGGAATCCTAAATTTGGATGCCATAATCCTAAATTAAAAAAACTTGCCAAATGAAAGCCAGAAAGGTGAGCAACAATTAAGGTTAAGGTCTGTAAACATTGTAATGTATGATCGAAAGGCTACCGTGTAGACCTGCTCTTTATGAAAAGTGCCTTGAGATAGCTTCTATGACTGTTTAGCGCTATATAAATACAATTAAACTGAAAACAGCATTTCTGTGTGAGATTTGGTCCACACGTTCGCAACGTTCCGAAGTTGGTTACATTTTGGCTGAAAAATGCATTATCATTTTCATGTACTCATATATATGCATATTGATCCTAATGTAGCACCTTATCTTTTGGACAAATCAAAGAGGTTATTCATTTCATTCTGATTGCTGCTGTTCATGTCATAGCTGTTAATAGCAATTATTACCATACTTTCTACTTTGTCCATTTTCTTTTGCCATGTTTCTGTGTACTGTGCCAATACCGAGCTGATCGCACGGGCAGTCCACTCTGTAGTAACCTAGAAAATAATGGATCTGCTGCAGTAAAGAAGGCATGCCCTCCCTCATCCCTCCCCCAACCCAACATAGTGTCAATAGACTCTAAATGGGTCAAAGTTTTGAAGAGCCAATATCCAAAACCAACAGACTGGGACAGAAGAATCTGTCAATACGAGACTTAACTTTATTGTTCCGTTAAACTCTCTTCTTCAGATCACATGACATTGAAGATAAGAAAGCAGTAAACCAATCAAACAATAAAAGTACACTCTTTCTAAAAAGGTACATTACAAGTTAGTTAGCTGATGCTTTTCCCCAAAGCAACTTACATACATTTCTTTAAAAAAAACATTATCTTTAATATATATATTTTTTTTATGCATGCTTCTTAGTTAATATTAAGCTGTCTTTGGCTCTTTTCTGCTGTAACAATTAATGTACATGTTCCCTCTGTGGGACGGATAAAGGCATTCTGATTCTGATTAAATATCATAGACATGCCTGCTAAATTAGCAATTTAATGTTTGTGTCCTGCCCAATGGCACTGGATTTGTTGGCTGCAGGGAGTGGGATTGCCCTTTGACCATCAGATTAATAGATAAGCACATTACCCGCCTGGGCTGTTTCCATACCACAAGCTCCAAAAGAAAGAAGGAAGCTTTTTCTTTTGTTATACTTTAATATGTATGAATTTAAATGTAAGATATCTAGGATTGAATTTCAGAAAACTATTACCGATTTCTAATATCCATCTAGTAAAACTCATATTTTTACAAGTAACTTTTATACTTGAGATGTATACAATTAATTGTAGATCTAGTCAAATTTGAATTTAGTAAGGATTATGGTAATTTGGGCCAAAATGTTTTTGAGATATGTTGTGATATATTCAAAATGCAGACAACTGATATGGGAAATTACACATACACTAGTCACTATCCTTTTCAACATAAGTTCAAAAAGGAATTATTGATTTTTTAACAAATGTTTTTACTGTTATATATTTACATTTTGCCACGTAGAAATGTGATTTCCACTAGTGAGAACTAGATTGCCAATAGTCATCCCTTTTGAGTAAATTATAAAAGGGCTATCCATAAACCCACTCGGTCATGAAAACTACAAGAAAGAACAAGATCAAAATCCCTCATATGTAACATTCATACATTCGATTGGTTTAAATAACTACTGTTACGTTCCCTCCAAAATCTAGGGGTACGAAGGGGAGTAACAAAACACAGAACGACCAGCAAGAGAAAAAAGAGAGGAAACTGATCTCTTTGTTCACACATGAGATTTAATTCAACAATAATGGACAACCAGGTCCCACACAGAGACCCAAGACGACGTGCTGCACCCATGCAGCCAGAGGAGAAAAGGAGACCCACTGCAGACTTCCTCAGGTCGTTTAAGGAAGACCCTGATTGGGGATTGGGAGCACCTGGGAGAGAGGCTGCACCTGGAGACAATCAGGCTGCACCTGGAGAATCAGAGGGAGAGAGAGAGAAAGACACACACACCCACACACACTACGGCACGTAACACCCCCCCCCCCATAAAACCAAACAAGTGTTTGGCCACAGTTACCAAAAACACTCAGACCACTGGACATGAATCGTGACCCACTGCAATCGCAATCTCACCCACAGCACCGTACATCGGCCACCACCTTATCTGCTCCCCTCTTGTGCTTGATGACGATATTGTATTCTGGGTGCTGGTCTTTTGACTTTTCCGTAGACTGCTTGGAAGCTGCCACCTGCTGCTTCCAAGCTACACACCCTGCCACTAGATGACCAGGATCAAGACAAAAGAAACATAATCTCTTGGGACCTCGAGTTCTGGTCAAAACACAACCTGCAAACACCTTCGGATGAGTCTGAGCTAGGTCACCACCTGCAGCACCAGGAACTGAAACGTCTACAACCTCAGCAGTAGGATACACTTTACCCCCGGCTATATCGTTACCCATTATGAAATCCACTCCGTCGACAGGAAACTTGGGCAGCACAGCAACTGGAAAGAAACCAGTAGCCAGTTTAGACTGTACCTGGATCTTGTGAAGAGGTGCAGGCACACAACCCATCCCAATACCTCTTACCACCGCACTTGCATCACAGGCAGACTCAGCACTCAAGGGCAGAACACTGGCAAGAATGAACGACTGTGAGCCACCACTGTCTCGTAACACCGTGACCTGCCGCTGGTCCTCCACTTTTCCTGACAGAGAGACAAAAGCAGTAGAGATGAACGGTTTCAAACACTCATCAGGCCCTTTGTTAACAGTGGCCCGTCCACTATGACACACTGCTGTAACCAATCCCACCCCTTCTGGGTGCTTGCCAGCCGCTGTCTGCTCTCGCTTCCAACCTGCACAGTCTGCTATCACATGACCTGGGTCATGACAAAAAAAACACACTCTGTTTAGCCTGGGATCTAACACTGGAGCACTGACACAGGGAACGTAATTGTCAGGAGCTCTACGATAAGTGTCTCGCTGAGGAGGATCACGCTGAAAAAAAACGCTCTTGTGTATCAGTGCAAACTCGTCTGCCAGAGTGGCAGCCTGCTGAAGGGTAGTTACCTTCTGCTCGTTCAGGTAGACTACCGTACGCTCAGGCACACAGTTCTTAAACTCCTCTAACATCATTAGCTCACACACTGAAGTAATGTCGTCAGCTTTACAAGCTCTACACCACCTGTCAAAGAGGACTTTCTTCTCCCTTGCGAAGTCCACGTAAGTTTGGCCAGAAGTTTTCATCAGGCCGCGAAAACGCTGCCTGTAGGCCTCAGGCACAAGCTCATATGCCCTGAGAACAGCACTTTTAACATTCTCATACACTAAACTATCCTCGACAGAAAGAGAAGAGCAAGCTTCTTGAGCCTTGCCGACTAGCTTACACTGTAAAAGAATAGCCCACACGTCTTCTGGCCAGCGCAGAGCAGCAGCAATGCGCTCAAATGCACCAAAATAGATCTCCACCTCTGATTCACGAAACACAGGGACCAAAGAAATATGCCTACTTACGTCGAAGGAGGCAGCAGGACCAGAAGATGTAACGGCAGAATCACCCCCCCCAGCTGCCTGAAGCTCTAACTGACGCATCCGGACAGCAGTGTCTGCCTCCACTTTCCTGATCTCCAGTTCCGACTTCCTGATCTCCAGCTCCCTCCTGACATCAGTGTCTGCCTCCAACTTCCTGATCTCCAGCTCCGACTTCCTGATCTCCAGCTCCCTCCTGACATCAGTGTCTGCCTCCAACTTCTTGATCTCCAGCTCCCTCCTGACATCAGTGTCTGCCTCCAACTTCCTGATCTCCAGCTCCCTCCTGAACTGAAAATCCCTATCACGCTCCTCCTTCTCCCACTGTAGACGAGCCATACGCACTTTTACCCTGGCATCTAATTTAGACCCCGTAGGTGAGGACCCTGCCGAAAACGAGTCCAACTGAGGCATGTTGAAAAGTTTTGCCTGTTCCGTAGCACTCTGAACACCTGGAGTAACACCAACGCGGCCTCCACCAGGAGACTCTGCTGCTACAGCCCCGGCCACCGTTCCAGGGGTTTCCACTGAAGTAGGCAGACTCAAAACCCCCTGTTCAACTAGTCCAGTTAGCACCGTAGCCTTGAGTTCACTCTTAACAAGAGCAGAGGAGACAGAAACGTGATAATGGTCAGCAACTAACTGCAAATCAATCTTCCTACACCAGTCTAGCTGACCCACAGTAGGACTGGCCACAAACTGCTCCAAAACAAAAGCCATCCTTATCAACGGCGACTTACAATTTATTTTTATTTTTTTTAACAAACTTCCCCAGATCCTGCCTACCAAACTTACCTAACTATCTTCTGGAGCGTGCCGGGCTCGAGGCGACTTTAAAGGCAAACATCAGCGGCCGAAACCCTGAAACGCCTGCCCCCAACAGGGAATAAATCCCCACCCAGGATTACCCCGAAAATAAAAAAGGCAAAATAAAAAATGAGTGCCTGAAGGAAAGACTGAGCCCAGCTAGACACTCCCCTATCTAAACTGAGGAAGCTTTTAAACAGCAAGAGACTTCACAGCCAATGCTACACAATATCAACGCTAAACCACAAACAGATACTCACTCTTTGTCTCAAAGATCGGACGAGCCCCCATTTGTTACGTTCCCTCCAAAATCTAGGGGTACGAAGGGGAGTAACAAAACACAGAACGACCAGCACGAGAAAAAAGAGAGGAAACTGATCTCTTTTTTCACACATGAGATTTAATTCAACAATAATGGACAACCAGGTCCCACACAGAGACCCAAGACGACGTGCTGCACCCATGCAGCCAGAGGAGAAAAGGAGACCCACTGCAGACTTCCTCAGGTCCTTTAAGGAAGACCCTGATTGGGGATTGGGAGCACCTGGGAGAGAGGCTGCACCTGGAGACAATCAGGCTGCACCTGGAGAATCAGAGGGAGAGAGAGAGAAAGACACACACACCCACACACACTACGGCACGTAACACTACAATAATGAATCTTTACCTGCAGGAATCTGGGAATACCAAGAGTCACTTCCACGATAATAACCTGTTGCAGACAGTTCTTAATCTCTTTGCTGCCGGGACTGACACAACAGCAACAACCCTGAGATGGGGACTTCTGTTTATGGCCAAGTATCCAAAAATACAAGGTAAGGAGCCTAAAATCGCCCCCAAAAAATCCTACAACAGTCCAAGCAACAATATGTGCTTTACCAACACAAAGATCATCTCAATTATAAAAACTTTCCATCTTTTAGACCAGGTCCAGGAAGAGCTGAGCAGGGTGATAGGAAGTCGACAAGCCCAGGTTGAGGACAGGAAGAGCCTGCCTTTCACTGACGCCGTCATCCATGAGACACAGAGACTGGCTAACATTGTCCCGATGGCCATTCCTCACAAAACAAGCGAAGACGTAACTTTCCAGGGTCACTTCATTAAGAAGGTCAGAATGAATGAACAACTTAATTTAGAGAATCTAAAATTACTTGAAAGGATGAAACACATATGACTAATAAAACCGGAGGACTGTCCTGTGACTTAAATTAAACTAGACATACCACCTTAGATCTGCCTAAGCTGAAGAAAATGCTAACCTTAATCAGCAGGTGCTAAGCAAGGAACAGGGTTAAAAAAGAAAGAAAAGACATGCTCTTCTTGACTTAATCGATTGCCCTTATTTAAAGGGGACCTATCATGCAAAATGCACTTTTGTATGTCTTTTATACATGAATATGTGTCCCCGGTGTTCCAGGGAACTCACCAAGTGTCAGAAAACACAACCCTCTCTATTTTCCTCCATACCCAAATCTTAAAAAAAAGGGGCTGCAACGGATCTGACAGACTGATCCAGATTTGAACACTTCACTGACGTCACAGAAGTGGCGCTACGGCTATTGGGCCAACTCTCCACCTATCAGGGGAATGTGGGGTTGCGCCACGGCCGGCCATTGCCGCTCGAAAGCGCTGGAGACGCTGTAGTACATATGCCAGGCCTGTAAGTGGTGCTGTAGTCTGCCACAAAAGCAGTGAAGAAGACTTCCCGCCCATAGTTACCATGGTTACCCTTCTGTCTATTCTCCGCTGTAGCTTTTTTTCTCCCTCCCCGAGGCAAGCGTTTGCTCCCGCTGCTTTAATTCAATGCAATCCCTCCCCGTCGAGGCAAGCACTGTAATTCTCTCCGGTTAGTCCACCAGCAGATGACAAACACCCACCTCTCCGCCTCTTCCAAGGAACGAGGGGACCGTGCGGCAGAGTTTCAGTTTCAGTTTGTTTCGCCGGTCAAGATGTCTGTTAAAGTTTAAATCTTCCGGACAAAATTAGAAAAGTGCCGGTCAAAGGTCTTCTTTGTTATTTATTGAGCTTTAAAACAAATGAATAACGACTCTATATAGGCTATAATAATATAATAAAACACGGAGGACGGAGACATTTTTTTCTCCCCCTCTTGACTTGATCAGAGCACGGCTCCCCTCTCCTGCAGGGGGGCGTGGTCAGCTGCAGCTCACAGAATCAGCCCCGTAGACAGCAAACGGCACATAGAGCGAAATGAGGCATGGCTAAAATGCATGATCTATTTGGTATTTTGAAAACAGAAACGTATAAATATACCTTATATAGGTATGGCCCTACAATATATCATTTAAATATAGCATGATATGTCCACTTTAAATCATTAGGACATATTAGTAAGACATCCATTGTTCAACCGGTTCTATCAATAGAATTCGCCCTCTATATATGACAGTATTGGAAATGGACCGTGTTTTGTCCACAGGGGACCACAGTGTTTCCTCTCTTGACATCCGTCCTGTATGATGAGAGTGAGTGGGAACACCCCCGCAGTTTTTATCCTGCTCACTTCTTGGACAAAGATGGGAAGTTCCTCAAGCGAGAGGCCTTCATGCCTTTTTCTGCAGGTTGGTGAATTTAGCCATCACTTCTTGATGTGCACTGACTTGCAGGCGAGATGATCATATTCCTTTTGTTTTCTTTCTCTTAAAGGTCGCAGGGCTTGTCTTGGAGAGAGTCTGGCCAGGATGGAGCTCTTCATCTTCTTCACCAGCCTCTTGCAACACTTTCATTTTACTCCTGCTCCAGGAGTTTCGGAGGATGAATTGGATCTTACTCCACGCACAGGCTCCACTCTCAACCCTTCACTTCATAAACTGTGTGCTGTTTCCTGTATGTGACCAGTAGGGCTTGAAAATGCTGCTTAGTCCCACTGTCATCACTTCATATTCATTAAATTCATGAATTCTGATTCTGATTTCTGAGTCATTCTAATGAGTTCAGCATGATATTTCATGTAGTGCAATAGGACTAAATATATACAACTTCATTAATGTCATTATCACCTTCTCACAAAAAACATGTTGTGAATGCAAATCGGTTCAAATATATGGTATTCTCTATATCAATTATTGTTTCTGCCGATCCCGTCATTAAAAATTAAAATTGTATTCATATTGATCTCTATCTGCCTTTTTTCGTAAATACTCGGGAATTTACTTCACCGAAGTCTTTATTAAGTGTCTTAAAGGAGAGGTGTCATGCTTTTCCGGTTATTACCCGTCCCCTTGTGTGTTATGAAGGTTTTTATGCATGTAAACGGTGTGCAGAGTCAAAACCCCCAAAGTACACCCTGTAGCGAGTAAAACTCTAACACAGAAAATACCTCCCCAAAACGCCTTGTTGGAGATACGTCACTGCCCATTTGAGTCTTCCATTTTGTTCCGGGTACGGCATGATGTCAAGCGGTACCCGGAACGAAATGGACCAATCCCGAAGAGCCGTTACGTTAAGCCCCCGCTGATTGGTCCAAATTGACCGATCCACGGACTTCCTCACACACACATCTGTGTGCAGGGAGCAGGCAGCTCAGCTGATTTCTCCTCCCTGGCTGCAGGCTGATAACAGACAGTTGGGATCGCGGCAAAATTCTCTCTGCAGACCCATTCTCACAGCGTTTATCAACCTTTTTCTTACTCAATATCAAGCCACACTTATTGTTTTTACTTCGGATGTGAGGTTGTGTGTGCTCAGGATGAATTTGGCTGTGTTTCGCTATGTATCCTAAACAAGGAAACAACACCTCCACGGAGCTCAGCGCGATTCACAACGTCCCGACCAATCAGAGCACACTGTGCTCACAGGGAGGGTGGGGGCTGGAGCTTTTGGAGATACAACGAGCCGTTAAAGGCAGATAGTGAAATTCAGTGAATACAAGTAGTTTACAGAGATGCTGTATGAGAAACCAATGTGAGATTGGAAAAATGCACAGTATAAATCTATTCTAGTAGACCTCAACAATGGAATTATGATCAGTGGAAATGGCCATGACACCTCTCCTTTAATAAATCAATATGTGCATGATAGGCGACAATTTGCCAATGCTTGTGATATGATATTGATTTCTCTATTTTTACAGGAGAAACTTAGCCAACAAACTATGCAGTTTTTAAGAATATATTTTTCATTTTGAATGGCAGCAGATTTGAATGATTCGTTGAATCACCGGTCGATCGAGCAGTGTAATACCTAGTATTTGTCTACGCTTCTTGCCAAAAATAACTTTTAGAAATGTGAAATCATGTTTAAACTAAGCCAAGTCAGATACTAGTTTTCACTGAATAGTACTGAACACACTATTGACATTTTGTAGGAAATTAACAAATGTTTAAAGGCACTCTTCTGACTGTTTTTTTTTCATAATAAAGTATTATTGAAAAAAGATATGTCCGTGTCCCGGACACGTCATATTCATCCCCAGTAAACAGGGGCGCCGCCAGTGATTTTGGGCCCCATGAAAAGATATCACATTGGTTACTTAAACGTTTTTTTCTTAATGTTCTAAAATTGTTTGGGCCCCTGTCAGTCACGGGCCCTTAGAATCTCGTTATTCAAGCACCTTGAATTGCCTTGTGTTGAAAGGTGCTATATAAATAAACTTGCCTTGCCTTGCCTAGAATCGTCCTAACTTTTCACCCCCTTACGGTGCCCCTGCCAGTAAATATAGGTCTCGACTCACGATGGTACCTGAGCTAGTGTAGAAATACATTTTGTCACGTTATAAGACATAACCACAATAAACATCCATAATAAAATATAAAATTGTGCAGCAAGTCACTGTCACTCATATACAAGACTCATAGATAACTGAGGTGATTCGCTTGTTCTAGAAAACTTGTTGACACAATCCTATAAAATACAACAGACACAGACGCAAACGTTTGTGCTTAATGGATGGCTGATATTTTGTCTAAATTGCTATAGTTTTTATGAAAATCAAGCAAAAAGTTACCAGCAGGAAAAGGCACACGTTTGTATTGTTGTGTAGAGGCAAAATTAAACTTTTCATTTTAACAACGTACGTACTTGGTTTTGTAAAGAAATGATCAATAGAGATAAGAATGAGTGAAAGATAAAAGAGAACAACATAACAACTTCATATGAAACTTTTTATCAAGATGATCTTTAACACCATTTTATGTTAAGTCATTTGATGTATATGATCCAGTAACATTAATCATTTCAAGAGTTTTCTAAATCAGGGTTAATGTTACATCTGAGCTTGTGTGTGGAAACTTGGCCATAAGTCCTTATCCTGGATCCTGTCAAATATATACTAGCAGTTAACACAATGGGAACCAGAGGAATATTTTGAAGGCTGACATCCTATCTTGTCTCATTTTAGGATGACATTTAAGAATTTTAGTAGGATACATTTTCTCCTTACTATATTGAGGAACGCAGTTTTATCTCATCTTAGGATAGGAAGTTAGCTCAAGTTATTGAAGAATCATCATAACTTAGAAAAAGTTAGTAATCCTACATTGGTTGGATGGCAAAGACCCTTTCCTAAATGTAAAACAATTGCCAAGTGACAGCCAGAAAGGTCAGCCTTTGTTTTTGGACAAAACCAAAGAGGTAATTAATTTCATCCTCAATGTTGATTATATAATCATGCTGAGTTCCATCAAGAAACAAAGGCAAAAATAAGACTCCAAAACAGCTAGTTATAAAATCATTATATATTTTTCAAAACCTTACACTCAGTTGTCAGAAAAAGTTCCCAAATCCTACAGAGTGTACAGACCAGGACTTGTCCAGGTTAAACCTCTCCTTAACCTGCACTAGTCTCTAACCTCTGTACAGACCAAGCTAACTCTCTCCGTCTGATCATATGACATTTGAGATAAGAAAACTGTAAACCAATATCAAAAACAAAGACTCTCTTCTGAAGTGTGCTGATAAGAACAAAGGTTGAAACCAGCCCTACCCTTGGCAGGGCTGTTTCCCTCAACAGCAAATATAAAATAAATGACTCTTCAACACACAAAGCACATAATCCAGAAGCGTTTTTTCAGTAAGCTGTCAAGGACGCTTTTTTTTTTTTAAATCATGGGGATAATAGATTTTCTCCTTCAGTCTTTCAGCTCTATCTCCTTGTTTGGGGCTTTGGTTGTCCTGCTGCTCGTCTTTATTGTCTCATCCTCCAGTTTTAGCTCCCAGGATGAAGGAAAGGAACCTCCAGGTCCAAAACCACTTCCCATCATCGGAAACCTGCTGCAGATTGACCTTAAAAGACCCTACCACACATTTCTGGAGGTGAGAAAATGACTGGAATAACAAGCATGTCTTTAAGGGTGATTTGTTGGATGTGCACTTCAGGTAGCAATGTTACAAAGGTTCAATCAAATTAATTTGTGTTTTTGGTTATTTAAAAAAAAACTTGACATTATGCCCCGGTTTTCTTAGTTTTCCAAAACATATGGATCAGTGTTCACAGTGTATTTGGGATCCAAAAAAGTGGTGGTCCTGGCTGGATATAAAACAGTGAAGGAGGCCCTTGTGAACTACGCTGAAGAGTTTGGAGACAGAGATACAATGCAAATAACAAAGGAAATGAGTAACGGCCATGGTAAGGAAAGCAAGATTTGTTTACACAAAATATTTTCCTTGTTTGTTAAAACAGCCGATTGGGCAGTAGGCAACAATTTGACCAAATAGGACGCAGCCATAAACTTTGTTGCAACCTAGTCTAATCTTGTTTAACTTAAAACATTTTTTAATCTTAGGCGTTGTATTTTCCAACGGTGAATCATGGAAAGAGATGAGGCGCTTTGCCTTGACTAACCTCAGAGACTTTGGGATGGGTAAGAGGGCTTGTGAGGACAAAATCATGGAGGAATGCACCTACCTCATTGAAGTGTTTAATAAATGCAAAGGTAAGTGTCTTATTAAAACCAACAGCATGAGAAACAACATTTTGCCAATGCTTGCGATTCCTTTTTTATGTTCCTGTAATCCTTTCTACAGGAAAAGCTTTTGATACAGCCCAACCAATGAACTGTGCAGTCTCTAATATTATCTGCTCCATTGTTTATGGCAGCAGATTTGAATATGATGATCCTGAGTTTACTTCATTGGTAGAAAGAACAAACAGGAATATTCAACTCCTGGGCTCCCCGTCGATACAGGTGCTATTTCATATGTTTATTAAGCTTAGACTTTCAGATGTTGTTTTAATGTTCATATAAAATATGAACATGACAAATGTGTCACTTGTCTTTTGAACACTATTTCATTGCCTGTTAATTTTTAACAGGTATATAACATGTTCCCATGGATTGGTAAGTGGGTTGCTAACAGAAAGGAACTCCACACGATGGTTGCTGCAAACAAGGAACAGAATCGACGGCTGTTTACACGTTTGAAAGAGACCTTCAATCCCCAGATGTGCAGAGGCTTTGTGGACTCATTTCTGCTCCGAAAGCAAAATCTGGAGGTTGGCAAGCTACACATCACTAACCCTAACAAAAAACACTGGTTGATCAACCCGTTACTGCTTTGTTTGTCTCTCCATAGGCCACTAAGAAAATTATATTGTTATTTATGTACAATTGTTCTTCATCATAGATATCATAAATAGAATCCTAGATGTGTAAAAATTAGGGATGCACCGATGCTAAATTTCTTGGCTGATGCCGATGCGGTTTTAATGTAATTTATTTTCCACTGTTGTTATTCCATGTTGTGCCAGGAAAAACACATTTATTTCTCGCAAAATGGTTTCAGTTTCAAAGGCTGAGCAAGTTCGTTATTATAACATCATAGTACGCTGTTTAGAAAGTATGGAGCTCCACCGGATCACCTGCAGGTCTGCTCGCAGTGAGGGGACCTTGTGAGCGGAGCAAAACACACGTTTAGATTTAGACATCACACTTAGCTAGTTCATCTACCTATGAATCTACCTAAACTAGTTATAAATATATTTATTCTTCACTGTCGGATCACTCATTACTGGATCAGCTTGAGACGGATACGGACCGGCTGTCAGGGGAGAGAGGAAAAGAGAGAGAGAGGGAGAGAGGAAAAGAGAGCGCTCCGTTCCGTGTCAACGGAACACTTTTTGCAAACTGCAAATCGCGGATCTCTGGGTGAAACAATGAAATAGTCCCACACTGCAGATTTTTTTGTTTTCTTTAGTTAATGTTTTTTTTTATATAAATGAACTACGGGTGCCGCAGATGTTATGATGGAACGCGAGAAAAAATAACAAAAACATCGGCGCCTAAATAGGGCGAACATCGTCCCTCTGGCCGATGTATCGTTGCATCCCTAGTAAAAATACATTTAGACAAGAAAAGAGTAAACTGTTGAAATGTTGGTTTATAATTAAATGTTATAATTTAATATGTATGAATTTAAATGTAAGATATCTAGGATTGAATTTCAGAAAACTATTACCGATTTCTAATATCCATCTAGTAAAACTCATATTTTTACAAGTAACTTTTATACTTGAGATGTATACAATTAATTGTAGATCTAGTCAAATTTGAATTTAGTAAGGATTATGGTAATTTGGGCCAAAATGTTTTTGAGATATGTTGTGATATATTCAAAATGCAGACAACTGATATGGGAAATTACACATACACTAGTCACTATCCTTTTCAACATTTATTGTAAGTATCTCAAATTGTTATTCATATAAGTTCAAAAAGGAATTATTGATTTTTTAACAAATGTTTTTACTGTTATATATTTACATTTTGCCACGTAGAAATGTGATTTCCACTAGTGAGAACTAGATTGCCAATAGTCATCCCTTTTGAGTAAATTATAAAAGGGCTATCCATAAACCCACTCGGTCATGAAAACTACAAGAAAGAACAAGATCAAAATCCCTCATATGTAACATTCATACATTCGATTGGTTTAAATAACTACAATAATTAATCTTTACCTGCAGGAATCTGGGATTACCAAGAGTCACTTCCACGATAATAACCTGTTGCAGACAGTTCTTAATCTCTTTGCTGCCGGGACTGACACAACAGCAACAACCCTGAGATGGGGACTTCTGTTTATGGCCAAGTATCCAAAAATACAAGGTAAGGAGCCTAAAATCGCCCCCAAAAAATCCTACAACAGTCCAAGCAACAATATGTGCTTTACCAACACAAAGATCATCTCAATTATAAAAACTTTCCATCTTTTAGACCAGGTCCAGGAAGAGCTGAGCAGGGTGATAGGAAGTCGAAAAGCCCAGGTTGAGGACAGGACGAGCCTGCCTTTCACTGACGCCGTCATCCATGAGACACAGAGACTGGCTAACATCGTCCCGATGGCCATTCCTCACAAAACAAGCAAAGACGTAACTTTCCAGGGTCACTTCATTAAGAAGGTCAGAATGAATGAACAACTTAATTTAGAGAATCCAAAATTACTTGAAAGGATGAAACACATATGACTAATAAAACCGAAGGACTGTCCTGTGACTTAAATTAAACTAGACATACCACCTTAGATCTGCCTAAGCTGAAAAAAATGCAAACCTTAATCAGCAGGTGCTAAGCAAGGAACAGGGTTAAAAAAAAAAAAAAAAAACATGCTCTTCTTGACTTAATTGATTGCCCTTATTTAAATCATTAGGTCATATTAGTAAGACATCCATTGTTCAACCAGTTCTATCTATAGAATCCGCCCTCTATATATATGACAGTATTGGAAATGGACCGTGTTTTGTCCACAGGGTACCACAGTGTTTCCTCTCTTGACATCCGTCCTGTATGATGAGAGTGAGTGGGAACACCCCCGCAGTTTTTATCCTGCACACTTCTTGGACAAAGATGGGAAGTTCCTCAAGCGAGATGCCTTCATGCCTTTTTCTGCAGGTTGGTGAATTTAGCCATCACTTCTTGATGTGCACTGACTTGCAGGCGAGATGATCATATTCCTTTTGATTTCTTTCTCTTAAAGGTCGCAGGGTTTGTCTTGGAGAGAGTCTGGCCAGGATGGAGCTCTTCATCTTCTTCACAAGCCTCTTGCAACACTTTCGTTTTACTCCTGCTCCAGGGGTTTCGGAGGATGAATTGGATCTTACTCCACGTGTAGGCTTCACCCTCAGCCCTTCACCTCATAAACTGTGTGCTGTTTCCTGCATGTGAGCAGTAGGGCTTGAAAATGCTGCTTAGTCCCACTGTCATGACTTTAAATCAATTTAATTCCAGAGCATTTTCTAATTGTACAACTTGATAGTTAATGTAGTGCAACAGCAGATAATATGTACAACTTCATACATTTCATCACAACAATTTTCACTTCCTCACTATAGACCTGTAAATGCAGATCTGGCAAAGTACATGGTATTCTCTACATCAACTGGTGTTTCTGGCTATCATGTCATTAACATGTCAATTGTATTCATGTTAATCTTTGTCTGCATTTCTTTGTAAATCATTGAGAAATTGATTTCACCAAAGTCAAAAACCTCATTGAAGTGTTTAAGAAATGAAGGGGGTGAGTACCTTGTAAAAAAAATGCATGATTCGCCACATTTTGCCAATGTTTAAGGTGTTCATTTATTATCCAATTCCCCCTTGTTACAAGAGAAATTTAGAAAATAAACTACGCAGATTTGAATTGTATTTGTTTCATTGTTAATGGCCAAATGTAATATAATGAACTAGAATTTACATAACTGGTAGAGGAGGAAGCAATCAGTTAATACAAAGTATTCATCCTAGAAAACCAGAACCACAATAAACATCCACAATACAGTAAAACAAAATTAGTTCATGTTACTCCCACTCATATACAAGATTCAGAGTTAACCTGTTAAGCCCCAAGCCTGTTTTTCAGGTCTCAGGCTCGAAAATGACATTCCCAGAACAAATGACTATATCTTCACTTCTAAAAGGGGTAAATTAATCATCTTTTTTCTCAAAGCAATGATAAACCTGTGAGCTGGATGTAGAAAAGTCAGAATCAATATAGATGTTTTTATTTTAAAGTAAATTCAGATTGAACATAGTAAAAGGAAATGTAAATTATAGTTTCCCAAAAAAAAAACATTACTTATAGTGAAAACCACCCTTGAATGATGGGATAGTAGACAAAAAAGCTTACCCTGTATCAAGATTGATGCAAAGCAGTTACATTTGACCTTTTTAAAAAGAGGTTTAGAAAAAAGAAAACACTTCTGGGGTCATTTGGGTGGATTTTCCACATCTCTGGAACCCATCGGTCGATTTTGATGATTGACACCTCTTTTTAGCCGATAGAGCCAATAGAATCGAGAGGGAAGTTCCTAAATCCATCTAAACATTACCATTGGTGAATGAGTGATGCGCAGCCAGCATGCCCAAAACCGGAAACTGTCATACACTCTCGTAGCTCTCATAGCAGCTATATATGAAAACTCTGTTTTTGCCATAAATAGGATGATGGATTATCAGTAATCATTTCAAAGTGACAAAGAGACATTGGATTAACCTTCAGCAGGGTTATATACGTTTTAATGCCATTGAACACAACTTTTGATCAGAAAACAGCAAAGGTAAGACGTATTTGCCGCTTTGGCCCCGTAAAGCTAAGTTGTGCATTGTCTGGTTTCGCCTTCGCTCCTGCGAGTTTTGGTCGCACAGTGATGATACCATTGGAATCTGTGGAATCTTAGCTTTCATCTGATACCTTGTTTGTGCAGATCCGATTAAGCTGAGTTTCTTCCCGCTAAGTGAGTATGACACATTCATAGGTTGTTAAATGTTAAGAAGCCCTGAGACACAGTTTCGTGAATATTGTTGTGTTTAGCACAGAACTCACGTTAGCGATCTTTTATACTTCATCGGATCTGCACAAACAAGATATCATCTGAAAGCTGATATTCTACAGATTCCAATGGTATAAGTATCATCACTGAGCGATCAAAACTCGCGGCAGCGAAGGCTGGCAAAGACAACACACAACTTCACTTTACTGGGCCAAAACGGCAAATATTTCTTACCGTTGCTGTTTTCTGATCAAAAGTTGTGTTCAATGGCATTAAAACTCATATAAACCCTGCCTAAAGTTAATCCAATGTCTCTGTGTCACTTAGAAATAATTACTGATAATCCATCGTCATATTTATGATCAATAAGCCTAGTTTTCAGTTTTCAGAGTGTAAAATAGCTTTCGGTTTTCTCTCTCACTCTTCAATGGTAATGTGTTGGTGGATTTAGGAACTTCCCCTCGATTCTATTGGCTCTAACGGTTAAAAAGAGGTGTCAATCACCAAAATCGAAAGAAATTATAATTATTGATTATTACTATTATTATTATTATATCAGATATCGGTTTTCCAGTTGTAACTAGTGAAACATTTGTATTGAAACAAATATACGTAAAATATCTCAAATTAATTCAAAGCTGGTCAAATTTGAATTTAGGTTATAAAAAAAGAATTTCCTGTAGTCAAAATGTAAAAGTAGTTATAGAAATGTTAATATTGTGTGTCAGAAATATGCATGGCAATTTGGGCCATATATCAGTAATGAAGATGGCAATGTTGGCCAATGACCCAAAATGGTTTGTTGATATTTCGACATATTAAAAATGATGATGTTGATGATGATGGGAAACTGCATTGGTCACCATTCTTTGTTCAACATGTTAAAATGTAATTGTGATGTGTGTTTTAAGTGAAAGAGGAAATTACTGACTTCTTCATATCAAAAGTGATTCACAGATATCCTGATTAACATTCTGACATTTTGAGATGTAATTTGCAATAGAGATAACTACATCAGTACTAGTCAGCCCTTTGATTAAATGATAAAAAGGCTGGCCAACTACTACCTCAACAAAACAAAAAATGCCCTCCTACTGTATGTAACACGTCAAAGGTTTTGTTCAGATTTGTTTGAATAACTGAATTATCTTTACTCGCAGGAATCCGGGATCACCGACAGTCACTTCCATGATAAAAACCTGATACAGACTGTTCTTAATCTCTTTACTGCTGGCACTGACACAACAGCAACTACACTGAGATGGGCACTACTATATATGGCAAAGAATCCAAAAATACAAGGAAAGGAGCTTAGAATCCTCACAATTTTCAGAAATTGTAAAGGACGCAATTTCCGGTCAAAGTTTGTCTGTAATATGTTTGAGCATTAGTACTCTTTTTTACGACAAAACAAAAACAATGAGTATATCAAATATATGAACTTTTCTTTCAAATTCCGGGAATACAGGAGAAATTGTAAAGGACGCAATTTCCAAGGGGATGATGAGTTTTTTTTATGTTAAATCTAAAGAAATACCTATAAGTTATCATTGACTTTTTTTGTCACACAATGATTACCACGCTTAGTGGAAAAACGTTTCCAATAATGAAGTAAGCCACTTGGTTAGATTAAGCTAAAGATCATGGTTTGGTTTAAAACAAGAACTTTATTATATTATTAAAGTAATGGAGATAAATCAAATATAAGTTCTTGGTTGACTAATAGTTTTACACGGAACACCAATCTCCTCCGTGAAAGTCCAGTGTTTGTTTGACCATCCTATGCAAACGACCTCCTTACGGAGACAGCACTTCCTTTGATTAAAACCTTGTTTGTGAAAGATCAAAAACAGATGTAATCCGAGACAAAAAAGGGTACTTCAAAAGGGGGTTTCAAAAGAGCGGTTTTGTTTTCATGAAACCTTATTTTTAGGAGACCAGGCAGCTTCAATTAAATGTGCTATTATTATAGGGCGCAGAACATCATGCTGAATCTGTGTATCTGTAAATGCTGTATCTCACACAGAAGATTGACAATAAAGTTGACTTTGACGCTAGAGGCTTCTTTTTCCCAGTCTAACATTAACTTCAGCTATTTGGACATTTTCGTTGTTGTCCATCTTGAAGCCTTGGTTAAAAATCAACCCTGACCTGGCAGAGCTCAGCAGGGCTTTATCATTGATAATGTTGATTTATGTTCGCTGGATATGTTGATAGGTAACTGCTTGCTAACACAGTAGCATAATAACTTTGTTTGTTGCTTTTTGGGAGAAATTCTGCCACCTGGTGGGCTGAAACAAATTAAATCATGCATCTGAAAGTATTAGAACTAATGCAGTGATGATAAATGATGTAAAAGTCTAAAATAAAAAAAGAATAAAATATTTAGCAGCCTGACTTGACGAGACAAATTAATTAAATGACCGTATGTCAAGGCTTAAGTGCTCTATAACAGTTTGTGATATAAAAACTAGACAAAGTAATTTATTTATACATAGTTAGAAAATAATGGACAAAATAAATGTTTTGAATCAAAAAGGAAGTAAAACCGTGGTAACAGTTCCCATGTTAACCTGTTGAAAATGACATTCCCAGAACAAATGACCATATCTTCCCTTCTAAAAGGGTTAAATTAATAATCTTTTTTCTCAAAGTAATGATAAACCTGTGAGTTGGATGTAGAAAAGTCAGAATCAATATAGAGGTTTTTTATGTTAAAGAAAATTCAGATTGAACATAGTAAAAAACTGTAAATGATAGTGTCCGTCCAAAAATTCTTTTTTACTTATAGTGAAAACTACCCTTGGATGATGGTAAGGTAGACTAAAAGCTTCAGGAATCCAAAGTACAACATATAATAAGTACCCTGTGTCAAGATTTATGCAAAACAAGTGACATTTGACCTTTTTAGAGAGGTTTAGCAAAAGAAAACTCCACCTCTGAGGTGATTTGGGTGGAAATGGGCGTTTTTACCGTTTCTCTGGAACCCATTGGTCGATTTTGGTGATTGACATCTCTTTTTGACCGTTAGAGCCAATAGAATCGAAGGGGAATTTCCATATACACACACACGTTACGTACCGTTATGCGCACGCAGGTTTGCATCAGAGTGAACCTATCTCTCGCTCTGACATCTGGAAACGGAAAAGCAGTTTTATTTCTTATGGATTGTCAGAAATCATCTCAAAGGGACACAGACACATTGGATTAACCTATGGATTAACTTCAGCAGCGTTTTTATCGTTTTAATGCCTTGAAGACCACTTGTGACCAGACAACGACACAGGTAAGCCATGTTAGCGTTTTTAGCTACCTAGCGCCACATGTTTTGATGTCTGTTTTTGTTTATAAAGTTGCGAGTTCTTATCATGGAGTGATGATGTAGGTACTGATCGATTCTGTGTGTTCTCACGATGCTAGTCGATATGTTGGACGTGCAGTAAAGATAAATAATAAGGGTGTTATGAGTGAGTTTCTGTGCAAAACGCCGTTAGCATTTTTTCGCTCGTGGCTAATTCATAGGCCCAGCGCTAGCTTTGTGGGGTTTTTTTGAAAAAAAAAAAAAAAAAAAATCAGTTAGCCGAGTTTCTTCCCGTTACATGGATATAAAACATTCAGTTTATTGAATATTAAGATGCCCTCAGACGCTGTTTCTGGCAGATGACGCGTTTTTCCCCCGGTATCGGGGGTGCGGTGTAGAAGAGGTTAAAGCTATATTAGGGAAGGTACAGGGTATGTTCTGACTGAATAAATTGAATGTCTCTGCAGATGTTATAAAGAGATTTTATATTCTGGGAGCTGGGGAAAAGTTGTAATCCTTTCCTAAAAGAACATGTCATTGCCATGAGCCATTGAATAATACACACAGGTAATCATTTTCAAGGGTTTGCAAAATCAGGGTAAATGAGCTTGTGTGAGTGAATACTTGAAGACCTCGACCTTGTTTCTATCAAATCTACGAGCAGTAAACACAATGGGAATAGTTTTGTTTCCCTTTCCTTATTAGAGAGATTTCTTAGGTCTGACTAACTGTCTCGTCTCAGTTGAGAGTTTTATTAGGGTACATGTTTCCAAACTTTATCACAAGTTAGCTATTGAAGAATTGTCCTAATTTAGAAATGTCCTTAGTTAGGAATCCTAAATTTGGATGCCATAATCCTAAATTAAAAAAACTTGCCAAATGAAAGCCAGAAAGGTGAGCAACAATTAAGGTTAAGGTCTGTAAACATTGTAATGTATGATCGAAAGGCTACTGTGTAGACCTGCTCTTTATGAAAAGTGCCTTGAGATAGCTTCTATGACTGTTTAGCGCTATATAAATACAATTAAACTGAAAACAGCATTTCTGTGTGAGATTTGGTCCACACGTTCGCAAGTTGGTTTCATTTTGGCTGAAAAATGCATTAGATAGATAGATAGATAGATCGTACTTTATTGATCCCAAATTGGGAAATTGTTTTTGTTACAGCAGCATAAAAGGCATTTTACAATAAAACAAAATATACAAGAATAGAAATAAAATAAAATAAAATATAAAATAAAATATAAAATATACATGTCAAAATACAAAATAGAAAATATACATACAGATATTATATATATATATATATATATATACAAATATATATATATTCAAAATATATGGAATTATGGAGTATTAAATATGAAACAGATTATGTGTGAGTAAAATGTACAAGGTGGTTTAATTTCTAGAGAAACTATGGAGCAGAGAGTTCTCTTCCAGCCAGAGGTGATTTGTTGTACAGTGTTATTGCAGTGGGCAGGAATGTTTTCCAGTATCTGTCCTTGAGACAGGGGAGCTGCAGCAGTCTGTTGGAGAAGGAGCTGCAGCAGTCTGTTGGAGAAGGAGCTCCGCTGACTGTCCAGCTGCAGGTGGAGAGGATGGGTGGGGTTATCCATGATGGACAACAGCCTGTTCAGTGTCCTCCTCTCCACCACAGCTTCAAAGGGTTCCAGCTTGATGCCGATGACTGACCCAGCTTTCCTGATCAGTTTATTGATCCTGCTGGTGTCACCGGCTCTGATGCTGCCCCCCCAGCAGACCGCAGCAAAGAAGAGTGCACTAGCCACAACAGACTGATAGAAGATCTCCAGCATCTTACTGCATACGTTGAAGGATCTCAGCTTCCTCAGAAAATAGAGTCTGCTCATCCCCTTCTTGTACACAGCGTCAGTGTTGATCCTCCAGTTCAGCCCATTGTCTAAGTGCACTCCCAGGTACTTGTAGACCTCCACAACTGCCACATCCTCTCCCAGAATGCACAGGGGCAGAGGATTATCATTTTCATGTACTCATATATATATATATATATCAGAAGAATCTGTCAATACGAGACTTACCTTTATTGTTCCATTAAACTCTCTTCTTCAGATCACATGACATTGAAGATAAGAAATCAGTAAACCAATCAAACAATAAAAGTACACTCTTTCTAAAAAGGTACATTACAAGTTAGTTAGCTGATGCTTTTCCCCAAAGCAACTTACATACATTTCTTTAAAAACAAATTATCTTTAACATATTTTTATTTTTTATGCATGCTTCTTAGTTAATATTAAGCTGTCTTTGGCTCTTTTCTGCTGTAACAAATGTACATGTTCCCTCTGTGGGACGGATAAAGGCATTCTGATTCTGATTAAATATCATAGACATGCCTGCTAAATGAGTAATGGAATGTTTGTGTCCTGCACTCCCTGCAGCCAACACATCCACTGTCATTGGACAGTGGATGTGTTGGCTGAAGGGAGTGGGATTGCCCTTTGACCATCAGACTAATAGATAAGCACATTACCTGCCTGGGCTGTTTCCATACCATAAGCTCCAAAAGAAAGAAGGAAGCTTTTTCTTTTGAAATCATGGGGCTATTGGATCTGTTTCTCCAGTCTTTCAGTTCCATCTCCCTTTTTGGAGCTCTGGTTGTCCTGCTGCTCGTCTACATTCTCTACTCCTCCAGCTTCAGCTCCCAGGATGAAGGGAAGGGACCTCCAGGTCCAAAACCACTTCCCCTACTTGGGAACCTGCTGCAGCTTGACCTCAAGAGACCCTACCACACATTTATGGAGGTGAGGAAATGATTGAACTAATGTTCATTTCTTTAGGGGTGTTATGTTATATGTGCCCTGCAGATAGCACATTGTTGGTCTTCTGATTAATTATTCTTAAAAAAAATTAAAATGATATGATGATGCCCTTGTTTTTTGTAGCTTTCCAAGAAATATGGATCCGTTTTCACAGTGCATTTGGGACCCCAAAAAGTGGTGATCCTGGCTGGATACAAAACTGTGAAGGAGGCACTTGTCAACTATGCAGATGAGTTTGGTGACAGATATTCAATGCAAATAACAAAAGAAACTAGTGGAGGCCATGGTAAGGAACTTTTTTTTAAATAACCTCCCTGTTCTGTTACATTTTTAGCAAAGTTTTATTGTTTTTGGTGCTGGATAACAGCAAATCAGGACGCAATCCACAATTGAAAACATTGAGCAAATATGGTCTGGCCATAACATTGGTTTTATTTTAGGACTTGTATGGTCCAACGGTGAATCATGGAGAGAGATGAGGCGCTTTTCCATGACTAAACTCAGAGACTTTGGAATGGGCAAGAGGGCTAGTGAGGACAAAATCATTGAGGAATGCACCTACCTCATTGACGTGTTAAAGAAATGTAAAGGTAAGTGTCTTATTAAAACCAACTGCATGATAAGCAACAGGTTGACAAAGTTTGTGGTTTTTATTTGTTTTACTTTTTACAGGAGAAGCTTTTGATACAACTCAACCCATATCCCAGGCGGTGGCTAATATGATCTGCTCAATTGTTTATGGCAGCAGATTTGAATATGATGATGCAGAGTTTACATCACTGGTACATCGAGCACACAGAAATATTGAACTCCTGGGATCCCCGTCAATACAGGTGCCATTTATGCTTCTGTGTTTATTGTATCTTTGTAACTCTGGCACAACCATTTCCTGTGGGATAAATAAAGTCCTATCTTATCTTATTTCATTTATTATTTTTGATCAAGCTTAGACTTTCAGATTTGATTTTAATATACATAATAGAGGAATGTGGGGCAACTGATTCGAAGGTTGTTGTTGTTTTTTTTAAAGGTGTTTAACATGTTCCCATGGATCGGTAAATGGATTGCTGACAGAAAGGAACTTCACACGATAATTGCTGAGAGCAAGAAACGTAATCAGCAGTTGTTTAGTCGTTTGAAAGAGACCCTCAATCCACAGATGTGCAGAGGACTTGTGGACGCCTTTCTGCTCCGAAAGCAAAATCTTGAGGTTGGGAAGCATTTCATTACTTACCCCGTCTACACCTTTTCCGTGACCAGTTGAGTTGTTTGTGACAAAGGAGGAAATGCAATTCGTTCTAACAGTTAATCACCAGCAGTAATAGACATTTTAGAAATCAGCTCTTGCTTTCTGACTATAGAGATCCAAGCCAACATGTCCATAAGATGATATGGACAAGCAGTAATTCACATTTTTGACAATTGATTTTACTAGTGGAAATGAATATGTTTACATTACAGATTAGATAAATGGAAATCTGGGTAGCAAAAAATTAAATGTGACTTGAAAGAAAATAATAATTATTGATTATTACTATTATTATATCAGATATGTTTTCCAGTTGTAACTACTGAAACATTTGTATTGAAACAACTATACGTAAAATATCTCAAATTAATTTAAAGCTGGTCAAATTTGAATTTAGGTTATAAAAAAATAATTTCCTATAGTCAAAATTATAAAGTAGTTGAAATGTTAATATCGTGTGTCAGAAATACGCATGGCAATTTGGGCCATATATCAGAAATGAAGATGGCAATGTTGGCCAATGACCAAAAATCATTTGTTGACATATCGACATATTAAAAATGATGATGGTGATGATGATGGGAAACTGCATTGGTCACCATTCTTTGTTCGACATGTTACATTTTAATTGAGATGTGTTTTTTAAGTGAAAGAGGATATTACTGACTTCATATCAAAAGTGATATACAGATATCCCGATTAACATTCTGACATTTTGAGATGTAATGTACAATAGAGATGATTACATCAGTACTAGTCAGCCCTTTGATTAAATGATAAAAAAGCTGGCCAACTACTACCTCAACAAAACAAAAAATGCCCTCCTATGTAACACGTCAAAGGTTTGGTTCAGATTTGTTTGAATACCTGAATTATCTTTACTTGCAGGAATCCGGAATCACCGACAGTCACTTCCATGATAAAAACCTGATACAGACGGTTCTTAATCTCTTTACTGCTGGCACTGACACAACAGCAACTACACTGAGATGGGCACTACTATATATGGCCAAGAATCCAAAAATACAAGGTAAGGAGCTTAGAATCCTCACAATTTTCAAAAACAGTCCAGGAAACAATATGTGCTCACCAACTAAAGAAAATAATCTTAATGGACACAAAAATCTGGTCTTCCAGAACAGGTCCAGGAGGAGCTAAGCAAGGTTAAAGGAGGTCGTCAAGTGCAGGTTGAGGACAGGCAACACCTGCACTTCACAAATGCCGTCATCCACGAAATCCAGCGACTGGCTAACATCGTCCCCATGGCACTTCCTCACAAAATGAGCCAAGACATCACTTTCCAGGGTCACTTCATTAAGAAGGTTGGATAAAATAAAACACCTAAAGAACCCAAGATGACTTGGAAGAATGAATCATACATAATTCAAAATGGGGGTGCTGAGTTAAGTGGCTTGTCACTAAATGAAAATACTGTATATTGTCCACAGGGGACCACAGTGTATCCTCTCTTGACATCCGTCCTGTGTGATGAGACTGAGTGGGAACACCCCAGCAGCTTTTATCCTGCTCACTTCCTGGACAAAGATGGGAAGTTTGTCAAGCGAGATGCCTTCTTGCCTTTTTCAGCAGGTTTGTGAATTTACCCATGACGGCCCGTCCACACAGCAGCGTTAAAAAAATCTTGGAACGCTTCTGCCCATTCACTTTGAATGGGGTGACGTCACTTTGCCTCACTTTTCGCCGAACTGCATTGTGGGCAGCAGAGCGGAGATTTTCAGGATTTTCAGGATTCAAAGTTGAGCAATGTTCAACTTTTGAAGCTGAGGTGGAAGCGTCAGCCAATCAAATCCCGTGTATGCAAATCTGACAGTTCAAGCGCCAGCCAATCAAACCGCGTGTATGCTGGGAGAGACATACCGCAGGTCATTTCCTCATATTCCAAAAAATGGAGGAGAAATTAGCGGTAGGGAATCACCCGGTGCTTTATGACCAGTCCCTATTTACCTACCGGGATATAAACCGGAGGAGCCAGGCATGGAGGGAGGTGGCAGAGACAGTGGTAGGTTTTCGCCTGTTTGGGGAGTTTATATCCAGTTTACTTTGGGCTTTTTTGCTTCGTATGTTCAATGTTCAAGGTTCAAGGTTCTTTATTGTCAATCTGACATAGCTACAGAGTAATTAGGTAGTTGAAAATCTTATGTCACAGGCTTCTCCAACAATGCAACATAATAACATAATAACAATAAAAGCAAGAGCAATACAAAATTAATAATAGTTATAAAATAAAATAAAGTGATGATGTGGAATAGTATGTCGTATGTCGGGGGCGGGAGATTCATGTGATTGGTTGTTGGTGCCTTGCTCGCAAAGAATCCCCAAGCTTCAGATACACCCACCTCCAAGATTTTTTTAACCCTGCTGTGTGGACGGGCCGTCACTCTTCAATATTCACTTATTTTGCAGATGAGTTGAAAATATTCCTTTTGTTTTCCCTCACAGGTCGCAGGCAGTGTCCTGGGGAGAGTCTGGCCAGAATGGAGATTTTCCTCTTCTTTACCAGCCTTTTGCAGCACTTTCGTTTTACTCCTCCTCCAGGAGTTTCGGAGGATGAATTGGATCTGACTCCAATAGTGAGCGCTACCGTTAGCCCGTCACCTCATAAACTGTGTGCTGTTTCTGTTGTGTGAGCTTTACAATGCTGCTTCTCTAACAGTCAATGGTGCGAGTTGGTTCAAGATTGAAGATTTTGAGTTGTACATCATTATATTAAATGTAGTGATAAAGAGATTAGATTTTCAATATCAATGATGTAATTTAAATTAATAGAGACGTATTTCTATTTAGTTGCTCATGTCACTACTTTTTTTTTCACCCAGATTATCATTTTCTTTATTACTAATAAAACTCACTGATATGCTCCTCTTACTATCCCATTATGACAAATAGACTTCAATGCCAACAACAATGTATAATAGTGAAGTTAAAGCTTAACAGTATGGCGAATGTACAACTTAACCTTGATATGTTTCAGGTCCAATGTAATGATTTGCAAACTGCCCTATAACTGGATTTACTATCTTTGCTACCATTTTACAAGTCCAGGTTAAAGTTTGTTTCAAATATTTGTTTAACCTTGGTACTCTTTCTTTTTTGACAACAAAAAAAAACAATGAGTATATGAAATATATTAACTTTTCTTTCAAATTCCGGGAATACAGGAGAAATTGTACAGGATGAAAATCCAAGGGGATTTTTAATTTTCTTTATGTACAATCTAAAGACATACTTGCAACATTTACTTTTTTGTCACACAATGATTTACACATTTAGTGGAAAAACTTTTCCAAATCAAAACTGTTGCTGCTTGATCTTGCACAAAAGTATGTTCTCATACAAATTCAACTTGGATTCATACATTTCAAAAAGATCATTATGATCACAGTTTCATAATGTCTCCTCTGTGAAAGTCCAATGTTTGTTTAACCAACCTATGCAAACGACCTCCCTACGGAGACAGCACTTACTTTGATTAAAACCCCGTTTGTGAAAATCAAAAACAGATGTTATGCGGGACAAAACAAGCGTCCTTCAAAATGGGTTTCAAAAGAGCGGTTTTGTTTTTATGGAACATTATTTTTAGCAGAGCAGGCAGCTTCAATTAAAATTGCTATTATAGCAGAATGCAGAACATCATGCTGAATCTGTGCATTTGTGAATGTTGTATCTCACACAGAAGATTGACAATAAAGTTGATTTTGACTTGATGCTAGAAGCTTCTCTGTCCCAGTTTAACATTAACTTTGGCTATCTGGACATTTTTGTGTTAGTCCATCTTGAAGCCTTGGTTAAAAATGAACCCTGACCTGGCATGGCTGAGCAGGGCTTTATCATTTATATGTTGATCTGTGTTCGCTGGATGTGTGGATAAGTAACTGCTTGCTACTGTAAGTAGCATAACAACTTTGAAAGTTTATCATATTGGAGGTTTGTTGCTAAATTCTGCCACCTGGTGGGCTGAAGAGATTAAATCATGCACCTGAAAGTCTTAGAGCTAATCATTATACTACGTAGCCATTTACTCACCTTCTGTGTTGGATGTATTTGATGAGAACAGCAGCAATGACAACCAGCACTACCAACCCCTTAATGATGATGTAGGTCTCATCACGAGGGAGATCTGTGGTTGAAGTCAGGTGTGTAGTCAGCCTCTATCACCACATTGTGCTCATCAACAAACTGGCAGGTGTATCTCCTGTTGGTGCCACTCTTACGCTTTAGTTCCTGGTTCATCCACCCAGCGGATGCTGCTCCGTTGACAAGGACCAAAACCTGTGTGTCTCAACATGGAGCACTTTAATGCGACTTCACTGTCTCTCCTCGGATCAGCATCATGTGGAGATGGAGAGACTGAAACAAGATATGTCATCGCTTAAAACGTGGCTTAACAACATGTTAGACATCTTCCAGGATGACCCTGGCAAGTTTCTTTCCTTCTTCTGTCATCAATGTTTTTCTTTGTTTGAAGGTGGATTGGACCAAATGAAATCAAGACATCTCTGTGTTTTTCAAGAAAAAACAAGGAAAACAAAGAAAAAATGATAACCAACCACTGGAGATGATGCCCGTCCACTCCATCTACACTTGCTTCCTCAAACTTGATGGTGTGACGGAGACTTTCGTTAATTGCCCTCAAAATGTGCCAAAAGTAGAATTCCCATTTGATAATATCAATGACTGTTTATGGAAATGACTCACTTGTCAGAACACTTAGATATGGACAGATATCCTGATTAGAGTGTGTCCGCTGCCGACAGGTGTAGTGACCAACATCCTCTGCAGTGACGTTGGTAATGACCAAAGAGCAGTTAGTGTTCAAATTTAGACTGGCAGCTCGGGGAGGCTCTTCAGAATATTACCGTTCTCTAACACAGTCAAAGATTCTGATAGATCTTGGTTGTAAAACCATTCAACGGTTGAGCATGTGGTTTCAGGGGATGATGCGGTGTCACAGTGTAGAATGGCATCTTGTCCAACTCTTCTTTAGACAGAAGTGCATTTTCCACTAATGCCTGATAGGAAATAAATAAGACATCACGTGTGAAATAATCTGCAAGAAGATGTCAATTTTTTTAGTTATGGAACTTTAGGAACTATTCATGTCTTACCTCCACTGTTGAATCTATACTAAAGAATCACACAGATCTGTACGATGTTATTCTCTGAGTGTAATATATGTTGTACTTTATGTATGAACTGACTTCATGCATTTAAAATATATTTGAATCACATTACTGATTGTAAAAAAAATACTTTTGTGTCTTGTCTCACACAACATTTGGCTTATTTTCAAAGCTTATTAAAAGGTGCCTCTAAAACAGGAAGATTATGGCTGGTTCCTCTTATTAATTACAACTAAAGTTTAAATAAGAAAAAAAAAGAGACTTACCTTGAAACTGAAGTACCAAAATGAGAGTACATTCAAGTAAAATGTTGCGTCCATTCTGTCAGACGTTTATTCTCTGCTACAAATATGTGATGATGCCGTTTCCTCTCAGTGGTTAGCTTATTGAGAAAAATGTTTTGTCCATCACACTGCTTGACGTACAGTAAGTCTAAGAGAGTAACACTTACCTTGCCCTTTAAACAGACAGCACACAGCAGCCAAAAAAACACCATTAGGCCTGTCTAACATTTTGCATAAAATAAAAATAAAAACACCAACATTCATGATCAATGAGCAGCTTTTAATCTGAAAATAACCTAACTTTTCTTAGTGCAATCTATGTTGCTCACAGTAACAACACAGAGTAATGGGAAAGGTTGTCATTTACAAAAAAAGACCAAAAGTCTGCAGTTTTGTTTCTGTTATAGATATGAAGTATATAAAACAAAATGGAGGATAATAGATGGCAGGTTTGTTCATTTCAACCTCAACAAAGGCAGTGCACTTGATGCCCTCTGGCTCTCATTATCTTTCAAAATAAAAGCCTGAGCCATATACAGGCCTTTAGTTTAGCATGCTATCAGTTGTAAGAAACATGAACTACAGCTGAAGATGATGGGAATGTAATTAGTTATGCAGGTATTTAGTCAATATTTTAATATTGGACTACCTTTTTATGGTGGCAGATCAAAGTTAACACAATTAATTATAAGAGAAAGACAAAGGTGTGTAAAAGGTGAGCCATGTCAGTCGAAAATGCTCACACCTGAATATACTCTATATCTTTGTAGCTTCAAATCCAGTCCTTATTGGATTCCAATGTAAAATACAGAGGAGACAAATCCAAACTCAACTCAACAGCCGTGCATGGCATGAAAGATCACTGCACATTTGTAGTCCATGTTACAGTAGCTTCATCAGAATAAATGTATTCAACACTGCACAGTGCATATTATGGAAGCTTTATAAAAAGATGAAAACAGCACAGCCACAGTGCATATGCAGTAGCTTCATCTGAATATAAGCGCATATTACACCAGAATATATAAAGTCCATAAAACAGCCTCAGCGCACATTACAGCAGTTTTTAACTATGTCTATTTAATGGAGACATATCCTAAATATATGTCTCGTTTTACGCTCTACCTGCTTCTTTCTGAGGCAGTGTCTCTACCATCTTAGGTAAGAAGACTTCCAGGAAATGAAATAAGTCATGAAACACTCCTGTCTTGTCGCCAACTACTATACAAACACACACAGACAACACTTGTGCATAATACACTAGCTTCACAAAAATGTGAAAATAGCCCAGCAAGGTGCATAGCTTCATTTGAATATATATAAACAGTACTGGATGGCATGTATTAGAGTAGCTTCAACACAATATAAAAGACCACTGAACAGAATAGATGTACACACCACTGCACATCTAAAGTGCATATTAGAACAGCTTCATTTAAATATGAAAACAGCACAGCCACAGTGCATTTTTAAAGTAGCTTTACCTGAATATGAAAACAGCACTGCACAGCTAAAGTGCACATTAAAGTAGCTTCATTTAATAAAATAGCACAGTCACTTGGGATATTACTGTGGCTTTGTCATAAAAAATATAGCACTGTTTGCAGCAGCTTTATCAGAATATATGCGCACGTATAAGCACTACACGGCCGCACTGCTCTCACACACACACACACACAGCCACTTACCTGCTGCCCCGCTTCTCCTAACTGCTTCCATTGCCTCCGGTTTTCCACTAGCTAGGGCTTCTTGTTGTTTAGTCGTCTGTTTCTGCCCCAGATCCGTTTCAATGTGCATGTCTGATCTTCTGCATGTTCCTCTTGTTTGTCTCCATCTTCATATTGTAGCTCTTCCTCATGCAAGCACTCGCGCTAACGTTAGCACAGTGCTACTGTGGTGGAAAGTTGCAAGAAGTCATTTTCGCGCACTTTCTCCCCTCAGTCAACCGCGCTTCTTTTGTTTTTGTTTCTCGACTTTTCTCTTGTTTGGCGCATTAATTCAAATTGTCACCGCTAAAAACATTTACGCGCGCTCAATCTCCGTCCTGATTCCGCCCTCACTTCACTTGACCCCAGGGCATCATGGGAAAAAGTAAAGTCTTATTTCATTTTTTTACTCAAGAAAAAATAGGTACATTTACAGTATGTACACACAAAACTGTCCATACCAATGGTTCATATGAAAAGTAAAAAATATATATATATAAAGAAGAAAAGTGATGCAAAATAAAATAGATAGTGCATATGTGTCAAATATATTGTTTAAAGGGCCCATGTCATGGCCATTTCCACTGATCATAATTACATTGTTGAGGTATACTAAAATAGATTTATACTGTGCAATTTTCCAAACTCACATTGGTTTCGCATACAGCATCTCTGTCAAGCATGTGTATTCAGCAGTATTCACTTTCTCCACTAAACGACTCGTTGGAGCTCTTGCCCCCCCCCCTCCCTGTGAGCCTAGTGTGCTCCGATTGGTCAGCTCGGCCACTCTGTTCTGATTAGTCAACCACCAGAGAGGCTCCGCCCGCTTTTTTCGGGGAACATCAGTGTAATAATGGCGTCGGTACAGCTGATATTTTATATTAACTAACCGAACTGAACCTACAACTGTTGTTATAGAAGAGTGTGACGGCCCCAGGGCCTTTGTGCAGGTGTGTTGCAGGCAGTACTCGAGTTGAAGGGGGATGAGGGGGGATGGCATCCCCCCTGAAATAAAAACGGTCAAAAATCATCCCCCTTCTAAAACTGCCATCCCCCCTTTCCATCCCTTATGTCATTTTATCAATGAACGTGGCACTGGTATTACTGCTATTTCAACATTAATTTTGCGCATATTGAGTAAAATACTGTGGGCGAGGGAGCACGCACACATGCAATGACATTTTTACCAAGTCACTGACGCTATGCTATGCGAGTGCCCTAGAGGGCGCCAGAGCGCCGTGATGCGCCTGTTTGATTGATGCCAGAAGCTGCATAGCAGCACTAGCGCAGGTAACGGTCATCACAATGGCCAAGCGACCAGGAGGACAACGCGATCTGAGGGACTTCATATTTAAAAAGACTAAAAATAACATTTCAGGTAAGTCGAGAGTCAGTAATCTTAGTCATTACTCATTAGTTACTCATTTAGTCACCAAAGGCGGAATCTATGGACATAAGCAGCAATAACAACTTAGTTTGGAGTTTAGCTACGTTTTTCTCTCGTGTTAGCTAGCTAGCTAACTAATTCTAGCTAGCTAGCTAAAAGATGAGGACTTGAACTTCATTAGCTAACTAGGCTAGCATTAACGTCAGCTAATCATGTTAAAAAGAGGAACACGACAAGGGACCCTGACATAACGTCAACATAGGCCGAGTTGGGAGTGAGAATGTGTTGATTCAGAAGCTAACAGAATTGAAGGTTTGATAACTATTAATTTTAAGATAATTAACTCTTTCCCAGTGCATTTTTGGGCATTTCTATTCATCTCTGGAGACTCACAGAATATTTTGTTATATGAATATTTAAATAGTGATATTAAAAGGAAGGTGAGAAACTCCTTTTTCAGCCCCAAAACTGTTATTAGCCTATTATATCCAAACTTGAATGTTGGGCATTTTAATGAAAATATGTAGTTTTCTTAAAAATCAACTAGAAGAGTAATGTCACATGCTTGCATAAGAAGTCTGCTCAGTCATTGTAACAAAACCATAATGACCTTGTTTTCCTCACATAGAGGACAACCATGGCCAGGAAGCAGGACATGACACAGCAGGAGAGCGAAGAGCTAGAGGAGGAACAGGTTTGATAATTCTTAATTCTACATGTTTGGTTAAGACACTGTTATTTTTCAATTGGCCTAATACACCTCATTATGTCAGTGGACAAGAGGCAAACTAGTTTTATTATGGTTTTTTGTTTTTGTAGTGGAAAGAAAAAGAGAGGAGGAAGCAGCAGCAGGGCAAGATAGTGCTGAAGAAGATAGTGCAGAAGAAACAAGCATCCCAGATTCTGACGGCCCAAGTTACCAGGGAGAGAGCAATAATGATCAAGATATCCCTGAATGCTGGACATCTAACATGTTTAGAGAGAAGACTAAGCAATACCCATGGCTAATATGCCAAAACAAAAAACTTGGTTGTCTAACTTGCCAGAAGATAAAAGCAGTTGGGCCAAATGTTGGTGGGAGCCAGGTGCATATTGCTGACGAGTGGTCTAAAGTTAAAGTGACAGCCTATGGTGCAACGAGAGCAGCACAGCTGCAGTCTCTTCGGAAGAAGATACACAAGCATAGAATGTCAGACTATCATCAAGCAGCTGAGAAAACCATGGAAACGGCAAAAGAAAAAAGAATGGAAACGTTGACTTCAGATATGCAGAGGGATCACTTCTTAACTACTGATCGAGTATTTCGCACAGTTTACAAGATTGTGAAATCCGCAAGGCCTTTCACAGATCTACCAACTGATATTGATCTGCAAGTCATGAATGGACTTGACATGGGAAGAACTTTACATTCAGACTATTCCTGTGCAACAATCAGCCGACACATAGGAAGTGAAATGAGAAAGAGAGTAGTCGGAAAGGTCCTTCAAAGTGGAACAAAATGTTCTGTTCTGATAGATGAATCTACAACTGACAGTAAAAAATCAGTTTTGATCATTTATATTAGAGCAAGCCTGGGGATGAGTGAAGAGCCACTAACATTCTTCTTGGATCTAGTTGAGCTTTCTGCTACCAATGCAGATGGAATTTATCAAGCTCTGATGAATAACCTGTCACAACATGGCTTCTCTGAAGCTATTATGAAGGAGCGCTTTGTTTGCTTTGCTTCAGACGGAGCGTCCGTCATGCTTGGAAGTAAATCAAGTGTTGCAACCAAACTTGTTGAAAAGTTTCCCAACGTGATGGTGTGGCACTGCATGAACCATCGTCTTGAGTTGAGTGTTGGAGATGCTGTTGAGGAAATTGCAGGGATGAATGATTTCCAGTTTTTCTTCGACAAAATATACAGTCTCTATCATGCATCCGCCAAAAACCGCCGCGAGCTCACTGAATGTTGTGAGGACCTTGCGTTACAGTGTCTGAACATAGGGAGAATTCTCAGCACTAGATGGGTGGCATCCAGTTATAGGACCATTAAAGCTGTATGGCAACAGTACCCAGCGCTCCACAAGCACTTTTCTGATGCCTCAGTTGATCCTAAAAGAAGATCAACAGAGAGATGCATGTTCAGTGGTTTAGCAAATCGCCTCTCTAATGCAACCTTTGTCCATAATCTTGGAGTCATGTATGATGCTTTAGAAGAGCTGTCTGAATTCTCGCTCTCCCTTCAAGACAGAAACATGACGCTCCCCAAGGCCGAAGCAAGTCTCAGTCGGCAGATCCGCGTGTTAAAGTCAATGGCAGAGCAACCTGGACCAAGGGCAGAGGAGACTCAGACAGCAGGGGATTTGAAGCTATTCAAAGGAGTGCCACTGACAAATAATTCAAGGTACAGCAGAGAAATAAACCACTAACGTTTTTTTCATGCCTTGGCTGCTAGTATTGAGACGAGAATGGGTTGCCTGCCTGGTAAACAGAGAAGCAAGGAAGAATACCAGAGCTTTCTTAACAACGTCAAAGTGCTGCAGCCGTCTAGCTGGCCAGATGCGTGTGGAGTTCGTTATGCTGAAAAGGAAATACAGGAACTCTGCACCTTTTTCAAGCTTGATAATGGCAGACAAATTCAGAGAGGGATGAGGGAATATATTGACATGGTCAGACTCAAAACTGTTGATGAAATGATACCACCAGCACCAGAAGAGCTGAAACCCCTCCTTCAAGCAGTGAACACTCTGGTCATCTCAACAGCTGAGTGTGAACGTGGGTTTAGTCAGATGAACATTTTAACCACAACTAGAAGCTCCCTAGAGGTAAAAAGCATGTCAGCCTTGCTTTTCATCAAGTGTGTTGGCCCTCCACTGAACAAATTCAGACCAGATGTATATGTCAAGACTTGGCTTCAAAGCCATTGCTTAGCTAACAATCCGAAAGCAAGAGCCAGAAAAATTGAGACCAAAAAGCATGATTATGAAAATCTTTGGAAACTTCTATGAGATGGGGGAGAGTGGAGTAGGCAGCCATTGACAACATTGGTCCTATTTTGTATTATCTTATCACTTAATGCCCTGTTAAAAAAGTAACATTGGGAATGTTGACATAAAAGATTTGTATTTGAACTGGAATAAAATGATGACGGATCCATATTTTTCAAATTTTCTTCCTCAATTTTTTCATGAAGTGTTTACTTTATATAATGATTTAATTAATCACGATACAAAATTAACCCTTTAGATACCAGTTTCGATCGTATACCAGTAACTGCTTTTTTGAAAAAATACACTAATTCAATATTCTAAAAACAAATTTGACTTTATTATTAGTATCATCAGCTGATCCATCTGAATAATAAATGAGAAGATTGATTTTGGTGCATTTTAACTTTTTGTATAATGTCAGATTGAACAAAAAGGTACGTTGGGACTGTTAACCTACAAGATTTGTACCATAGACTTCCATTATAACCACATTTTTTGATCCCCTCCCCCCCTTTAAATTAAAGTGAAAATACGTTTTTTTGCACTAATTGTCCTCTGCATTTGACACTAAATGTAAGTGGTGCCATGGCAGCCCGGGGACCGACTCCAATTCTGAGGTGCCTTGGTCAAGAGCAATGACAGGAGTATCTGAACATCCATAACATGCATGTTGTTTTAGGAGTATAATAATTATCTTTTTGCTGGTTGGTCTCCCACCCTCTGCGCATTATCAGCACAAATGATGTCCCCATATGATAAAATCCACCATCCCCCCTGATTTATTTTTACAACTTGAGTACTGGTTGCAGGGCTTACGGTGGGGTGGAGCTGAAGAGGGTAATCAGCGCGATCACGGACACCTCCGTAGCCGGTGCTATTAATCCCAGCGGCCCGGAGTCTCTCTCCAAAGCGGCTGCAGAAGGACGAACTCGGTGATTCTCTCCCCTCGACCACCTATCTCTGCATTTACCACAATAAATGTGCCGTGGTTTTGTAAACTCGTGTATGTCTCCTTGCCTTTCCGTTGTGGCCTACGAGCCGGTCATAACAAAGAGTAAGTTATTTTTACCTGTAATAAACTACTACTGTTTGATGAGAAATCAAATCATGGTTTGCTATATATGAATGATATGTTAGAGGAGCAAATCATTCAGGGAAGAAAGGATAGGCCTACTAAGTATTTCCATTAAACTTTATTTTTAGAAATGTACAAAATGAACATATATACACGGTATATCATCCATTCCTCCTCTTGCCTGCGCACAGCCGGTGCCTTTTAGCACGAGGCCTCAGTAGTAGTAGAAGTCCCGTCCCCGTCATGGATTGTCCGCCAGGATCTGGCTGGACGAAATCAAATGCAAATCACAAAATATTAGAGAAACTTAGTTGTTTTAGATTCGTTAGTAGTAGTTGTAGTAGGAGTGTAATGAACAGCTTGCCTGCTAATATGCTAACCTAGCTTTGTTTACCTTGGTAGCTAACACGATATGAACGTTAGCTTGGAGGAACGGCAACTAGAATGCAGTGTAATAAAACTACTATGAACAAAAGCTAGTGGTTCATATTAGGCTAGCAATAACGTGTTTATAATTGCAATCGTATACGGGTATTCTGCTACGTTCGGTCATACAATTTAACTTGCATGAATACATTGTTTTGCGCTAGCATACAGCTAGCCTCGTTAGCTATACATGCAGTATATCTACTGTCACAATGTACGGTAAATCACCCGGAGTATACTGTATGAGTATTCCGTGTGTGACTGCAGACATTCTCCTGCCATGACAAACATGTAAGGCCATCTGCTGACATTGTAGTTGATATATTTAAACGCTAGCAACGTAGCATCACAAAAATGTTTTTCCGACCAAACCTAGCTCTAGCTCCGTGTGTTAGATCGGTTGCATACACGCTACGCCAGCTATAATGTAATTACGTTTCGCGACTGACCGCACGGCAAATCACCCGGAGTATACTGTCAATAGGTATTTTGTGTGTGAATGCAGACATTCTCCTGCTATGAGATACATGTATGCAAGACCATCTGCTGATATTAGAGTTGATATATGGAAACTCTAGCAACTTAGTTAGCACAGTTAGCACTGTGTCAATGGCTTAGCAGTCCAACACAGTTTACACATTTAAACAGTCTTGTTTGATAAATACACAAATAACAATGCAAACTTACAGGTTGTGTACCCGGATCTTCCCATGCTCCAAACGGTCCAAACAAGCTGTGCATATCCGGCCTCAAACTGGGCAATGTTTTGGAAGCTTTCGTCTGTGAAATGCCGGTTCTTCGAACCTCTGGAGGAACACGCCACTGCTGGTGTGGCCATAGCTCTTCGGGATTGGTCCATTTTGTTCCGGGTACCGCATGACATCAGGCGGTACCCGGAACTAAATGGAAGACTCAAATGGGCGGTGACGTATCTCCAACGAGGCGTTTTGGGGAGGTATTTTCTGTGTTAGAGTTTTACTCGCTACAGGGTGTACTTTGAGGGTTTTGACTCTGCACACCGTTTACATGCATAAAAACCTTCATAACACACAAGGGGATGGGGAATAACCGGAAAAGCATGACATGGGAGCTTTAAAATTACCTTTTTAAACCTGACGTTTTTTATCATGACGATTAACTGTAACAGTTATCATTCAAAATGTCCAATCTGATGAAGTCCTCCAATAATAAAAACATTCAAAAATATATATTAATTACAATAATAATCATATTATAAATATTTGTATTATTATCATTGTTATTAGTATTGTTTGTTTATTTTTATATCATTATTCTTATTGATGTTGTTGAGTAATAAATATGGTTTAAGGGCATTTTAAGCCACATTTAAATTGTTCAAAGAGCATTTAAAGAGTATGTATATTATTAAATATACTACAGATATGTGCATAATTTTATATTTGCCTCTTTGAAAAAAAATTGAAATAAAGTCAAATGCAAGCTTTTTGTGCAGAAAGTCTATAATGTTTTTAAGAAAAGTATGATTTACGATAAATGGGGCGAAGTTCAGGCAGTCAACTCGAGCACCAATCAGACATTAAAGGTGGGGTAGGTAAGTTTGAGAAACCGGCTCGAGATACACTTGTTGTTATATTCCATGGAATGCTCTTAACATCCCGATAGCAATGAATATCTTAAGTGCTTTGACAAAAAATCCATAAAAAAATGTCATCTGTGGAAGCCGTAGTACTGTAAAAAGCACGACCAATCATTTTAGCCGGCCCGGCTAAAATGACTGGATGGCCTACCTGCCTGTCAGCCTTCCATCTGTGCACAAACGTATCTCGTGCCCTCATTGGTCATGTGCGCGTTCGTGTGTGTTGGAGGAGGGGCTCTGTAAGGAAGTGGCAGATTTTTTCCGGCTGTGTATTTTCAAATTCTAGCGCACTCGAGCTGGTTTCTCCAAAATTACCTACCCCACCTTTAACACGTGACGCACCTCGTCCCTCTTACAACCAACCAAACACATTCTCCTAAACATGCCGCTCTATTTAAGCTGCCAGGTCTTCCTGCCTCTGCCTCGCTATGCTGCTGCTGCCACTGCTGTGTTCACTTGCTACTGCTACGTTCATGTTCCTGCTGCTGTGTTTCATGTTGTTGCTGCTCGCCTGCCCCAGCTTCCACCCCAGCTTCCACCCCAGCTTCCACCCCAGCTTCCACCCCAGCTTCCACCCCAGCTTCCACCTGTAGGCTCGGGGGATAGTTATCTAATCATCACTCAATGTTCTTTGTTAATCTGTGGAGTGATGAGGCCCGAGCCAGACGCCAAACTCAAACTATATGCTGCTTCTAATAAACATATTAAGAAACACGTGAGATGTCTGACTGAACTTAAGGAAATGATTAAATATGATGTGGAAAACTCGTACTTCTGGTCAATCTTTACGTTGCTGAAAGAAGACCAAACTATGAGCCTTAATTGTCCTTTTTGAATAAATGTTTATTAAAACACGAAATCTGACAACAGAGAAGACGTTGGTATACATGGACACTGCCGTCTTTAAACTCACGATGACATTCACTCTTTGACAGTATTTCCCACATATTAGCATACATAAATGGAAAGCACTGAAGGATCTAAACTAATTATAGCAGTGTACATTTTTGGACATGGGATATCAGACTACAGACTACAAATGTATAGGAGAAAAACAGTACAAGACATTTTTAGCTAAACAAAATTCAGTCATTCAAAATCATTTGAAGCTCAATTAATCAATTTATGTGCCTTCATTACGAAAGAAAACTCCCCAAACAGCGTGAAAACACCTCTGCATATTAAAACCAAAGCATATAAGACCTTCTTTATTTACACATTCAGCAATACATCATCCTATAAGTTGAGTTCATCTGATGTATGGTACGTTTACTGTCTTTTAGCTCCATTTTTGGTCTCCACCACCTCCTGAGAAACGTCCTGTCGTTGTGTACACAGAAAGCAGTCAGACAGATATTGTAAACTAAAATGTAAAAAGAGTCAATGGTTTGAAATCCCTGATGGTTTTTGAGTTTCTGACGAGCTGAAGATGTTGATCAGGGCCACCTAGCATTAGCAAGATGGACTCCCCCATTCTCATACCTGACGTCTTCATCATTCCTAAACTTTGAAGCACAACACAAGAAAAGGGATTCTTAAGAATAATTTCAAAGGAACGAAACAAAGAGAATAGTAACGACGGACTAAAATAAAAAATGTAATTGCTTAATATTAGTCTTAGTTTCATTACTCACTTTGTTTTTATCCTTAAGAATGCATTTTGTGTTACCTAGGGGGGAAAGAAGAAAGAAAATAAGTATTACAATTCTATGATATACCAGTTCAACCAAAATTAAGATCTGAATTTCCTTACATATCCTTTTGATGATTAGGACGGTGCTAACAATAATCAGGACCACTCCTGCAATACGCACAGCCCACATGGCGTAGCTATGAGGCACTACTGTGATATTATCTGAATAGAAGTACAATATTAAAATCAGATATTTGAAAAACCAATATGCAACGCTTTAGTATCTGGTGGGCTGCATTTTCTCTTACCTGGATTGGATATTTCCGTCTGGTTCCCGCCTAGGAAGTCAGGTGTGTAGTCAGACTGTATCTTTGTCACGCTGTCCTGATCAAACCGACAGGTGTATTTCCTGTTGTGGCCGCTCTGCTGCCTCACAGTCAGAGAGGAGACACATTTCTCCTGTCCGTGGAAATGGTACCCGACACCTTCATCCAGCAGCACGGTTCCCGTCTCATCCACCCAGGGGATGGTGCCCTTTTGGCAAAAACCGGATGTACTGTGACTAAAGAGAGAGCACTTTAACTTGACCTCACCGTCCCTCATTGGATCAGCATCTAGTGGAGATGGAGAGACTGAGAGAAGACAAGTGAACTCTGTGAACTCAGGATAGAAAATGATTTACATCTTCAAGTTAAAAGAAAACAGTTAAAATAATCAAGTAAAGTCATAGGACATAATGAAGATGTAAAATGGGACACTAAAAATACACATTTACAACGTATAAAACACCTAACGCTAACCAAATGTCCCCCCCCCTTAAGGCAAGGGAAAATAAGTTGGTCTATCTTACAAAAAGTTACCAAGTAGGCTACCAACTTAATCTATTCCAAGTCAAGTTAAAGACCACATCTAGTCAAGCCCTGGTAAAGACCAATTCAAAAGCAAAGCAAACCAAATCCAGTCCTGTTCAAAATGGGTATTTCCAATGCTGCTTTCACGCCTAATATGGTCAAAATAGCTTGGATAAAAGGTCCTTCTTGTTAATGCATCCAAACAGATGATAACATTACATTTCGAAAGAATGTATATGTACGTTAAAAGTAGACATTTATGAGTCTGGGAAGGCATGAGTTCAATACCAGTGCAAGACATCCAGAAAGTGGAACTATAGCCCTGCTACAAGAACCTGACAAGTTAAAATGAATCCACTCACTGAGTCAGAATCAGAATCACAAGTGAATATGGTGAAAAACGGCCGATAGAAACGACTCACTTGTCAGAAGATTCAGATACACCTCCTCGCTCCCCCCACACTTGTAAAGTCCAACATCCTCAGCAGAGACGTTCTTCAAGACCAAAGAGCAGTCAGAGTCCAAACTCCTGCTAACAAAGTCTATCCCAACATCAGGAAGAGTTGCATCTCTGTTGAAAACCCAAGCAACGTTTGAGCAAGTTGGGTCAGAAAATGATCGACCAACACAAGGCAGAAAGGCATTTTCTCCAGGTCTTGTGTAGACGATTTGTCCGTGGATGCCTGCTGAAAATAAAAATGACAATATTTGACACATACAATTATCTGAATACAGTAAATATCTGATTATAAAGATTCCAAGAAACACCACAGTGTATTACATTATAAACACATACAATAAACAAGATAATGATCCTGCTTTTTACCTCAGTTTATACCAAGCTAGGCTAAACTTCTCAGGACTGTATCTCCAAATTACAAAAAATGTATTGAGGAATTTCGGCCAATTTCTTTAATGCTTTTTTTTTTTACGTCAACACATTTTACCTGCAAAGTAGACGTTAATTGCCTATAATCAAACTAATCAGTAATAATCTTCATTGTGCTGATATGATACTTGATGGTATTTATGACAAGTTTTTATATTTCCTTTCTATCTTCTCTTACACAGTTGTCATTGGCATGTTGCATGAAGCAGAACATGTTGTAATTCTCCCTAAAGGCCACTAGATGCCACTGTTTCAATGCCCCAGTGTAACAGTCTGTTACACTGGGGTACAGCATAACAGAAAAGGGCCCTCCAGAAAGAGGATAAATGTGATTTAAAATGTGGTTTTGCATGATATAGATAGAGATTAATAGTAAATAGAGATAAATAAAAGCATAGATTAAGATAAATGTGAGACAAAACCCAGTTTCATACCAAGGCTGGCCTTTCTTAGACGTTTAACCTTGTCTGGTCTTATTCTGTATTCCTCTTACTGTCACTTTAAAGACACAACTAAAAATATGTAGGAGGAAATGTGCATGTTGTCATATATATTTTCAGCTGCACTGTCAAGTGAAGTGCCATCGTCGAGAGGAAGTAACACCCCCTGCTCTAGATGCTTATCTACTAGAACAAGCACGATACGATAAAGATAGAGATAACCACAACAAATAAGAACATTTCAGCAGTAGTAAAATGTTAAAGGTACTGTTAAAATAATGTAAACATTGGAAACATGTGATTATTTACAGAGCGTCAATACAGGTTTTAATGGAAAAGAGCATTTTTAAGCCAGTCAGAAGTAGGGTTGCAAAGGGGCGAAACATTTTCGGTAAATTTCCATGGGAAGTTAATTGAGCTGGGGAATTTTGGAAATATTCCATATTGGAAACTTTCCATGGGAATAGTGGGAATGTATGGGAACTAACTGGGAATTGAGGGTAATGTAATCTAATTGTATCGTATCCAAGCATAAATATAAACATTTTGTTTTGTCATAAGAAAACATCCATGCAAAATGATAGAATTAAAAAACACGACATTTCAACAGATTTATTTGTAAGTAGAACAGGACAAGTTTTAATAATTGTATTGAACAATCATTTGTTTCATTGAAGAACAAAAACATGAATGTTGAGTTAAATATTACTTCTAGAAATCATCTGTGCATGTGATGGAGGAATGCACAGTGCCTGTAGGGGGTGTGGTCTCAATAGCCATGCAGTAAGCAATGTGCTATGTGCATGTGATTGAGGAATGGCATGGATATTCAAGTGTACTTGAATGGCATCTGTTTGTTTTAGTCAAGATTATGCTAAAATATACTTTCCCCAACTATATTTAAGTTCCCTATGAAGAGCCAACCTTACATTTAGAAAATTCCCTTAAATTTCCGTTTATTCCCTTAAATTCCCATGGAAAGGTTCCATCTTTGAATATTCCCGGAATTTTGCAACCCTATTCCGAAGCACACAGTATCATCCTCCAAGGGTTAACCAATAGCATTTCTTAAATAATCCACACATAGTAATCTTAATGCGATTATGTGATGTTCATGAATTTGTTCCCCAAATAGAAAACTATTTCCTTGTGTTGGAAAGACAATTTGAAAACTAAATATATTATCTTGGTAAGCTTACTCTTCATTTTTAAAATGTCCTTAACCTAAGCGAAGAACACTAATTGGTGAATCCTTGAAATCAAACTTCACTTATCAAATAGAAAGAAATCATGGACATGGATAAAAACGTATATCATTATAAAACGAAATGTTCTTATAATTGTCAGAATCCCCCAATCAAAAGGTTGGACAAAAATAATCCAGATATGTTTTTGCTTCCTGTGCTGGATTAATGTTCCCCTGCTATAATAATTAGTAACTGTTGCATAAACAGAAACTCTTAAATAGCAAAAGACAAACAGAGCACTTACCTTCAAAATTAAGCACCAAAATGAGTATTATTGCCAATCGAGCCATCCTCTTCTTCTCTGGAACCAAACGACGATGTTTGAGGGCTTGTTGTGTCCGGTACAGAGCTTTCTGTCGATGGTGAAACTTCCTTTTTTGTGGTTGGATGTCTGAGTTAATTATAATACTTTTTGCGAAACAGCATCCGTCCGCCTTTCACTGTTTAACCTTTCACTTGGAAAAAAAGTTTGAATGGGAAACTGAGGTCACAGATTTTCCGACGAAATGCTGGGTGGGATATTGATTAACCTTAGCAACAAAGACAATAACACATTAACTTTCTGTATCGGATGTGATTCAGTTAGACACTAACTTCAAACTACACTAAATCCACCTCATTTTTAACAATCGCAGGTACAATCTGGTAGGAAGACAAGGCTTGAAGAACATTTGGTTGAGGTGCACTAAACAGTGTATTAATTAACAATGTCAGAAATATTTTAAAGATGGTTTTATGTCTCTACTTATGGGGGAGCCGTTCAATTGTCTTTTAAATTGAAGATACAAGGCTTTCCCGTGATATTCAAGTGACTGTAGATAGTGAGCAACCATCAGGTGAAGGACAAAACACCATGAAGACATTTAAAGACGGTAAAATGCTTTTATTGTTGTGATCAGACTCAGTGTATTTTGATTTGAAATGTATAGAGTAATGTCATCTGCATATAACGTGATTCTAGTTCAACATCGTACAAAAAAATGACTTGAAATCCAACAGCAGCTTCACAGATAAATGAAATGAAACATTTTGAAACATATTTTTTGGAAAAATCTGCACCAATAAAAATGTCTCCAATGCAGTTTAGGGTCAAAAGGATAAGGCTGGCAATATTCTGTATTTGATCATTGTCAACTTATCAAGATGAAGACACTGTATATACCCATAACTAATCGTGTGTTTCAAAGTCTGATATATCTTCTCTCTTCTGTTCTTAAAAAATGTAGTGTCTCTACTTTAAAGAGTCCTCTCCTGCTGATGTTCAGGTGTATATCAGTATGTAGTGTCTCTACTTTAAAGAGTCCTCTCCTGCTGATGTTCAGGTGTATATCAGTATGTAGTGTCTCTACTTTAAAGAGTCCTCTCCTGCTGATGTTCAGGTGTATATCAGTATGTAGTGTCTCTACTTTAAAGAGTCCTCTCCTGCTGATGTTCAGGTGTATATCAGTATGTAGTGTCTCTACTTTAAAGAGTCCTCTCCTGCTGATGTTCAGGTGTATATCAGTATGTAGTGTCTCTACTTTAAAGAGTCCTCTCCTGCTGATGTTCAGGTGTATATCAGTATGTAGTGTCTCTACTTTAAAGAGTCCTCTCCTGCTGATGTTCAGGTGTATATCAGTATGTAGTGTCTCTTCATGTCTCCATGCTTTAATGTTCATAAAGCTCTTTTTCTCATACTGCCTGTGCTGCAGCAGCTCTTTTCACCCTCTGTCTGAAACCAGAGCCCAGTCTGCTCTGATTGGTTAGCTGGCCGGCTCTGTTGTGATTGGTCAACCAGCTTAGAGATGTCCCGCCCCTTAGCCTATCACGTACAATGTGTTGGAGCGCTAGCCAATAGAGTGTTACAGAGTGATGTCACTAAGTTATGGAAGTAAACAAAGGACAACACATGATTTTTTTTTCAATTCGACCTTGTGAAATCTTTTTTGGTAACAATGAACAAATGTTAAAAAAAACAGCTTGTAAACAACGTAAAAGTTGGCGGACCAAACATGACTGAAGACGCATTGTAACAAATGACAAAAATATTTTAAAAAACTAAGAAAATTAGAATAGAATACTTATTAGCCGGACTTGACTAAACAAATAAATTAAATAACCGTATGCAAGACTAAAGTGCTCTAAAACTGTTTGTGTTATAAAAACTAGACAAAGTCATATATTAATACATGTTTACAAAAAATTGACAAAATAAATATTGTAAACCAAAAACTAAGAGAACAGATGTAACAGTTGCCATGTTAAAGAGATATTAGGGAAAGTACAGGGTATGCTCTGAGGGTTGAACGTCTCTCTGCAGATGTGATGTTATTCTGGGAGCTGGAAACATGTTGTAATCATTTCCTGAAACAGCATGTCATTGCCACGAGCCATCGAACAATACCGTTTCTTTCCTGAGTCATATTTAAAAAAGAAAGTAGTATTTTTGGACATAATGCTGCGAATTCAGCATCATTCTCACCAAGTAAAAAAAGGCTCTATTCTATGTAACAAAAAAAACTAACATACATCTAAAAAATAAATGAGTATCGTTTTGTTGTGCTTCTCCTTCTCCCTCTGCTTGTTTTGTTAGTGTAACACACCACAAGATGGCGCTGTCCTCTCGTCTGTGAGCTGTCAGTCTGTACAGAGTGTGAGACATTCAAATCACATCTCAATCATAACACTGAGTATAAAACCTAAAGTTGTGCGTGTGTTCCTGATTGTGCACTGAACTCAGAACACTGTTTGGTCTGTTGTGGTTTGTGTATGAAAACACTGCAGTGACTACATTTCATCTGCAGATAGTTATTTCTCTGATATCTTCCTCAAAGTGTTTCGCTTCTTGGTGTCCGGGATCCTTCATAGCAACAAAATGGACTCTTATAGGAAGCTCAGAGATGCACTCCTGAAATCTAAGAGACAAATTCAATTACTATTACAATTGTACTCTTTTTTCGCAGTAATCAACGCGCGCTGAATTAGCCTTTTCTTGCTGTAACGTGCCCAGTTGGTCACAAAGAAAGAATTTAAAAGCGGCTATCATAGATTTTCAATTAGATAAATGTATGGTAATTCAATATCTACAATGGTGAAGTATTGCAATATTTATATGTTATCAGTTTTGAAACGGGCTGAATGCGGTAATGTTCGTGGAGATTATCTCCACATACATTTACTCATTATGTAGTCACAGGAAATGCCTTTTTTTGTCTCTGAGCTTGATGCTTTTTCTTCCAAATGTGTCTTCAAATAGTGGATTTTTTAGGCCTTTGTGATCAGCCGAAGAGCTGTTAATATATTTAAGGGAGTAATGGAAGAGTCAGGAGCAGCCACAGTGACTGACTTATGGCAACAACATTATTGCTTTGCTTGTTATAGTCGCTCCTAATATTCTGGGATGTGCAGTATTTAACCACATTTGCATTTCCTCCCAAGTAAATAGGATATCGCTTTATCAATCGACTGAAAACTGAAAGATTACCACTTTAACTCGTATGCATCGATGTGTCAACAAGAAAAGCGGCAAATAAAGGAGGGTTTCTGTAATTTTTCTCAACCTCCCTGGACTTAAATGTCATCAATTTATCACAAAGTTTGCATATTATTCTGCCGACTAAAAGAAAATGGGCACAAGCATTCGCAGCTACTTCTTGTCTTGAATATGCAAGCAGCACTAAAGTGCGTTTTATAATGACCGCATCTACCCGAAGCAGCTTGGAACCAGATGTGAGTTGTTCTCCTTCTTCCACAGCTAACATTACCACTGTCATACTTACAACATTTACAGTCAGAGGATGATTCAAGTAAACTCAGGAGATGTCGGCTCTGTGCAAAACCAAACCAAACGGCTCTGTAGTTCTTCTTCACTGCCTCCAAACGAAAAGCTTCACCTGGAGTGTTTTCTGTAGAGCAAACGTGTGACGGCGATCTACGAACTGGAAGTCAGTCCTTGTTTAAAAGGCAGATTCACATACAGTAATCCATCTAGGAGCACTATGCTTCACACAAGAAGAGCAGCAGTAATCCTCTGAAGTCAGCATTCACCCTCAGCGTCTTATTGGTCTCCACATCCAGGGTTTGTAATCATCAATCAGCGTCAATAAAGTTCACCTTGAGGTCCTTCACATGTGTGTGATGCCCACAGATGTGCCCGAGCAGCAGGGAGACCTTCCTCCTCCTGAGATCCAGTGACTCAGCAGCATCACAGCGAGGTTTCACGGGAAAAGCTGACCGAGGTTTCAAGTTTGTCTCCGTTGGTTTTCTCTCCTGGAGAGCAGTCCTCGGGACAATTGGTAGGAAGCTAGGAAGGAGACGGAGAAAGTTAGATGGGGAACATTTAAACTAAACCTAGGAGAAAACATTCAATTCAAGGATTCAAGGCTTTTATTGTCATATGTACATAGCTACAGGGTAGTTATGACAATGAAAATCTGAGGTCACAGGCTCCTCCAACAGAGCAACACAATAAAACTGATCAATTAGTGCAAGTAAATACAAATAAAATATAGTAGAAAACATCCAAGTTATCGCTTTAAACTCTCCAATAAACCCGACACAAAACAGGCCATGAAGTTGCATGACTCTCATTTTATATATTTATGTGTATTATGATTATATCACCTTTCAAATTGTTCTTAAGAAAAATGAATATCAGTGCATTCAAACACCACCAGGTGGCGCCAAAAGAAAGCTAAGTTAAAATCCTTCCCATGCAGGTTTTAGTGGTTGTAAATTGAGGTAGCAGTAACAGTTTTGAGGAAGGACACTAGAGCGACGATGACTCAGTAGGATGATGGGAAAACGACTCAAAATTGTAAAAACGTTCTCGTCTGAAGGGTGCAGGGAACCTGGGCGGGGGTTCTGCTGTTGGGAAGGGGGTGTTCAAGGGGAGGAGGATTGTAAGCTTTGTTTGTGAAGAGGACAGATACACAAAGGAGACTTTATATCAGAGTGACAGCAGGGGAGAGTTCAGGGAAAGAGGAGGAATGTTGAAGACTGTCTGGACATAAAGCCCCTCCACAGGGAGGAGGAACTCTGAACACTGTCCTTTATAACGGCTACAGAGAGGAGAGGGAGATACACTTTACAACTGGATCCTTACACTGGACATTTAGAGCAGAAATCTGGTATTCAGCATTCAAATCTGTATTAATACCCAACATCAGTACATATACTTTAATATATTACATGTTCAATAACATTTGTAGTGTTTTTGTATAATTGTAGTGCAATGACACGTTTTTTGATTTTGATCCAAAACCGAAAAACTGACACTAAACCCAAATTCCCTCCGCGACAGATTTAAAAAAATGGTGGAGGAATTGATTAAGAATTTTAAATAAATGTGATGTATTTTGTGAAAGCAAATCCATCAACTTGAAAGTCAACAAATGTAAAAGATTGACTGACCGAAATACTTCCATGAGCTACATTTCTCTGTAAAAATATTTTTTTTTTTACATGAGTTTTTGTGTATTTTGTGTGTTCATGTACTTACTGCTTGCAGGCGGTTGTTTTCTGCTCCCATGTTGACGTTGTGTCTTTTCAGTTCTGACTTAATAAAGGCTGAAACATAAAATGAGGAAATTACATTTACATTTCAAATATACACAAATAATAATAAAAAATACACACACACACACACATACCATGTATACATCACTTCAGGGGACATTACATTGACTTACATGCATTTCCTGGAGACTTATCCTAACCTTAACCATCACATGCCTAACCCGTACCCTTAAGGGAAGCCAGTCCCCACATGTGACTGTGTAAACAGATTTAGGTCCCCACAAGGATAGTAATCACACACACACACACACACCACACACACACACACACACACACAGCCTACCAGTGAGCAGTATTCCCAGAAAGATCCAGGAGCAGAGGAAGAGGTTTCCGATCAGAGGATTATGGTGTGTCAGTTGACCCTGAATCAGAGTGAAGACGATCCCAAATATCTACACACACACACACACACACACACACACACACACACACACACACACACACCCACACACACACACACACACACACACACACACACACACACACACACACACACACACACACACACACACACACATCACACACACACACACACACACACACACACACACACACACACACACACACACACACACACACACACACACCAATTGTAGTGAGTGTTGCTTGACAGGGAGGAGGATAAACAAAGGATTCTGACTGTGATAGAGTTCACTGTGTGATACCTGAGCGAAAGCGTTGAGGAGTCCCGAAGACGTCCCCTCAGACTCGGGGTAAGTGATCTCCACTCCGAACTCAAAGCCCAGCGGCAGGTACCCCGTCATGAAGAACCTGAAACAACACAACACACTGATAAACATCAACAAACAACAACAACAACGCAAAGAAATAGTCCATGGCGATTTAATCTGAGAGCCAAGGGTTTTTTCTAACAACGCTCACACACAAAGGCATGAAAACATCCATCTGCTTCGATTGTATCTTCTATTATAGTATTTTTCTTTAATCTCTATATAATAAATCGGAAACGTTGCAAAACACAAACTTTTTAAAAGTACAATCTATTGAATTTATTTAGGTGCTTTTAAACCTATATTACATGTTTGTTTTTATTAAAAATAACCTTATTTTTTAGGAGTTGTACAACTAAAGGAATATTACACAAATCCCATTCAATACGTAATATATTATTACACAATTAATATAAATGATTACATTATTTTGTCATTTCATTTTCATTTGTTTTCTTACGGTTTTAGCCATCAACAGAAACGTGTACTGTAGGCTGTGAAGCTCAGTAATAGAAAAACAGTAAAGCATGACGAAGGGATTGAATTATACTCAGAGTGCAGAGTGGTTGATCTTCTTCTTTATGAGATCCAGGGAATAACTGGAGCTGATTTACGAGCTGACGTAATTATTCCCCCGCCCTTTCACTCTCTTTGAAGTAGAGACACTACGTACTGATATACACCTGAACATCAGCAGGAGAGGACTCTTTAATGTAGAGACACTATATACTGATATACACCTAAACATCAGCAGGAGAGGACTCTTTAAAGTAGAGACACTACATGCTGATATACACCTGAACATCAGCAGGAGAGGACTCTTTAAAGTAGAGACACTACATACTGATATACACCTGAACATCAGCAGGAGAGGACTCTTTAAAGTAGAGACACTACATACTGATATACACCTGAACATCAGCAGGAGAGGACTCTTTAAAGTAGAGACACTACATACTGATATACAACTGAACATCAGCAGGAGAGGACTCTTTAAAGTAGAGACACTACATACTGATATACACCTGAACATCAGCAGGAGAGGACTCTTTAAAGTAGAGACACTACATACTGATATACACCTGAACATCAGCAGGAGAGGACTCTTAAAGTAGAGACACTACATACTGATATACACCTGAACATCAGCAGGAGAGGACTCTTTAAAGTAGAGACACTACATACTGATATACACCTGAACATCAGCAGGAGAGGACTCTTTAAAGTAGAGACACTACATACTGATATACACCTGAACATCAGCAGGAGAGGACTCTTTAAAGTAGAGACACTACATACTGATATACACCTGAACATCAGCAGGAGAGGACTCTTTAAAGTAGAGACACTACATACTGATATACACCTGAACATCAGCAGGAGAGGACTCTTCAAAGTAGAGACACTACATACTGATATACACCTGAACATCAGCAGGAGAGGACTCTTTAAAGTAGAGACACTACATACTGATATACACCTGAACATCAGCAGGAGAGGACTCTTTAAAGTAGAGACACTACATACTGATATACACCTGAACATCAGCAGGAGAGGACTCTTTAAAGTAGAGACACTACATACTGATATACACCTGAACATCAGCAGGAGAGGACTCTTTAAAGTAGAGACACTACATACTGATATACACCTGAACATCAGCAGGAGAGGACTCTTTAAAGTAGAGACACTACATACTGATATACACCTGAACATCAGCAGGAGAGGACTCTTTAAAGTAGAGACACTACATACTGATATACACCTGAACATCAGCAGGAGAGGACTCTTTAAAGTAGAGACACTACATACTGATATACACCTGAACATCAGCAGGAGAGGACTCTTCAAAGTAGAGACACTACATACTGATATACACCTGAACATCAGCAGGAGAGGACTCTTTAAAGTAGAGACACTACATACTGATATACACCTGAACATCAGCAGGAGAGGACTCTTTAAAGTAGAGACACTACATACTGATATACACCTGAACATCAGCAGGAGAGGACTCTTTAAAGTAGAGACACTACATACTGATATACACCTGAACATCAGCAGGAGAGGACTCTTTAAAGTAGAGACACTACATACTGATATACACCTGAACATCAGCAGGAGAGAACTCTTTAAAGTAGAGACACTACATACTGATATTCACCTGAACATCAGCAGGAGAGGACTCTTTAAAGTAGAGACACTACATACTGATATACACCTGAACATCAGCAGGAGAGGACTCTTTAAAGTAGAGACACTACATACTGATATACAACTGAACATCAGCAGGAGAGGACTCTTTAAAGTAGAGACACTACATACTGATATACACCTGAACATCAGCAGGAGAGGACTCTTTAAAGTAGAGACACACACTGATATACACCTGAACATCAGCAGGAGAGGACTCTTTAAAGTAGAGACACTACATACTGATATACACCTGAACATCAGCAGGAGAGGACTCTTTAAAGTAGAGACACTACATACTGATATACACCTGAACATCAGCAGGAGAGGACTCTTTAAAGTAGAGACACTACATACTGATATACACCTGAACATCAGCAGGAGAGGACTCTTTAAAGTAGAGACGCTATATACTAATATACACCTGAACATCAGCAGGAGAGGACTCTTCAAAGTAGAGACACTACATACTGATATACACCTGAACATCAGCAGGAGAGGACTCTTTAAAGTAGAGACACTACATACTGATATACACCTGAACATCAGCAGGAGAGGACTCTTTAAAGTAGAGACACTACATACTGATATACACCTGAACATCAGCAGGAGAGGACTCTTTAAAGTAGAGACACTACATACTGATATACACCCTGAACATCAGCAGGAGAGGACTCTTTAAAGTAGAGACACTACATACTGATATACACCTGAACATCAGCAGGAGAGGAACTCTTTAAAGTAGACACTACATACTGATATTACACCTGAACATCAGCAGGAGAGGACTCTTAAAGTAGAGACACTACATACTGATATTACACCTGAACATCAGCAGGAGAGGACTCTTTAAAGTAGAGACACTACATACTGATATACACCTGAACATCAGCAGGAGAGGACTCTTTAAAGTAGAGACTACTACATACTGATATACACCTGAACATCAGCAGGAGAGAACTCTTTAAAGTAGAGACACTACATACTGATATACACCTGAACATCAGCAGGAGAGGACTCTTTAAAGTAGAGACACTACATACTGATATACCCTGAACATCAGGGCTAGGAGAGGAACTCTTAAAGTAGAGACACTACATACTGATATACAACTGAACATCAGCAGGAGAGAGGAAACTTCTTTAAAAGTGTAGAAGACACTACATACTGATATACACCTGAACATGCAAGCAGGAGAGGACTCTTTAAAGTAAGAGTACACTACATACTCGATATTAACAACCTGAACATCGAGAAAAATATGGGTCGCTTTTAAATCAAATTGACAGAGCATACCCGCAGAGCTCCAGCGGTGGAATAAGACCAGGGAGGGAGGTTGTTGAGGTTCAGAGTGAAGGTGAACACGATCATGCCCAGAAACGACAGGAGAGTACACGATCAGAGTCGTCATCCTTTAAAACACATCACAGCAGCACTCAGTTATTTCATACTTTGATTGGCAGTCACCAATCAGGGACAAGTGTGTCTACTCCTGATCATCCTCTGCATGTTCAGGGTATGATTTATTTCCCTCACACTTGATCTACACGACAGGTTTGGTTGGGACGGGATTAAACTCCCTTCGACTTAAGTGTCTCACGTTTTATTTCACCTCATCAACCTCCCAGCTGTACGACTTGTTTTGTTCTCAAACGAGCGTAAGACGCGTGAGACAAATCGTTGACGAAGCTTTAAGGGAAGTATATCTCAGGATTCCATTGATTCCAGGGAAGAAAAAACACCCAAAATGATCTGGTTTGTTATAGAAGATATACATTAAGCATTTCAATAAATCCTCACAGGATAAAATCACAAGAGAGACCTTAAAACAAGCTCTGTTGCAGAAAAATAAATTCAATGCAGGGAGGTTTGTCCAACCGGCTGTATCCTTAAAGAGTCTGAAGTTAATTTGGTTGTAAATATTATAAATTGTAGTCCAAATAAAAGAAGGCTCCGTCCTCTCATACAAACACATTCCTTGCCCCTAGAAGCTCTGCTATGTTTAACAGACCCTCTAGGTCTGCATTACAAATGTAAACAGATCAAACACCCAACGTTGTAATAGAGAATGGCAAAGGATCAGGAGGAAAAAAACACAGAATTTGTCCATAAGATGTTTATAAGTATGTGCAGTTGTTAAAAAGAAAATAGAAATGTACTGTAGAGACAGAGATTGTATTCGAAGTTTGAAAAAATACCAACAAAACTTGGCAATATTATATATATATCAGAAATCATTTTAATGGTATAGCCGCTAGCGAATATAATTTTCGGAAAATGACTGCATTGCAAAACACGTTCAATGTTTAACAAAAGTTGGGAAGATTCAAGTGTGTGTGCGTGTTTCCTACTTGTATGTCTTGGTGTGGTCCAGCCACAGCCCGCAGAGGATGGAGCCGACCATCCCAGCAACAACCAGAGTCAAACCAATTCTCCCAGCATTCAACTCCTGGTTCTGAGGAGAGGAGAGGATATAGGATATGTTATTAAATTGTTGCAGTGATGATGTATTTTTTAAGGCAGACAAGTTAGCATTGCAAAGGTTCCATTTACAAAAAGCCAATGGATTTTTCGATTGGCTTTTGGATTATTGCAGAAAATAATGTGGCAAACACACGTTTATATTCAGCAGGATAATCTCCACATATAAACACCACGTTATTACTTTTTAAATAAAAAGCTAACATTAGGCTATAAAGCAACTACAGCACGGTCACATGACTTCACGTCAGCACCCAACACCGCTAAGCTAAAGGTGGCTAATGTTGGGCTATAGAGTGGCGAAGTCAAGCCCATCTACTTCCGGTCCATGGGACCTTATTTCGGAAAAATAATGTATTGAAGTCAATGGAGAGAGAAAACGTATCTTTTGATCCCGTTTGAATTGTGCCATGAATTACACATATGATGTTTGTCAATCTTAAAAAATAATTTCCATGTCAAAAAAGTCACAGTTTGTCGTAAAACTGTTGAAATATAAGACTATGAAAAATACGCAACTAGAAAGACTACAAATCCCAGAGTCGCGTAAGTGATGTCACAATTGTTTTCCTCCACTAAGAGATAGCTAAGATCAGCGCCATATAGATAGAATCTATCTATATGGCGCTGGCTAAGATAAGATAACTTTAACAAGATGCCTGTGTGCTTAGTACCAGGTTGTTATCATACCAGCAATGGGTCTTGCTCGTTCTTTCGCTTCCCGTCTGATGAAAGGACCAGGAGTGGCTTGATCAAGTTAGCTACCTAGCTAGTAGCTAGCACGTTAGTTAGCATTACAGCCATGTCATTTTTATTAGCCTTAACATGAAGTAACATTAAGTAACCCAAAATGTTAAACAGTAAGAGTAGTAGTCATATTTCGTGAACCCTTTGAAGAGTACTGTCACCGGTGTGATCATTTTATAATACACAATGTAAGCCCGGGGGAGAAATGCTAACGCTAACGGTAGCATCGGCGATCGGCGATCTTTTCTACTTCATGCTATCTGCACAAATGGTTGAAATTAAAACGACCAGGCAGTTCAGAGAGAATCAAAGGAAGGCAGGCAGGCAGCTTTGCATGACATTCTTCAGGACGTGTTTCATTGTGGTGATAGTGAGGGAAGTCAATCGTTTTGTTGACAAGACAGTAGTGACGGCCATCTTGGTGACGTGTGTTGTTGACCAGAGATCAGATGTAGTTCATTGAGCGTTTCACACAAACAAATGTGTTACTACACAGTTTTACGACACATTTTTTTTTTTTTGACTTGCAAAATTATCTTTTAAATTGACAAACATCATATGTGTAATTCGTGGCACAATTCAAACGGGATCAAAAGATAATCTTTCTCTCTCCATTGACTTCAATACATAATTTTTCCGAAATAAGGTCCCATGGAGGTCCACCGGATGGGGAGGGACTTCGCCACTCTATAAAGGAACTACAGCACGGTCACATGACTTCACGTCAGCACCGCTAAGCTAAAGGTGGCTAATGTTGGGCTATAAAGGAACTACAGCACGGTCACATGACTTCACGTCACCACCGCTAAGCTAAAAGTGGCTAACATTAGGCTATAAAGCAGCTACAGCACGGTCACATGACTTCACGTCAGCATCGCTAAGCTAAAGGTGGCTAATGTTGGGCTATAAAGCAACTACGGCACGGTCACATGACTTCACGTCAGCACCGCTAAGCTAAAGGCGGCTAATGTTGGGCTATAAAGGAACTACAGCACGGTCTCATGACTTCACGTCAGCACCGCTAAGCTAAAGGCGGCTAATGTTGGGCTATAAAGGAACTACAGCACGGTCTCATGACTTCACGTCAGCACCGCTAAGCTAAAGGCGGCTAATGTTGGGCTATAAAGGAACTACAGCACGGTCTCATGACTTCACGTCAGCACCGCTAAGCTAAAGGCGGCTAATGTTGGGCTGTAAGGGAACACAGAATTTTTTTCAGGCCAACAACCAAAACAAAACCCATTGACTTCAAGTTGAGCATCAGGAAGGGCTAAAATGCTAACTAATTTCTGGGTTTAGGCCTCATCCCTGCATCACTCCACAGAAGCCTCAGTGGGAAAAAAGCTGATTAAATTCTTTTTTTTTCAATAACACTCAGATCAAATCTTACAGGTGGACTATAAGCCAGTCACATGTTCTGTACGTGTGTGTATTTCTGCGAGGGGTTGGGGGGAGTCCCGGATTTGCAGTGTTTCTGGTGGGAGAGGGCAATGAAGTCATCTGACAGTTCAGCTGAGAGAGTCTTATAAGTTCATGCAAGGGTGAACTGCTGTAAGATTGAGTGAGAGGGACAGGGATGGGGTTTCTAAGAAAAGCAGAAACTGGACAAGCATCAGCCTCACTGTCAGCAGTCTGTGTGTGTGTGTGTGTGTGTGTGTGTGTGTGTGTGTGTGTGTGTGTGTGTGTGTGTGTGTGTGTGTGTGTGTGTGTGTGTGTGTGTGTGTGTGTGTGTGTGTGTGTGTGTGTGTGTGTGTGTGTGTGTGTGTGTGTGTGTAGCGACAGGGTTATGGTGGGCAGCAGGCATGCGTGAAAATCTCATCGAGGCCATCAGAAGTGTCTTTGTACTTTCTGTCTCTTTTTCCTCTCTCCATCCAGTTTCCACTCACTTTTTTTTTTACTGTACATTTTAAATAAGAATGAAAACAGTAGAATTAATACAAATCAGCTTAATGGGGCGAAATGGTTCAAGCATAGCTGAGGTGGAAAGGGTGTTAAACACATAAATTGGAAGCATTGAAGATGAACCTGAATTTTGGAACGGATCCAAATCGATATAAAAAAAGTTTCACTATAGAAACTACCTTAGCTATGTTGTTGGACCTGCTTTGTATCTGCAATGTTTCCCTTTATATATATATATATATACATAGTCGTTAAATGTTCATGATGTAGCTTCACCCAGCTCTTTCTGTGTGAGTACAATGAAAAGCAGAGTCACATTCTTTGGAAGTGCGCATATACTGGTCAATAAACAAATAAAAAGCAGTTAAAAACTCTTGTAAAAGGTTGCAAGTGCACTTTAAATGATGCCATTCAGATAATTTACCAATCATAGACATAAATAAGATAATTCTTTAAGAGGAAGGTGAAAATGACAGGAGAGCGGTCAAGAAACATTATTAACTCCCAGCTGTTAGTGTGTGTTTTTACTTTGTAGCAGGCCATGATCATCTGGTTGAGAAGTGTGGAGACAGAGTAGTAGGAGCCAGTCATAATACCTGCGGGCAAAACACAAAGAGAGTGCATCCATTAGGGTTATAACTGAGTTTGAAGATAATGAATGTATCTGGTTCAGTTTTCTAAATCTAATTCTGAATGCAAAAACAAAAGGCATATTTATATTATTTCAAAATACCAAACAGATCATGCATTTTAGCCATGCCTCATTTCGCTCAATTTGCACTTTTTTACCCCTGTTTTTGCAAGGGCTGATTCAGTGAGAACAGCACCATCTACTGGCCTGGCATATGTACTACAGCGTCTCCAGCGCTTTCGAACGGCAATGGCCGTGGCTGTCTCCTCCTGATTGGTGGAGTTGGCCCAATAGCCGTAGCGCCACCGTCCTGACGTCAGGACAGTGTTCAAATCTGGATCAGTTTTTATCAGATCCGTTGCAGCCCCTTTTTTAGAGATTTGGGTATGGAGGAAAATAGAGAGGGTTGTGTTTTCTGACACTTGGTGAGTTCCCTGGAACACCGGGGACACATATTCATGTAGAAAAGACGTACAAAAGTGCATTTTGCATGATAGGTCCCCTTTAAACAATGAGAAAACTGAAAAAGAGGTTGTTAAGGAAATCAAGGAGTTAGCCATCTTGTCTCCTTTTAATCTTGTAATAATCGTGTACTAGTGGAAAAATGGTGGCGGGTACAGACAAGACAAGTTCATGAGCCAAAGCGAGCAATTCAATTATCCTGACAGGATTTTAGCTGGGTTGTGTTAGAGAATGTGGGCAAAATAATCCAGTTAAATTGGCCTAAAAAACGATGTAACATTACAATTGACTTTGGCTATTTGATCACTGCTAATAAATACAACTATTTGTTTAAAGTGGAAAGTGAAAAATGTAATTTGGACAAGTTATTGAAACACTGAACCCTGTCAAAGTGAGTTTGGTGTGTCACACACGGAGTAGTCACATGAAACATTAGATGGTCACGCTAGAAACATGTTCTATATTTAGAAAAAGTTCTCAAGCAGGCCTTGGAAAGCAGAAGGACTTCATTTTCCTCATATTGTGTGCAATCCTACCCTACTGTAGTTTCCTTATGTCTTTTCAGGAGTTCAGACCATAAAGTACTTGATTAGAATAGATAAAAAACAAATGTTCCCATTCATCTGGTGGTGGTTTCTTCTCTTACCGTAGCTGACCAGCAGGAGGACGAATGCTTTGTTCTTCATCAGGTTGATGATGGACTGTTTGTAGGAGTAATCTTCACCTGGAGAGTCTGGGAGGACAGCCTGAGCGTGACTGGGAGGCAGGAGAGGCCGGTCCCTAATCACTGAACACAGAAACACAGTTTGGGTTAATAGAAAGTAGTTTTATAATCAGGCTATTACGTTATCATTATATTAAGGGCATAAAATTGTCTTAAAGGGGCTCTATTCTGCTGATGTTCAGGTGTATATCAGTATGTAGTGTCTCTACTTTAAAGAGTCCTCTCCTGCTGATGTTCAGGTGTATATCAGTATGTAGTGTCTCTACTTTAAAGAGTCCTCTCCTGCTGATGTTCAGGTGTATATCAGTATGTAGTGTCTCTACTTTAAAGAGTCCTCTCCTGCTGATGTTCAGGTGTATATCAGTATGTAGTGTCTCTACTTTAAAGAGTCCTCTCCTGCTGATGTTCAGGTGTATATCAGTATGTAGTGTCTCTACTTTAAAGAGTCCTCTCCTGCTGATGTTCAGGTGTATATCAGTATGTATTGTCTCTACTTTAAAGAGTCCTCTCCTGCTGATGTTCAGGTGTATATCAGTATGTAGTGTCTCTACTTTAAAGAGTCCTCTCCTGCTGATGTTCAGGTGTATATCAGTATGTAGTGTCTCTACTTTAAAGAGTCCTCTCCTGCTGATGTTCAGGTGTATATCAGTATGTAGTGTTTCTACTTTAAAGAGTCCTCTCCTGCTGATGTTCAGGTGTATATCAGTATGTAGTGTCTCTACTTTAAAGAGTCCTCTCCTGCTGATGTTCAGGTGTATATCAGTTTGTAGTGTCTCTACTTGAAAGAGTTCTCTCCTGCTGATGTTCAGGTGTATATCAGTATTTAGTGTCTCTACTTTAAAGAGTCCTCTCCTGCTGATGTGCAGGTGTATATCAGTTTGTAGTGTCTCTACTTTAAAGAGTCCTCTCCTGCTGATGTTCAGATGTATATCAGTATTTAGTGTCTCTACTTTAAAGAGTCCTCTCCTGCTGATGTTCAGGTGTATATCAGTATGTAGTGTCTCTACTTTAAAGAGTCCTCTCCTGCTGATGTTCAGGTTCATATCAGTATGTAGTGTCTCTACTTTAAAGAGTCGTCTCCTGCTGATGTTCAGGTTCATATCAGTATGTAGTGTCTCTACTTTAAAGAGTCGTCTCCTGCTGATGTTCAGGTTCATATCAGTATGTATAACACACTACAGGAAAGGGAAAACTTCAAAAAGCACATCATAATTAAATGATATGTTTATCGCAATGTTTAAACATCTGCTCAACAAGAGTACTTATTGTGACAGGAAGAGGCTTGCATGTCAAATAAAAAAAAACGTCCAAAACATTTGACTCACTTTGCTAATGCATGTCTTCCCTACATTTCCCTACAAGTTCCACTGAAGCTGTATCAGCGGCATCCGTTTGACTCTAAGGTCAGGTATCAGTATGAAAATCAAAAACACACCAAAATATGCTTGAAATGGATCATCTAATACACACCATATCTACTTGTATTAAAGTCAAATGTAAGTAATTAGCTGTGTGATAAAGTAATGAGAGTTGCCAGTGCTATTTTCCATATCCAAAACTGAAGAAACTGGTCCAACATGAAACACCTGAATTGTGTCTCATATTTGTTTAAAGCCAGAGGGTAAGGAAACCAGTATACATTCACTATTTCACTCTCTCCAAAACACCATGTACAGTATTGTTCATGTACATGTAAACACATTCTTCACTATAGGTCTTTCCCGAACATAATCCTATTTTAATCCTAATCCTGAACACAAGTCTTAATCCTGAACTTGTCACTAGGAGGTTTAAGGAGCAGTAAAATGTGGAAGATATCTGGAAAATGTACAACCTTGTGAGAACTAGTCGTGAGAAAGGCAGAAACACACAGAGACACACCTTTGTTCTGTTTTTCAAACGGTATGCTTCACCTCACATGATTTTAACGGCAATACAAAGCAACTGGAACACATGGCGACCATGAAGTAAATATATGCAAGAGAGTAGGGCTGCATAGCTTTAGCAATAATTATCTGAATGAAGTATTGTGGAGCTGCAGAAAAGTACAAGCCTACAAATAGTATGCTATAGACTCAATACAAATCCTTGTTTGTTACCGATATGCTTGAAAAAAGTCATAATTTCTATATATTTTTCAATGATAAAGTGAATAATGGTTTAAATATGATCCTTCCCTCGACTATTGCAAATCACATCGCAAGTCAAAATAATCGAAATTACCTTTTTTTTGCAAAATCGTGCAGCCCTACACAGCATGTATGTTAGTGTGCGTGTGCGTGTGTGTGTGTGTGTGTGTGTGTGTGTGTGTGTGTGTGTATGTGTGTGTGTGTGTGTGTGTGTGTGTGTATGTTCAAGGTTAGTTTATTTGTATAGCACATTTTAAAGGTCACCTATCATGCTATTTTTAGGCAATAGCATAGGTCTCAGATATATAAAAATATATAAAAAACATGTCTATGAAGTGTTTTGCTCAAAATACCAAACAGATCACCCATTCTAGCCACGCCTCATATCCCTCTATTTCACTTCCTGTTTCAAAAGTGCTGATTTGGGGTATCAAGCTTAAATAAAAAAAAAAGGAGGGGGCTGAGCTCATGCGGGACCCGGCAGCTACTGTCTAAACCAGGGGTGTCAAACTCAAGGCCCAAAACCGGCCCGAAGAATATTATATGTTTATTATACGGTTACATGATGATATACAGAAGCACGTTGCCCATAAACTACATGTCCCACAATGCATCTCAAACTAGACTTTTTTTCTCAGAATTTGACTTTTTTTCTTCAAAATATGCCTTTTTTCTTAGAATGTGCCTTTTTCTCACAATTTAAAATGTTACTTTTTTTTCAAAAAAGGTTACTTTAAAAAAAAGAAAATCACTTCCTTTTTTTTAAATGTCACTTCTTTTTTTTTTAATGTCACTTCAAGGTTCTTTATTTTGTCATACGAACATAGCTACAGTGTAGTTATGCCGATGAAAATCTTAGGTCACAGGCTCCTCCAACAGTGCAACACAATAACACAGATAAACAGAAAAATATAGTGCAAGTAAATAGTAAATACAAAAAGAAAAATAGTTTAAAAAAGTGAAATAGTGCAATAAGAGTCTATATGCAAGTTATTGGAATGATATATTAGATAAATAGATAAATAATTACTAAGTAGCAGATGAATGTTATGGATGTTGTTTCAGCAGTTCAGTTGTTTAACTTGTGACATTCTCACTGAAGAGACTTGCAATTATTTGCCCCAGACTTCTGCTTTCAGACGTAGCTAATTAAGAAGTTATTACTCTATCTGATAATAATTCAATGCAGAGGCAATAATGTAATATAATACATTATTTTATATATATATTTATGTATGTATTCTTAAAGTTACAACCGGCCCTTTGAGTGCAGCCATAATGCTGATGTGGCCCGCGATTAAATTGAGTTTGACCCCCCTGGTCTAAACTAAATACTGCCGTGATGGAAACGCCATATCATGGATTATCAAGGATTATTTCTGAATCAGTATGGGGCTCAAAGGCTTTCTCTCTTGCCGGTTATACCACAAGGTGAGTTTATTTTTATATCCAGCTTCTTCACACACATGCTCTGTGCAGTACAGGTTAGCTCTGAGTGTTAGCGATGCTAATGTAAACATGCACCGACCGTATCAAGTCCAAAACAGCCGGGCATTGTTTCTGATAGCAACGTTTCTGATAGGCCCGTGGGTGTAAAGCCAGTCTACATTTTCGATATTACGTCATATCGGACGCAAATCTGTATCAGCTCGTTGTACCCCCGTTTTTAGAGATTTGGGTACAGAGGAAAAGAGAGAGGGTTTTATTTGCTGACGCTGCGTGAGTTCCCTGACACACCGGGGACACATGTTTATGTATAAAAGACATAAAAAAGTGCATTTTGCATGATAGGTCCCCTTTAAAACACTGAGGCAATTCAAAGAGCTTCACATAGGCATTTAACACATAGTACTTTTTTAAAACAAAACAAACTCAAAAAGACAATTCACGATTGTGTGTGTGTGCGTGTGCGCGTGTGCACGTGTGTGTGTGTGTGTGTGTGTGTGTGTGTGTGTGTGTTTGTTTGTGTGTGTACCTAGAACAGTGAGGAAGAAGAGGGTGGTGGAGACGGCAGCGGTGCCGTAGAACATTTTGCTGATGTTGCGACCCGTCAGCTCAGGATCATCCGGGGTGTTGGGAACTAAAACTGGAGGAAGCAGGAAGCCGATCGCTGTTCCCAACTACAACAAGAGAAAGAGAGAGACACATAGATTGTTTATTACGTTTATTTTATATATATTGGTGTGTGCTATCATAGTACACATTTCAATTAAGCATGTAAGTATTTAGTGTGGTAAAAACTACTTTGTGCATGACTCACTTAGGAAGCATTTCGTTAGGCTTGACTATTATGTATTATTTTTACATTATTTTACTAGTCTATTCTGCTGGCAGTACTGGAAGAAAGTAATAAAGACATATAGTTGAACTTCAGTGAATACTAAAATAATATAACATGTTCCCAAAATAGTCATCTTACATACAGAATACTCAGCTTTGGTTCTTTAAGTATATTTAATTTCAATACTTCTGTACTTTTACTTTTAAAACGCCAGACTTTTACTTGTTACAGCTTTTCTACATTCAGGTAATGTTACTCAAATAAAATACTTATTCCCCCTGGGGTAATATTTTGTATAACTGACTACGATATGTAAATACATGTTTATCGAAAGAGGTAAGCATAATAATAAGTAGTAATTATATATATATATATATATAATTACTACTTATTATATATATAAAATTACTACTTATTATTATTCTCACTCTATACATTTATGTTGCATTGTTGGAGGAGACTTACTTATCTGACGGGTTATCTGTCGTCACTTAATTTGTTTCACTCTCTAAATAACCCTAACCCCTAGGATAAATGTTTGTTACAAGTACCCTTGATCGTTATTGTTATTGTTATAACCCCCCCCCCCCCCCCCCCACACACACACACACACACACACACACACACCTGGTTCCCCAGCACGGCCACGGCACAGGCAGTGGACACCTCCTTCGGTCCGAACCACACCGAGGCGACCCTGGACGGCAGGCCGAGGATGAACACCTGCGCCACGGAGCAGACCACCTGCGCGCTCACGGTGACTCCGAACCGATCCTGACTCACGCTGGCGCACTTCATCCACGCGCCTGCGCAGTTGAGTCCGGCTCCGAGCAGGGCCGTGAGCCGAAGACCCTTCCGGTCCAGGAGCCAAGTGGCCGGGAAGATGAGGGGCACGTAGGTCACCATGTAGACGATGGAGAGCCAGTCCACTTTGTCGCTGGTCACGCCGTAATATTGCATGAACACGTTGGTGATGATGCTGTACTGGATCCACTGGAAGGCGTTCGAGAGGGAGTACAAGCTGAACACCGCGAGCACGGCAAACCGGCGCAGGTACAGTTTGGTTTCCAGTATCGCACCGTGTTTCTCCTCCTCCTCGCCTCCTCTTCCTCCGTTAGGAAGCATCGCCTCTCTCTCATCCGCCGGCGGCACGTCCTTCTCCTGCGCCCCCTCCGGTGCTTCCTCCGCCGCGGCTGCGTATGGAGGCTCCGCGCATCGCTCCGTGTCTCCCTCCGGTTCCGGGATCTTCTTCATCACCGTGATGTCGTCAGGTGCGCCGGGATGAAGCTCCTGTACGAGCTCACCGGCCACCATGCTTGACGTTTTCTCTTATTTCCCTATGCGCGATGTGATGATGATATTAAAATACAGGAAGCGCGTTTTGGTTTCCTCATTCAGTTATGATGCGTATAATACGATATAATAAAGATTACACTACAGACATTTTCAAAACAACCTACGCAATACCCATCACAAAACATCCGATTATTCTATCTCCGAATCCTCTTCTCCAGCATGCTGCCTCTCTGTATGAGTGTGTGTGTGTGTGTGTGTCTCTCTCTCTCTCTCTCTCTCTCTCTCTCTCTCTCTCTCTCTCTCTATATATATCCTTTGTTCCGCCGTCGCTGACACATGCCTTCCGATGCCGATGAGCCAATAGTAGAGCAGCTTGCGGTATTTTACTACTGCCTGCTTGATGAATGAATGGTATTCGGCAGAGGTGGAATAATTAATCAGATCCTTTACTTAAGTAAAAGTAGAACATTGACATTTATTTAAAGAGGACCTTTTCTGCTCATTTCAGGTGTATATCAGTATGTAGTGTCTCTACTTTAAAGAGTCCTCTCCTGCTGATGTTCAGGTGTATATCAGTATGTAGTGTCTCTACTTTAAAGAGTCCTCTCCTGCTGATGTTCAGGTGTATATCAGTATGTAGTGTCTCTACTTTAAAGAGTCCTCTCCTGCTGATGTTCAGGTGTATATCAGTATGTAGTGTCTCTACTTTAAAGAGTCCTCTCCTGCTGATGTTCAGGTGTATATCAGTATGTAGTGTCTCTACTTTAAAGAGTCCTCTCCTGCTGATGTTCAGGTGTATATCAGTATGTAGTGTCTCTACTTTAAAGAGTCCTCTCCTGCTGATGTTCAGGTGTATATCAGTACGTAGTGTCTCTACTTTAAAGAGTCCTCTCCTGCTGATGTTCAGGTGTATATCAGTATGTAGTGTCTCTACTTTAAAGAGTCCTCTCCTGCTGATGTTCAGGTGTATATCAGTATGTAGTGTCTCTACTTTAAAGAGTCCTCTCCTGCTGATGTTCAGGTGTATATCAGTACGTAGTGTCTCTACTTTAAAGAGTCCTCTCCTGCTGATGTTCAGGTGTATATCAGTATGTAGTGTCTCTACTTTAAAGAGTCCTCTCCTGCTGATGTTCAGGTGTATATCAGTATGTAGTGTCTCTTCATGTCTCCAGGCTTTCATGTTCAAAAAGCTCTTTATTTTTCTCATACTGCCTGTGCTGCAGCACCTCTTTTCACCCTCTGTCTGAAACCAGAGCCCAGTCTGCTCTGATTGGTCAGCTGGCCGGCTCTGTTGTGATTGGTCAACTGCTTAGAGATGTCCCGCCAATTAGCCTTTCACGTACAATGTGTTGGAGCGCTAGCCAATACAAGTGCGAGTGTTACAATGTGATGTCACTATGTTCAGGAAGTAAACAAAGGAGTCCAATGGAAGCAGGCGGTGAGTGTGTGGGAGAGAATACATTATATCAGCTAAATGAACTCAAAGGTTCTTCATGAATGGAAGTATTTTAAGGTTAAGCCTGCACATCGACGGATGATAGAAAGAACTCAAACATTTTTTTAAATCACTTCAATATATCATGGGGCAACATTTTTTTCATTACTAGACTCATTTGTTTCACTTGAATACACCCTCACTCTTTTTGAAGCAACAATATATTCTTTGAAGTTTTAATCTTAGGTGATTTTATTTGTTCTGTAACGGCCCCTACACACGGCGGCGTGCGTTGAAGCATGCCAGCGGGCTTGTCTGAAGCTCGACCAACAACCAATCACATGAATCTCCCGCCCCGGACACACAAGCACGCGGTTTGATTGGCTAGAGCTTGTACTGGCATATGATTTGATTGGCTGACGCTTCCGTCGAAGCTTCAAAAGTAGAACATTGCTATACTTTTGAAGCGAGCAACGCAAAGCTTTGCTCCCACAATGCAGTTCGGCAAAGCGTGACGTCACCCTTTTCAAAGTGAATGGGTAGAAGCGTTGAAGCTTCAGCGCACGCCGCCGTGTGTAGGGGCCGTAACAACACACTGTTGCATTTTTTGACTACAAAGTTGGTAATTGAATCTCTGAGTTAATGCTCCTGCTTGGTTCTGTTCTCTCCATGAGCCTCTCCATGTGCTCAGGCCTTTATCTGCTCTAATCCTGATCATCCTTTGACCCAGTGGGACTGAACTGCAGCTACACGTCTGTTCCCACAGGAAACTCACTCAAGAGCTGCAGGTAATAAACATTTAGTTGTAGGAAGTTGGTTCCCTTGACAAAAAGGAATGGGATTTCCCTCTTGGCTTTTGGATTATTGTAAAGAATAACCTCGTTCATGATACTTCTGTTCAGCCAAAGGCAACAATCCCTGTGTTCTGACCCACAAAGGCTTGTATATGTCAATTCAACCAAATGGCATTTGATAGTAAGGAGTAATAACTGTTACGATTATTTGTACAGCTTGTTTTTACTGCGGCTGCATCAAATCCTCCTGTTGTATGTAGGTCTATCTCAGGAGGATCAAATAACCTCAGTGTAGTCGTGGGTTGAGAGAAGTGAGCTCTCACTCTGTCTCTGTTTTCAGTTACCAAGAGGAAATAATATGTATGTTGAAAATGCATGTAGCTTATTTGATACTGCAGTTATTTAAGGTAATATTCTGTATTTAATTGCATTTTATGATGCAACACGTTGTAATTAATTGTATATTTTTGTCAAAAGGTTCAATACATATTTAAATTTCCAAAAAGTATAATTTGTTCTGCTCACTTTTTGATGGTTTTGGCTTCAGGGGTAAGAAGAGTAAACGGCGGGGGAAAAAAGTTTCTGTATTTTCTCATTTTTAAGTATAAGGGAGGCAACTTTATAATCCATTTGTTGGCTCCTAACTTTTCCACAAGTAACACTAGTTTACAATATTACTGCATCTGTTATATATGTTTTATGTCTAAGCAAAAACATGGGAAACAGATAAGTCTAAAAGATCTTAAAGCTTTAACTTGTTGAGAGATAGTAACTCATCTTCCCAAAACACAACATATCTTTGACTCTACTTCTTCAGGTTTTCCGTTGCCATGTAAACAACAGCATCAAACACTGACTACTACACCATGGATAATTAACTGACTAAAAAGCGAAAATACAGCTACATAAGAAACATGTCTGGAGCAGAGCAGCGGGCTCTGACGGAGCTGAACGTGCGGAGGGAGACGTGGTGTCGCGTGGAGGGGAACCCCCATCAGGAGTGGGAGCGGCGCGAGAGGAGACACTACCGGAAGCACCTGCGCAGCACCGCGGGACTCCTCACCTGTCTGCCCGCCGGAGAGACCCGCAGCCCGGCCGGAAGAGAGAGGCCTCCCCCCTCTAATCTACCGGAGAGGAGGCACTTCGAGGAGAGCTGTGAGGAGGCTTGCTTTTTTTTTGACTGAAATACTTCTTTAGACGTAATGCATGGGAAGGTGCAGTGCTGGTGGTTTATGATTGGATAATAATTAAAGGATATTAACAATAAGGCTGGATGATGCATAACATTCATCTGTTTGCAACTTACAAAAGATGTATCTAATATATCATATTCCAATTACTTGTATATAGACTTGCACTATTTTAACTATTTTATCTGTTTTATTGTGTTGCACTGTTGGAGGAGGAGCCTGTGACCTAAGACAGGGGTTTTCAAAGTGTGGGAAGGTGAGCCTCCCCTCAGAGAACATAAGAACAGCGGCGCCCCCCCTCCCAATTATTATTGCTATTATTATTATTATTGTTGTTGTTGCTATAATGCAGGGGTATTCAATTGCATTTCAAAGAGGTCCAGTAAGATCAAATGAAGACTGTTTCTCTCCTCTTGTCTCGTCTCTGTGTGTGTGTTTGAATCTATCGTGCTGACTCACTGAGTGCACCGATATGATTGGCTGAGTAGCATCACCTCCTTAAAACATTAAACAATAACTTTTTAAAACATTTTTATCTTTATGTTTTAAACATGTTGTATAAAACTCCCCCACTACTTGGACTATTCTTTGCACCCCTCTAGAATAAGCCCGAATGGTCTCAACTTATAACAAGATCGCAAGGACACTGGTAGCGATCGGACAATTGAGTGTTGTTCAGTGTGTTGTGGAACATGCGTGTGCGTGCATGAAAATATACCACACACCCAATTACAATAGCATGTTCAATTCACTACCATGGAAGTTAATAAAGTTGTTAAAGTTGGAACAGCCTGTGGACAGCCGTTCTTCCTTGCATGTCAGTCGCTGACACCTTCTTACAGAGGACAGGCAAATCTAGCTGCAGCACGACCCGTATATTTTCGCACGGTGTTCTCAACACATATATATTTTTTTAAATTTACATTTTCAACATCGTGGATAAATCCTTATATGCTCCCGGCAACACACTGAACGTCAACTTTGCCTCCTTATTACACTCACCCCTACTTTAGTGGGAACAATGAGTCTGCGTCTTTGATGCACACAGGAATAAACGCAGATCATCCTCTGGCTGCAGCCTTCACCGGCACTTGCTTTTGATCAAAGTCAATGCGGAAAACCTGCACTCACACAGGTAGGTGGAGGTGAAGGGAATGAGCACTTTTACAGCCTTTTTGGCGAGGTGGGGGAACCCACAGTCTCCACAGACAGCCAAAAGTGTGCAAGTGTCACTTTACTCGTCTTTTTCTCGTTGTTCTTTTTCTCAAGCTGCGCCTCCCCTGAAGCTCTCTGGCGCCCCCCAGGGGAGGCGCGCCTCACACTTTGAAAACCGCTGACCTAAGACTTTCATTGATATATCTACACTGTAGCTATGTACAAATGACAATAAAAGCCTTGCATCCTTGAATGGTGCATGCAACTGGAGCCTTAACCCTAACCGCGATGCACCAATACAATAATGCAAAATAAATAAATAGTTCAAACTCAATACACTTTGGGAAAGGGTCAGCATTAATGTAGGATACACATCATTTCATGGGATTTAATCTGCATAAAGATTTTTAGTGTTGTCATTAAACTTATGTATTTATGGGACCCTGGTACCCCTCAAAAACACCCCTGGTTGCTATATCCTGGCTCCTACATGGTGGACTGAGCTCCCCATTGACATTAGGAAAGCAGAAACTGCATATCTTCCCTTGCAAACTGAAAACACATCTATTTTAAATTTGCTTTTGCACTTATTGTAAGTTGCTTTGGGTAAAAGCGTCACCTAATGATATGTAATATGTAATAATGTATTATCTTGGTCAGGGTGTTTTATGTCATGCTGTCTGAATCTGTAACGCCTGTTTGTGTTCTCCAGATGAATCACAGCTGGTGTAAGCTACCTGACGGGAGCTGATACAACAAACATCTGAACACACTGCACATTTGAGTCTTTTAATAAATAAATAAAACACATACTGTAAAACAATACCCAAAGGAAGTGATGCCTTTGCTTTTAGGTGATACACGTGTTGTACTTTGTCTTGAGGATCTGTGTGTGACTCTAAAGCTCATGTTGCATTTGAAACTTGAACACATTTTTGAACACCTGTTAGTGAGTTAGCAGAGGTTCAATATCTCCATCACTATTGTCAATTGCCTTGAGATTTGGCAGCCATTCAGTCAGGATGAATGATTACAAAAACTATATATTTTCACTTTTTATTTCAAATCAATTGCAGGTCCTGCAGGGCAAAATTCCACTTGTGCAACAATTGGATATAACACAAAATATAATCACTAAATCCCAGTCAGAGTAGCTGTTTATTGAGCTTAATGCTAATATAGTATACTAACAAGCTTTGATGATTAAAATTGTCAAATGTTATCATGCTAAAGTCAGTATTAAGTAAGTGTTGTGCTATACAGATAGTCCTTTATGTATTTATGTAGCAGAATACATACAGTAAGTAGGTTTTGTTAGCAACATTTTCAATTATACGCTAACAATGTTGGTTAGCATGCTTAATTTAGTATTAAGCTAAGATAAGAAAGATATTTTTTCATGGTACAAAATTTCGTTGCACAACCTTGTGTTATATAATTACAATAAATTATCCTTGTATCTTTGTGACACAGCTGTGGCTATAGAAAATGCTAATGCTAAGGTTCATTTCCAAACATAGGACAGATCCTTTTGTTGCCTCTGGCGCCCCCCTCAGTCCAAAGCTCACACGTCAGAGACTTAAATGCTGCATGTGAGTTTTCACTTGTGGGAAAAGCCTGAGTGCGTTTTGTGCGGTGACGATCTGAACAGTTTGTGTTGACAGACCTTTGACGTCAGCGATGTGTCGGCAGCACAGAGCGATGTTACAGGGCTCGTTCCTCTCCTGGGAGACAGGAAGAGACAGAAGGAGGTTTAGAAATGGAAATGTCTGAAGCTGAGAGACAGTGTGACAGAGTTTAGATCTTCTGAAACTCACGTGCTTGTCGAGCCCGAGAGCAGGAGAGTCCGTTTCCAGACAGATGTTCTCCAGAGGGATCTGCTTGATCAGTTTGTCTCTCTGTGGAGATGTTCACTTTTTATTATTATTATAATGGACTGATGTGACAGAAGTCAAGAAGATTCACTCTCATGTTGCTCGTCTTCATAGGCAAGGCAAGCTTCTTTATATAACACCTTTCAACACAAGGCAATTCAAAGTGCTTCATAGTGGAGATTTAAGTCTTATTTTTCTTAATTCTTTCTTACTAAAGTACATTAGGTTTCATTGCACAGAGTACAGGTACCAACACGACTACATGGAGATTATCATCTAATGAGAAGTGTAAAGATAATCAGTAATAACTCAAAACAATGAAATATAAAATCCAGGACTAGGAACGCTGTGTCTCGGAGCTTTGACCGTGTTTTTTGTTTTAACACTGTCGTCATACAATTAGTAAAAAATGCTTACAAAGGTATTTCTGTTGCACTTTTAATGGGATATATATAAGAGTATTTTGACCTGTGAAATATACACCTGGTCACACATACAGAGCACACAGCACACAGTGACATGTGTCCTCTGCTTTTAACCCATCCTAGCACCAGGAGTCTAGCACTAGGAGCAGTGGGCAGCTATTGTACAGCGCCCGGGGAGCAATGGGAGTGAGGGGGGGGGGGAAGGGGGGTGTCCGGTGCCTTGCTCAAGGGCACCACGGCAGGGCAGGAGGTGAACTGGGACCTCTCCAAGTAGCAGTCCACACTCCATATTTTAGGTCTGGTCGGGGACTTGAACCGGCGACCCTACGGCTCCCAGTCCAAGCCCCTACTGACTGAGCCACTGACGGACAAGTAAAGAAAGAATGTTATATCAATTTAAATTCCTATATGTTTCTGTTTTTCTCTCCTGGTGATTCCTTAAATACAAAGTGTGAATCCCCCCACCTGGTGGTTCCTGCAGACCGCGGGGGGGAAGGAGAAGAAGAAACCAGCCTTCACTCCCTCCAGAGCCACAGAGGGCTTCCCTGCAAAGTTATGAAGCAGCGCTCGACTGATACCTGACGGGGAAATCAGAAAGAAGTGTCATTACATGTTAACTTTAAATATTAAAATTAAAGCAAACACTCACCTTGTTCTCTCATCGTCTCTATGGTGACTTTAGCAGCAGATCGTGAGTGGACGTTCCTGTGAAGAAAACAGGAAACAAGGAGACTGATTTGACCATCACTTTAATGCTGTCTCTTACCTTTACGCATACAGTTATTGATCACATTTACATTCTATGTATATGTATTTGTATGCTGGTTTTATCCGGCTCACACAGGCAGCTGCAGCTCCTTGGCGACGCTCAGCTGTTTGATGAAGACGCTCATCTGATCCTCTCTGTCCTGAGGAGAGGGAGCACACCACGGAGTGAAGTCTAAACCAATCTGGAAACAAACAAATAAAACAAAATGACTGATTATATTCCAGCAGACATTATGAAACCACCAGAGACTCTGCAGGGACAATTGTTTGTTTTAAAACGATATGATTGCTGTCAGGCACAGAAAAGTTACTTCATGAGGCGCGTTCACACCGCAGTACTTTTCCCACTTTAGTTCCGATATAGTTCCGAAAATGTTCGTTCACACCAAAAAAATCCGGAACTAAAATGAGTTCATGAGAACCTTTTTACCCCCTTTTCCGTCCCTGCTAGAGAGCAGGGACTTTCGTGGGAGAAAAAGGTTCCTATTTCTGATTGGCTGGGCGGATTGCAAACCACGCTCCGTAAAACTCCAAAAAGGTTTTGTGAAGCCGCCATTTTATTATCCTCGCATTAGCATCATTAGCATTATTAGCATTAGCATTAGCCCAGCGCAGAAACGCAGAGAGACTAACTTATGGCAACACAAAATAAAACATGGGAGCGGTGGAGATGAGGAGGTGTCGGCGTTCTGGCGATTTACTCGGAAGGCTTCAGTAGAAGCTGCTGGGAGTCCCAGCAGCTTCTACTGAAGCCAGTCCCCAACTCCGGGGACTTCCGGCCGGGGACTCCGGGTGGCAGTATACCCCGTGAAGTTGTTTGCGGCCTGCCAGTAAACCCAAAGCAGAAGAAGAAGAAGTGACGTCAGCGGCTTCATTTGCCTAATCCTTCCCCAGGGAACTTATTCCGGTGTGAACGCGATCTGTACTTAGTTCATGAGAACTAAAGAGTTCTGATGAACCATTAGCCGCGTTCACACCGGAGTACTTTTCACCGTACTTTTCGCGTTTAGTTCCGTTAGTACCCCTTATGTCGCGTTCACACCAAAAATCGTACTTAATCTCGGGAACTTTTAACCCCATTTTTAGAGCCCGCTGAGAGATCGTACTTTCCTGTGGGTGAAAAGTGCCCCAGTGCTGATTGGCTGGGCGAATTGCAAACCACGCCCCGTACAACTGTGAAAATGTTTTGTAGAGCCGCCATTGTTTTTCCTCGCTACAAAACCCCAGCGCACCGACGGAGTTGTTTTTGAAAGCAGTTATGGCAAGCATCAAGAAATGATGAGGAGGTGTCGGCGCTTCTGGAGATCTACGCCGAGGACGCGACCCAGGGAATGCTACTGAAGCCAGTTCAGTAGCTTTCACTCGACCTGGGAATCGTGCACAGCCCCACGGCACACCGTCTAAAAATAAAGAAACTCAGGCAGGACTACAAACGGCGGATTCAGTGGCCAACGATGACGACCACGACGAAGGTAAAATCAACTACATGCACTGGGGTTTTAATCTGCACAATAATGGTCTCAGATGTACTTTTATTTGCTCAGTAGATCAAGCTAGCCATGCTAGGCTGAATAGGCTAACACCGGCCCCGAGCTAGCTACATCTAGCTAGCTAGATATTCTCGGCCGCTATGAAAACGTTTTGACTTGTAAATAACTGTGCAGTGTTTCTGTAATTTGCTTCACTAACTCATGGCACTAATCGTCTGTTTCAGGCGAGGATGGACAACTCTCGGGATTGGAAACAAGCGAGCTTTGCATTCTAGATCACAGCGCTAGCTCGTCCCCCTTACCAGCAACCAAACGCAAAGGTACACACACTGTAACTTTGTCTTGAAAGAACGTTATGCATCGAACTGATGTTCACAATCATGTTTATTTCCTTCTTGGTACAATTATGAAACAGCGTGAAAACGTATTCGCCAAGACCGGCATTTACAAATGTTCGCGCCTTTTTACTCTCTCACAAACATTGTAAACATCCGGGCTAGAGGTCACATGACTTCCGGTACGAAAACTTGCCTCAACAACATTAAACAAAGTTCAAGCATACATGAAGCACAATCCTCCGTGTTTGAACCTTTTAAATCGCTGCATAGCCGATTTATTTGGACTGGATTATCCCAGAGAGGCCAAACATTCTTTATAACACAGTTTCAGATTTGTGAAACCTTAATTCTATTTGTGAAAATACAAAAAAGGGAGATTTCAGTGCTTTTTTTACATGTAGACCACATTAGACCAGGTCCTGATCTAAAACCACTATAGCTAGACTCATCAAATCTGGACTGGATTATCCCAGAGGGTCTAAACATTCTTTATAACACAGTTTCAGATTTGTGAAACCTTAATTCTATTTGTGAAAATACAAAAAACACATTCCTAGTATGTTGTAAAACTACATGGCGACTAAACAGATCTTGTATCCTGCTTATCTTCCCCTCTTAGGAAAGCGGACACGGGATGCGAATTTCTTTGACACCGTCCAGGCGTTGGAGGTCCGGCGTGCTGTAGTGAAAGAGTCGATGCACGGAGATCAGATGGTGCTGTTCACCAAGGCCCAGGAAACGGAGGACAAGATGCTCACCAGTTCATTTTATATTATTGTTATTACTGTTATTATATTATTGATACAACTGACACTTTATTTTATATTGATAATGTTAATTTACATGTACAACTTCTATTTTATTTACATTAAAAATGTGAACTTCTATTTACTGTTAAACAGATCCTGTAGCTTGCTTATTTCTCCTGACACTTTATCTTTAGTGACCCGTGTAGCATCCTATACATCACATGTAAGTGATTATTCTGATACCATCATGTTTCATCTGTTATAAACTGGCAAAGCTTTATTTGTCATTTATTTATCATCAATGCTGCAACCTTGTGGAGGAATGGCAGGGGCACATACACAAATATGATAATTTATATAATTTAAAATATTATTTGACCTAAAACTAAATGTTTTTATGATTGTCCTCTGAGGAGGACATGGGGATTTGCAAACCTTTAATTCCCCCCCCCCATTTTACACAACACAAAATGGAGTCCACTATGGGCCGAAACTAACATGTAGTTTTCCATAGTGTTTATGGCAGACGGATGCAGTGGGTCTCAGGAAGATATATAATAAATAATAACGGTGGGTTTGCTGCTGAGCCTATTTACTGTGCATACAACACACCTGGCACAGTTTATTGTTATTATATTGCCACACTGTACACTATTGTAATGTTGCCTGTCTTGACTGGAAAATAAAAGAGAAACAAGCACTGTACAAAAGATCAGCTTTATTGTCAAAATGTTTACAATGTACAATTTAGACGCTGTTCAGATGCCTCATAAAGCTGGGTCGCCGGTAAGGCAGTCCATTCGTCCCTGTACTCATTACTTTCACAAAGGTTATGTAATATGCAACATGCTGCCACCTGGATTTTGATCTTGTCCATCTTGCAGTCGTTTCTTTTCATCAAGCACCGCCACCTGCCCTTCAGTCTGCCAAAAGCGTTCTCCACCACCACTCGTGCTCGGCTTGTTTTGTTATTGTACGCAAGTTGCTCAGGATGCATTAACTCAGTTACAAAGCTGTATAACATGAGCACAAACAGCACAACTTCAGTCGACTCCATCTCCATCATATCTGAGGTCGGAAGGTAAACAACAGACGCCTAATGTACAGCGAGTGGGTGGGCGTCGCAGTATACGCGGGAAGTTTTTCTTCTTCTTCTTCTCTTGTTTTGCAGCGGATTGCAAACAACTTTAAGGTGCATACCGCCACCTACTGTACTCGCCGTGAAGTGGTTTGTGGCCTGCCAGTAAAGCCTAAGCAGAAGAAGAAGAAGTGACGTCAGCGGCTCATTTGCGTAATCTTCCCTCAGGGAAAAGTGTGAACGCGATCGGTACTAAGTGCCCTGGGGTTAAAAGCGCCGGGGCTCTTAGTGCCGGAACTAAGTACTGGAAAGTACTTGGTGTGAACGCGGCTTTTGTGGGAAAAGTACTGTGGTGTGAAAGCACCCATTATCCTGAAATGTGGATGAAAAAAGTTCAAGAACATGTTTGGTCTTTTTAAACTTACACTTTTAATGAAGTGTATGTCAAATGCATGTCTTTAAAGGCTTCTTAATGCTCCCATGATAAACTGTGAACATTTTGAAATGTGCCAAACTTTACACAAAGACTTTTCAATGCATAGACATGGTAAAGATGTTAACGTCGAAGTCAGATCAGATTAGTCTTGCTGATGAGAACAGCCACAGCTAAGTCAATTTTCTTTTTTAGGCAGCCAGAAATCAAGAATGTTCCTCTGAGGACCATAAAATCTGTCAAGTCTCAAACACTTAATGTTCTGACGGATGCCATGTATCATCCTCCCCTGTAGAAATGATCATTCCCTGAACCCGTGCAGGTGAAAACGCCAGAGGTAAAGAATGATTACAGACTCAAAGATCAAATCAAATGTGTTGAGTGCAGCGACCCACGATAGAGTTGTGGAAACATCAGTCAGACTGTTGATTCCGCCGTGTGGAGCCGGAGATCTGCTCAGAACAACACACACATTCCTCACGACCGCAGAGTGAAGGGTGTGTGTGTGTGTGTGTGTGTGTGTGTGTGTGTGTGTGTGTGTGTGTGTGTGTGTAGTCTACCTCTCCAATAGCCACGAGGCGTTCTCTGTGTTTCGGCAGGGCAGCATCAAGATCCTGTAAAAAACAAAACAAATGTGAGTATTTATCATAAATGTAACAACCTACCTTCAGAGAGGCACATTTCTGTCACTTGCACCATTGTCTTGCACTAATTTATCTTGTCTTGCACTATCCTTACCGCTCTTTAGTATATTGTATGTTGCATTGTTGGAGAAGCCCGGGACTTGAGACTTTCATTGCCAAAACTTAGCTGTAGCTATTGTGCATATGACCTTAAACTTTATTTAGCTTAGTTTAGATTAGTTTGTGGGAACTCTAATCTGCAGCATTTATGGACCGTCTTAACATTTCATCCTCATTCTCGATGATGGAAATCATCACGAGGACTTTGTTCAAATAAAAACGCAGCTTTTTGCAGCAGGAATCACAACGACATCAGGGTGCATGGATCACATTTTAAGGATTGTAAGAGACCTGCCCTTTAGAGTTAATCCTGGCTCAGCTGACTGACTTCAACACCGTATCAAGAAATTGGAAGGGATAACTTGTCAGTGATTATTATTCAAGAGAGAGGATGAAACTCTGAAGAGGAACAACTCACCATTTAAACTTCATTAGAGCCTGTGCTTTATGTTGTAAAATGGAGCTCCTCTAAAGGAAAAGTTGCATACATTTTTGTACTTTTAATAATAAAAATAAACACCCCTCCATCTCCTCCAGAGGCTTCAGAGTCCCCCCCCCCCCCCCTCCTCTCCTGTTTCCCTCTAACAGGACTCCACTGTGCCGGTGAGATACAGTTACTCTCAGAATAAATAAAAGTTGAATGATTTAAAAAATGGACGAGGAGCAGTCTGTTTTCCTACCTGAGGATTCACGCTGCGCTGCCCGCCCTCCTGCAGGGGGTGGAGCCCGAAACATGGAGCCACCAGATCTGGATAACTGTGGGAAGAATTAAGAAGTAACACCCTGAATAATACATATGAAGCTACACCGCTGAGCAGCTGCACGGTGCAACGTAAACACTCTCATTATTTCCAGCTATGAACACAGAGAGCGAGAACATTTAGTTCTGCACTCACTGTCTGTTGTTTCTGGATTTTCTTTAGTATTTATTTTGGGCGAAATATATACATTTGCACATCTCGATCTGAACATTTCAGTTACTGCAGTTAACGCTGAGTTGATGGACAAAGCATGTTAGCTAGTAAAATAGAAAATGGATGCAGGTATGTGGTTGCAGCTATTGCAAAATAATGTTTTTACTTTACACACATATTCCACAGGTAGAACATTTGAATCATTTTAATTTGTCTCATTTTTTGGCGCCATTTGAAAATGCCTTTTATATTTGATTCATCATTGCACAGGACTGGACTTTTTATAAGCTCCTTGTTGTTTTTAAACCATGTAATCTGATTAAATCTATTAATTGCATTTCTGCCCCCTGATTTTAATTCATTTGTGTTATTAAGTTATTTTTTACACAATAAAATGTTCATATAAAACAAAATAAATCATGCCAAAGTTGTTGTTTTTTTGTTTAAAACTAATGTGTTTCTCCTACTGAACCAGCCACTACACAATATGTTATGAGACAGACACTTTGTAAGTGCTAGTACTGAAAACATAACTCTGAAGACACACTGACCGGTCCTGAAGCTGCAGAACTCGGTCAAACTCTCCGACTTCTTCTGTCACTGCAACCAGAGTCTTTACCCCGGCCTGCACACACACAGATTGAATCATACAAGGCAGCTTGATTTGTGATATATTGCTAGTCTCTTGAGTCTCTCACCGACCTCTTTAGTCCTCTGGATCACATCCTCCAGATCCTGCAAAGACGGAAAAAAAGATGGCACAGTGGTAAGAGAAAAATAAGTAAATGAGAAAATGAACAATTTAACAAAAAACTGTTACAAACAACTGCAGTGTGAATGTAAATGATAACATTGTGGTATATAGAGGGGGGAGTACAAGTAGAAGTACTCAGATCTTGTACTTGAGTAAAAGTAGAAGTACTCAGATCTTGTACTTGAGTAAAAGTAGAAGTATTCAGATGTTGTACTTGAGTAAAAGTGGAAGTACTCAGATCTTGAACTAGAGTAAAAGTAGAAGTACTCAGGTCTTGTACTTGAGTAAAAGTACCAGAGTGTTCCAAGTACCAGAGTGTAGGAATACTCTGTTTCAGTAAAGGTTCTGCATTCAAAATGTTCCTCAAGTAAAAGTAGAAAAGTATTATCATCTAAATATAGTGAAAGTAGCGACAGTAAAAGTAGTCATTGTGCAGATTGGTCCATTTCAGAATAATATATATGATATGTTTTATAATGATTGATCATTAAAGTGTTCTCAAAGCTGGTAAAGGTGCAGCTAGTTTGAATGACTTTGTATACTGCAGGGTAGCTTGTGGATTTACTCCAGGTGGAACTAAAGTCTGATTTAACACTTGATTATATTTCACATCATTCATCCAGATCTGTAAAGTAACTAAAGGTATTCAATACATTTAGTGGAGTAAAAGTACACCATTTACCTCTGAATTGTAGTGGAGTAGAAGTACAGAGTAGTATAAAATGGAAATACTCAAGTAAAGTACAAGTACCTCAAAATTGTACTTAACTTAAGTACTTAGTTACTTCCCACCTCTGGTTGCACACATACAGCTTTTATGATTAAACATCAATATTTGTAATGCAAATACACGCTATACTTTCATGTAGTCTACAGAGGATGCAATGAGGACCAAATACTTATAAAAACAAGCTAGGTTTTCTGGTTGTTTAGTCAACTTAATGCTTACCTTTTCAAACTCACGGGCTGAAATATGACAATGGCAGTCAACAAAACCATACTCCATTGACAAATTCTAAAATAATAAGAGTTGCAAGTTCAAATCACACACTAAAAACAGCGATAAATGTCCATGTTGTCGTTGTATTAGCTAACAGCCAGGTGGAACTATTGTGCGATTGTAGACGTGTGTTTCCGGGTACGACGTACGCAGTCGCAACCCGGAAGTTACACGGTCTTTTGAAAAATGTAAACAAAGTTGGCGGTAAAGATGGAGCCGGTAGAGAGAGAAGACACAACTGAGGAGTTCAGGGTGAAAGTAACGTCGAAAAAACAAGTAACCCAGCAGATTAACGAATATAAGAAGATCTTACAAACGGCTCTTAACGGACAGACGGGCGTTGCCGAGGAAACGAAGACAAGTTTACTGCACGAGCTGCTGGCGGTTAGTCTGTTTACATCTAAAACTGTTGGTGTTTACTTATACTGAACAAAGAACATCAAGATACACAGAGGAGGGAGAAGTACTCAGGTCGTACTTAGTACAAGTAGAAGTACTCAGGTCTGTACTTAGTAAAAGTAGAAGTACTCAGATCTTGTACTTTAGTAAAAGTAGAAGTACTCAGATCTTGTACTTGAGTAAAAGTAGAAGTACTCAGGTCTTGTATTTGAGTAAAAGTAGAAGCACTCAGATCTTGTACTTGAGTAAACGTAGAAGTACCAGAGTGTTAGAGCCACAATGAAGTCAAAGTTATTATTTAGATTCATAATTTGATAAATGAATTAATGATGGAAAATGATTTATATTGCCATGGTGAATATATTTTTGATGAAATGATTGTTTATTTTAAATCGTAAAGAGAGGGAGCGGAACAGTTTTTCGACCGCAAATTGTAAACAGAAATTAGTGTTGCAAATTGGACTGCAAAGTATAGTTTATATAAGAAAGTATATCGCAGAAATATTGATTTAGATTTGTTATTTTGAGACTATTTAAGTCAATACTTTTTTGTTAATAAATTACATTTTTTGACTGAAAACTTTCGGCTGCTTATTGCTTTGGATTGCGTGTTGTCAACCCCGCTCTATAGTGGCATCAAAGGAAACCTTGGATGCCACTACACAGAGTGTAGGAATACTCTGTTACAGTAAAAGTCCTGCATTCAAAATGTTCCTCAAGTAAAAGTAGAAAAGTATTATCATCAAAATATAGTGAAAGTAGTGACAGTAAAAGTAGTCATTGTGCAGATTGGTCCATTTCAGAATAATATATATGATATGTTTTATAATGATTGATCATGAAAGTGTTCTCAAAGCTGGTAAAGGTGCAGCTAGTTTGAATGACTTTGTATACTGCAGGGTAGCTTGTGAATTTACTCCAGGTGGAACTAAAGTCTGATTTAACACTTGATTATATTTCACATCATTCATCCACATCTGTAAAGTAACTAAAGGTATTAAATACATGTAGTGAAGTAGAAGTACACTTTGTACCTCTGAATTGTAGTGCAGTAGAAGTACAAAGTAAAGTAAGTTTTTGCTCTGAGTGATAGTAAACTGAATATAATTGTTATGAACGGACCAATCAAGACAACTTCAGACTATTGGTATTTCTCATCATTTTTGACATTTATAGACAAATGATTAACCAAGGAAATGATTAGATTAATCAATAATAATAAGAATACTTTGTTGCTGTCCTAAACAGCCCTAGAAAACATTATCTAGGATACATTTGATAAAGCATCACAGCTGTAATATGGACTCTTTGTTTGATCTGTGCAGAACTTGGAGGCGGCGGTCCAGCAGAACGTGTTGGTGAACGGACAGCCATGGGAGGAGGCTCCTGATGTAGAAGGTGATTCTCTACGATGACATCACTCTAAAGTCTCCAGCCTTCAGCAGTGCACAGTGTTCATGTTGCTTAAATTAAAGTAGTATTTATTACATTACATGTTAGATGCTTTTATCCAAAGCGACTTACATACTCAATACTGTGGACAAACCCCACAGGAGCAATTTGGGGTGAAGTGTCTCAGGGACACAACGACATTCTGACTGCAGTGGGACTCGAACTTGCTATCCTCTGATTCGAAGATCAGCGCACTAACCCACTGCGCCACACGCCTCCCTTTTAAACAACAGTTGTCTGTGTCTCACTCTCTGCAGAGGAGGAGCCTTTGGATCTGGAGAGCCTGCTGGACGACACCATCGTAGAAACCACCAGGAGGCGCCGTGCGTACCCCAAACAGATCCTGCCTCACGTGATCCACATGCTCAGAGCTGAACGCAAACTCATGGTGGGTCTCACTCAGAGGAGGGAAGTAGTGGAGTACAAATACTTTGTTACTGTACTTAAGTACATTTTTCTGGTATAAGTACTCCACGACTTATTTTTCTGACGGCGTTTTACTTTTACTTCTTACATTTTGAACACAAATACCTGTACTTTCTACTTCTTACATTTTGAACTCAAATACCTGTACTTTCTACTTCTTACATTTTGAACACAAATACCTGTACTTTCTACTTCTTACATTTTGAACACAAATACCTGTACTTTCTACTTCTTACATGTTGAACACAAATACCTGTACTTTCTACTTCTTACATGTTGAACCCAAATACCTGTACTTTCTACTTCTTACATTTTGAACACAAATACCTGTACTTTCTACTTCTCACATGTTGAACACAAATACCTGTACTTTCTACTTCTTACATGTTGAACACAAATACCTGTACTTTCTACTTCTCACATTTTCCAAACAGGCTGGTTCCTTTAGTTTGAATGTGTGTTTGGTGGCGTGATCATTATTATTTATAGTCATTGCGTGCCTATTGATTTGAACACGATCCGTGTATCCATCATTTCCTGGTCTTCTCTAAAGAAGAGGGACCAATGAAAACGTTGTCATGTTGCCGTTGTTCAGCATGGAAACATTCATTAGCTAACAATGACATTATTGTTCTATTAATATAAAGGGAGGTCAGGTACTCTTTAAAACAGCTGCTAGTTATGGGTACTTTTTACTGAAGTACATTTCAAAGCCCTCTTTACTTTTACTTGAGTAAAGAAGTTTAGTCAGTACTTCTACTTTCACCAGAGTATTTTTAAACACGAGTATCTGTACTTCTACTTGAGTAAAGGATGTGTGTACTTTTGCAAATCTGTGTTTACAGAACGTTAACAGACACTGGACGACAGTCAAAACATACACTGGGATTAAACAAGAGATATCCATCATTTCACAGATTAATGCTCAGTCTGACACGTGTGTGTGTGTGTGTGTGTGTGTGTGTGTGTGTGTGTGTGTGTGTGTGTGTGTGTGTGTGTGTGTGTGTGTGTGTGTGTGTGTGTGTGTGTGTGTGTGTGTGTGTGTGTGTGTGTGTGTGTGTGTGTGTGTGTGTGTGTGTGTGTGGGTGTGTGTGTGTGTGTGTGTGTGTGTGTGTGTGTGTGTGTGTGTGTGTGTGTGTGTGTGTGTGTGTGTGTGTGTGTGTGTGTGTGTGTGTGTGTGTGTGTGTGTGTGTGTGTGTGTGTGTGTGTGTGTGTGTGTGTGTGTGTGTGTGTGTGTGTGTGTGTGTGTGTGTGTGTGTGTGTGTGTGTGTGTGTGTGTGTGTGTGTGTGTGTGTGTGTGTGTGTGTGTGTGTGTGTGTGTGATGGAGCATCCAGAGCTTCCACTTTTCTAACACACTGTGTGTTGTTTGTGTTTCAGAAACTGTATGAGCACGCAGTCAAACCTCAAGAGCCCTTCAAAGATCCCGAACAAGGTTGTTATCTTTACTCACTTTTACTTACACACACATTTTAATTTGACTGTTGTCTAACCCTCTGAAAAAGATACTTTTACACTTCAATATCTGAGGGTTTGCCTGAACCCTGCACCTTATATCCAATGCTTCTAAATCTGCTCAAGCTTAAAAAAAGATATTCGTTATGTGAAGTCTTTGAAAGCTCATTGCACTTTGTGGTTGGATGCAAACTGCATTTCGTTGTGTGCGATGAGCATAAAGTTGAATTTGAATCAGCTGGAAAACGTTCTAACGGTGATGTCTTTGTTTTGTCATCATCATCTAACCCACCTACAAGTGTGTATTGGAAGTATTTCCGTCTCATTAAAGCGAGCAAGTCGTTGTGCACACACTGCTCTGGTGTCCTGTACATTTCTTCCTGTCTGATACTCAGAAGTGTTACTTCTCCTAAAGCTGGACATTTGAAAGTGTCTCACCCCCCTCTTCGTCTTAAACCGAAACGCCCACACGCATCAGAAAGCTAAATGCTTTTTGTTCTCGTAGACTACAGAACCAAGAGTGGGAATACCGAGAAGCAACGAGTTATTAATACATCATACATACAAAGGTTTTAAAGAACGGTAAAAGGCGTCCTTATCCGTTACTGTCTTGCAGTTGGCTTTAATCTAACTCTAAATCTGATGTGTCTTTTCTTTATTATAGCCGTAGCCTTAATATGATTAAAATGTATATTAATTGCAATTTATTTTCAATTTATTTCATTAATAGTTAACGGCACATTACACCAAACTCAATTTATGTATATGTATATATGTGTGTAGGCATCATCAACTTAATATGTAATATTTCCCTCACCATACATGTTCCATATTGTGATATCAATAAAGCAGAATATCCTACATGTTTGTATGTTTACATTTCTTAATATCCCAATTAATTAATCATCAGGCGTTGAGACTCATTTACTCATCATGCGTACTCAAACATAACTAAATATTTTAATTTGTATGTTTTATAAAGGAACAACTCACATAGTGGAATGATCCACTTTGAGTTTACCTGCTGCTGTGTTTGTGTCTCCAGAGACCATCATGAGGGATCTGTCAGCAGCAGCTCCTGTGGTGGTGACACAGGCCATCCAGGTCATCAAGGTAACACACACACACACACACACACATACATACACATACATACACACACACACACACACACACACACACACACACACACACTCACACACACACACACACACTCACACACACACACTCACACACACTCACACACACACACACTCACACACACACACACTCACACACACACACTCAGACACACTCACACATATACACACACACACACACTCACACTCACACACACCTGAACACACACACACCTGAACACACACACACATACATACACATACACCTGAACACTCACACTCACACACATACACACACACACACACACACACACACACACACACACACACCTGCACACACTTTTGGCTCCAAACCGACACATGAACAAGTGGATTTAGCAACAGCTCTGTAGATGTTTTATTGACACATGATTGTACTTGTGTCCCTCAGTCCATCCACACTCTGCAGAAACAGGCTGAAGGTCTCTGTGAGATCCTCAACACAAAGACGAGCGCCGTCACGCTGGAGATCCACAGAGAAGTATTCGGGGTCAACGACCAATCAGACGCAGCCTCGAGGAGCCGGCAGCCAATCAAACGAGCCATAGAGGAATCGGCGGCTGCAGGATGCTACGTGGCGCTCAGTAAGAGACACTCAGCGGAGAAACACACAGAATGACCCCCTGACCCCGACACAAGGACTCGTGTTTCTGAACATTTTGAGCGTTCTTCCAAGTGTCTCGTCAGATGTTATATTGCCCTCACTGGTCCATCCTATCATTTATAATACTGCTTTAGCAAAGACTTGTTTTCCCTTTTTGTTTTTTACATAAACCAGTGTATCACTTATTAGTCGTAAATGCCATATTAACGTTTAGAAACTATGTTAATTCTCTCTGGTTTAGAAGGAGTCTTCATTTTAACGAGCATCTGAATTTGTGAAACAATAAAGTGAAAGTCTTTAGGACGGTAAGTGACAATAGCTCCTGTAAACATTGAATAGAAAACAGTTACAGACACTTTCTCCCACTTTCAAATGTAACTTCTACGTCCTTTAAATCTATTGTTGGTTCATATGTTTAAGTTAAGAACATTGACTGCTATTATAAAGTGGATTTTTAACAATGTTTATACTTCATGATTGATTGTTCTCCCATGGGTTTACAAGACACCAGAAATATAGTTGTAGTAGAACATTCTTTCATGTTCAAAAGTTACTATGTGAGCTATTTCCGTCAGTGGCTCAGTCAGTAGGGGCTTGGACCGGGAGCTGTAGGGTCGCCGGTTCAAGTCCCCGACCAGACCTAAAATATGGAGTGTGGACTGCTACTTGGAGAGGTCCCAGTTCACCTCCTGGGCCCTGCCGAGGTGCCCTTGAGCAAGGCACCGGACATCCCCCTTCCCCCCCCCACTCCCATTGCTCCCCGGGCGCTGTACAATAGCTGCCCACTGCTCCTAGTACTAGACTCCTGGTGCTAGGATGGGTTAAAAGCAGAGAACACATGTCACTGTGTGCTGTGTGCTCTGCATGTGAGACCATTACAGAGGGGTTCATCCCGCCCTATTCTATTCTATTCTATTTTACAGTTTGGTCTTCAACAGAAATATTCAGCCTTTTCTGAAACTGTGCAAAAAAGATGTGGATGTATTTCCCAAAAACAGTACATCCGAGTGAGGACATTAACCCTTAGATGCCCTTTGAGTGCCTGGACCCTACTCTCTTCCATAAGTGGGTCAAAAAGGACCCGTATTAGAATAATGTGTTTTTATGTCATTTTGGTTAAGAAAAATTACTTGTATAATATTTAGTATTATATTTTGGTTCACACTAGAAATATTTTATATTTAATTTTTCACTATTTATAATTTTAGAAACTTTTTTACATTTTGAAAAAAAACGTTTTGAACATATCGATGCAAAGATCTCCGCTATTCTGAGACCCTCACAGTATTCCAGTCCCTTTTCAAAACTCATCTCTTCTCCTCTTGTCTACTCATAGCCCACCCCCCATCAATCCATGCCGGTTGATCAAGTTTGATAGTCCTATACCCCCCACCCTAACCTTCCCTTATATTGTAAAGCGACTGTGAGTCCTTGAAAAGCCCTATTCAAATATAATGTATTATTATTATTATACTGACAGGTATCAGATCTTGCTGTGTAAAGTAATCTTCCTGAGAGGTGTCACTTGTGATGTAGTCTGTGTGGTCTACAGTGAATGTATTCCTGACAGCAACAGGTGATAAGAATCAAAGGTTCCCATAGGATCACATAGAAAATGCATGCGGGTCATTTTTGACCCACTTATGGAAGCTTGGGGTAGAAATACAAAAACTACAATTTCTTAAAATGTGAATGTCATGATATCCAAAACATGTTTTTTGAGGAATAGCTGGAATATGAAATGATAAAAAAATGTAATTACAAAGATACTTCAAGAAAACCACCTCACCGGGTCAAAAAAGACCCACTTATGCATAAGGGTTAAACCAATAGTGAACTCACTGAAGTCACTTGCATGTCGTTTTTCTTCCTACAGAATGAGTTTTGTTTACACCACACAACAACCATCTTTCTGTATACATGAGAAACCTGTTGCTCCTTTATCGCCTTGAATATCACAAATCATCATGTTCTGGTAAACAAATTGCAAGTCAAATAAAACACGGATAGTCCCCGTTTTAAAGGACAAGGCTTGCTTTATTCATCTCTGTTATTCTTTTGTCAACATTTGTCTTAAAATACTTCTGAACTCGCCAGTTCTGGTTCCTCCTGAAGATGTCACTCAAACAGGAGGAAGTACACCATTTTTGGGGACTATTTTTAGCTGTGTATTAACATACATTTTGGTGTTTGAGTGTGTGTCAACAGGATGGGGTGTGTGTGTGTGTGTGTGTGTGTGTGTGTGTGTGTGTGTGTGTGTGTGTGTGTGTGTGTGTGTGTGTGTGTGTGTGTGTGTGTGTAGCCGTGTGGTTAAACGTTGACCGGGTGGCCCCTGAGTCATGTGACTTATATGAACTTCCCTCGCTGCTTCTTCTAAAACGGCATCGAAATTGAAAAGTGAAAGGAAGGAAAGCTGAAGTGAAACTGAAGCTGGAGGGTTCGATCCTCTCCGGACGCCGTGCCTTGTCCACACATGGCACCTTTAATTCTCTGACAGAGGGGAGATCCTCCTGCTGGGTTTTTTATTATTTAAATGCATCTTTTAAAATCTCTGCGATGTCAGACTCCTCCTGCAAGTCTCCTGAGAAGAAAAGCCAGAGTAACGTCAGTGAAGGATGTGAGGTAAGAGCTCTCTGTGCTGATTACGCTTTTTATTCATCGTGCAATCTGCTTCTTAACCCAAAGAGAAGTCAAGGTCAAAGCAGCATCTTCTAGTTAAAGGCTTTTAGATACATTTGGATATTAAAAATGATGAATGATGATCAATCAGTGACGGCTTATCTGTATATTTTTGCTGCAAAATGGAAATCTGGTTTCAATAAAGCCCACAAAACATTTAAAACTATATTAGACTACAAGAATGTGACAATCCTTATTGAATGAATGAGTATTGTTTATGGTGTGTGTGTGTGTGTGTGTGTGTGTGTGTGTGTGTGTGTGTGTGTGTGTGTGTGTGTGTGTGTGTGTGAGGTCACTTAATATTTCATCTGCTCAAGACAATGGCAATAAATCACTAAACGTGCTGCATGGCAGGACTGAGTAATATATCTAAAATCAATACATTTAGACGATACATGGTTACTCATATACGCACTACAGATGTGTAATATCATGACTGCGTGTGTGTGTGTGTGTGTGTGTGTGTGTGTGTGTGTGTGTGTGTGTGTGTGTGGCAGGGTTCAGAGGATGAAGGCAGGACGATGAAGAAGAGAGAGAAGAACAGAGTTGCAGCGCAGAAGAGCCGAAAGAGACAAACTCAGAGAGCCGACCTCCTGCATGAGGTGTGTGTGTGTGTGTGTGTGTGTGTGTGTGTGTGTGTGTGTGTGTGTGTGTGTGTGTGTGTGTGTGTGTGTGTGTGTGTGTGTAAGTGTGTGTGTGTGTGTGTGTGTGTGTGTAAGTGTGTGTGTGTGTGTGTGTGTGTGTGTGTGTGTGTGTGTGTGGGTGTGTGTGTGTGTAAGTGTGTGTGTGTGTGTGTGTGTGTGTGTGTGTGTGTAAGTGTGTGTGTGTGTGTGTGTGTGTGTGTGTGTGTGTGTGTGTGTGTGTGTGTGTGTGTGTGTGTGTGTGTGTGTGTAAGTGTGTGTGTGTGTGTAAGTGTGTGTGTGTGTGTGTGTGTGTGTGTGTGTGTGTGTGTGTGTGTGTGTGTGTGTGTGTGTGTGTGTGTGTGTGTGTGTGTGTGTGTGTGTGTGTGTGTGTGTGTGCACCTTTCCTTCCACCTTTGTGCAGACCTTAGCAGACTTAAAGTGTCTCTTCTCAGTTCCTCACTGCTTCAAATGTTTGTTTTAATGTAAAGGTTTGGAGGGAACAGGGATCCTCTGCAGACCATTCACACAAACCTAAAGAACACACTAGAGGAGGGGAGAGGGAGAACCCCTCTCCTCTCCTCTCCTCTCCCCTCCTCTCCTCTCCTCTCCTCTCCTCTCCTCTCCTCTCCTCTCCTCTTAATGCCCACGGGGTCCTTCCTCTTGCCGATCCCTCGTGTGCTGCCATTCTTCCATGAGCTCTAAAATACCCTTTCCCTTAGATTTAGAAAATTAGATGATGTTGTTTTAATTTCCTCACAGTCTGTTTTGATAATCAGTCAACGCTCTTTAGTGGAGATCAGCTCCAGGTCAGGTGTGTGTGTGTGACTCTGCACCTTTGTTCATAAAACTGTTATTTGAGAGTAGGTGGGGCCTTTTTTTGATGATTATCCCGCCTCTCCGCCCCATACAGAGGACTTCAGGATGTACCCTTTAAAATAAATGGTAAACTGTTATCGTTGTCAAGAGGTTTAGTAATAGTATTGTGATGCATGACGTGCAGGAGCTTCCCTGTAAGGCACACGTGTCCAACTCAAGGCCCGGGGGCCAAATCAGGCCCTTGGTGGATTTAATTTCGGCCCGCCGGATAATTTCTAATTACTATTAGATCTGGCCCTCCGGTATATTGCACCTTCACTCCATCCTGAGGGTTTCCTCCGCTCAGAGCCTGACCCCAAACATTGATGAACTTGCACCCAAGATGAGATGCCAAGTATCTGGCTTGAGCTAGCATCACAGAGCAGCACACTGAGTTTACATGGATGTTTCCTTCTGCACTTTTTCTCTCACGACAACAGGGCATGTTTGGTTTGTTCTTTGAGGGAAATAGTTTTGTTGAAGCTGTTGTTGGCCTGTGGGAAAATGTAATCATAAGAAATGACTCTGGAGAAGCTGCAGATAGAGACATAAGAAATGAATGCAACTGATTATTTAATGTTTAATGTTGTTTTTATAGGCAATCATTTAAGCTTTGTTAGTTCCAGGTTTAATATGTGCAATAAGTTCATTTCAATACGTTCTGCAATAAACATTGAACCAGTCCGGCCCTCGACTAGTACCCATTTTTTTATTTTGGCCCACTGTGTATTTGAGTTTGACCCCCCTGCTGTAAGGTGACGATAACAGGCTGGGGAATGCAATCATTTGAGTGCATGTTTTACAAGTATCTCCTCTTTAGGAAGCACAAACTTAAAGTGATCACATTTCCTTTTAAACTCTTAACTTTCTCATTCTGCCTCTTCTCTCCTCTTCCTTCAGACCTGTGAGCTGTTGGAGCAGAGAAACAGGAAGCTGAGGAGAGAGGTATGACAAATATATGCATTTATTTAAGAAAGCATCTGTTTGTGTCATTATTATACTTTTTCAAAAGTCATTTTGGACCTTTGATTCACCTGGAATTGATTTATATATCTGTGTTTCTGCAAAAAAAATCCTCAGGTGGATTCTCTGTCTGAGGAGCAGCGCCATCTTTCCGAAACTCTCTGTGCCCACGAGCCTCTATGTCCCATGATGCATTGCTCCTTATCCTCGTCCAGCCTGCAGACAGACACCATGACAGCCTGCAGGACTTTCTGAGCAGAGATCACCTGCTGAAGGTTCAGGAGAAGACTAGGAGCATTAAGAGAATACAAACAAATATTTAAAGTGGACCTATCATGCTATAGTTGAATAATATAGTGTAGGACCATACCTATATAAGGCATATTTATACTTTTTTTTTTTCAAAATACCAAACAGATCATGCATTTTAGCCATGCCTCATTTCGCTCAATTTGACATTTTTTAGCTCTGTTTTTGCAAGGGCTGATTCAGTGAGAACAGCTCCACCTACAGGCCTGGCATATGTACTACAGCGTCTCCAGCGCTTTCGAACGGCAATGGCCGTGGCTGTCTCCTCCTGATTGGTGGATTTGGCCCAATAGCCGTAGCGCCACCGTCCTGACGTCAGGACAGTGTTCAAATCTGGATCAGTTTTTATCAGATCCGTTGCAGCCCCTTTTTTAGAGATTTGGGTATGGAGGAAAATAGAGAGGGTTGTGTTTTCTGACACTTGGTGAGTTCCCTGGAACACCGGGGACACATATTCATGTAGAAAAGACCTACAAAAGTGCATTTTGCATGATAGGTCCCCTTTAAAATGTATCCTGAAAAGATGAGATGGAAATGTATTGATCCCCGAGGGGAAATTCAGGTGTTTATAGCAGCAACAGGGTCAGAGTTAAAAACAGGATTCACACAAGGTAAAAATACAGATAGAATAGAATACAAATTAAGATAATAATACAACAAACTGTGGTTATGAAACTGGATATGTATGTTACAACGTGCATGATGAAGCAGCAAACAAAGACAAAATATGGATATTTTATGATTGATAATTCAGAAATAGTGCAGGCTGCTCTGCTTCTTCTGTGGGTTTTAATAAGGACCCAGGGTGTAATTCAGAAAAACACCCATAGAGGGCGCTGTTCTCCATGTCTAAAGACAGAGAGGGGGCTTTACAGGTGTAAAGAGGAGCAGGAGCGCCCTCTGGTGGAGAATCCTGTATTACATGAGATTATATATCAGTAAGTAATTATAGGTACTGATTTTGCTCATTTGTGGAAAAACACAACTTTAAATGGTTGATCCAAATCCGTTATTCAGCTCATTTATAGTAGTTTTTCAAATGTATGAATCTATATGAGTCTTTATTTAAATAAATATTCAAAACAGCATGTGTTGTCGTTTTTGATTTCCTGCAAAACATCAAATTGTAAGAGTGTCCAACTATTAGTGTTGAAGATGTGAAGGACTTATTCATATTAATACCTGCAGGCTTTAGTTCATAAATTGATTCTTTACATGACAGAATGATATTTAATTTACTAAAATGTATGTCGTAAGGTACATTCAATTAGATGTAATTGTAATATAGTTTTAATGTGTTTTGAATAATTTTTAACGTGTAGAAAAACAGAAATATTACACATTACAGAAGGAAAATTAAAGCATATATCGTCATTTTTTTTGCTTGAATATGACATTTTAAAATGGCATGTTTGCAAAAAAACCTGTGATTCATAAAGTCAGCATTATGGGAACTGATGTATGGAAACTGCAAGAAACCTCACTTGTGTCATGAGTTTCCTTGGTGACTGTGGCCATGTTTGGGCACGTGCACGAGACATATTCTGGGATGTGACCTCGTGTTGAGTTAATGTTGGAGTCACAGAGGATCATAAGTCTCACCTGCATCAGAGCTCAGAGTGAGGTTACGTTAGACGACACTTACAGAAAGTTATGCTTCCCTAATTTGACCACAAAGTCGCAAATAATGAAGGGAAGTCCTCGATGCGTCAGTGTGGGAGGAACGCTGCAGAAAAAATCCTTTGTAACTTAAAGTGGACCTATCGTGCTATATTTGAATAATATAGTGTAGGACCATACCTATATAAGGCATATTTATACTTTTATTTTTCAAAATACCAAACAGATCATGCATTTTAGCCATGCCTCATTTTGCTCAATTTGACATTTTTTAGCTCTGTTTTTGCAAGGGCTGATTCAGTGAGAACAGCACCACCTACAGGCCTGGCATATGTACTACAGCGTCTCCAGCGCTTTCGAACGGCAATGGCCGTGGCTGTCTCCTCCTGATTGGTGGAGTTGGCCCAATAGCCGTAGCGCCACCGTCCTGACGTCAGGACAGTGTTCAAATCTGGATCAGTTTTTATCAGATCCGTTGCAGCCCCTTTTTTAGAGATTTGGGTATGGAGGAAAATAGAGAGGGTTGTGTTTTCTGACACTTGGTGAGTTCCCTGGAACACCGGGGACACATATTCATGTATAAAAGACGTACAAAAGTGCATTTTGCATGATAGGTCCCCTTTAAATATGTGATCAATAAAGCAGAATAATACTTAAAATAAAAAATGCTGTTAGGAGACAGTTTGGCCCTTTCTCATTTCTCTAATTTCCCCTCCTTGACTCCTTGACTCCTCGGTCCTCCGGTAGTGACCCGGAAATGGATTTCAGCGCGCCATGTTGAAGGACATCTCATTTCTCTAAATGCACATCGAGGACCGAGGACCGAGGATCGAGGAGGCTCTCTGGAGGAGCTATAATCGAGGATACACTGATGGGTCCTCCTCGACTCCTCTGCTCGCATCTCCTGTGGGCGGGACTAAGACACGAGGATAGGAGTCGAGGAGGGGAATTAGAGAAATGAGAAAGGCCCTTGGTCTTTAGATGGAGACACACCTGCTGCAGGGAAAGCAAATAAATACATTATATATAATAATAATAATAATAATAATAATAATACATAATTGCTTCTGATTTGATTCAGGGAAATTGTACAGCACAACATGTCTCTTTAATTATGATAATCTTTGAACAAATAAGTAGAATAATTGTAAATTAAAGTGGCAGGGAAACAGTAAAAGTGCAGCCAGCAAAGACAGCATCAAAAAATAATAGAAATGCTAATTGTGCTGAATTTTAGAGTAGAACTATTACAGGATGCTCTCCTTCTGAAGTTAGCAAAGGAAGATATTTGGGGATAACATCTTGTGGCTCTCATGTCCTAACATTACTTTAGAGTCACAGAGCTAATAGATACATGTCTGGGGATGAGGAATCAAAACTCTGCGGAAACATGGTGGGAATTCTTTCCAGAAATTTTGGATTTATGTCTTCCCCTCTCACTCTCGACATACTGCATTTACTGACCATAGAACACCAGCATGCAAACATTTGATTTATTCTTTAGCTTTTCTTTTGCCCAGATATTTCTTTTGCAGGTTGCCTCTTACAGCCTGTACAGTATGCACTCGTTTTATTGTCATGTTAGGTAAATAGTTTTTTTTAAGTTTCTCAATGACGCCACAGGAAGCCAGATTTGAGCTCATCTCCAGTACATGCATTTTCTTTTCTTTTCCAGGAGGATGTTTCTTAAAAAGCCTTTTAGCTACTTTCCAGGGTGTGTTTGTTTATTTGTCTCCTTGGTGAACACCAGCTGGGTGGGGCTTGTCAAACCGGATATACACTACTGGTAAAAATGTCAAAAGAAAACTTAAAAACATGACTAAAATGCACAGCGGAGTTGGGCTTGTCTGCTTTTCTTTGACTTCACAAACAGAAACTGTCCTTGCGGGTTTAACTCCACCCACCTGGGGCTCAAAGCTGATTAAAACAAGCGCTCAGTGTTTGTTTTCGGTCTCGTTTCACAACCCAGAAACTGAAGTCACTCTGAAACTGACCTCAGATCAGTTTCACAAAGTGAGTTCCGGAATCAGCCGGCGTCGTAACAACACTGGTCTGGTGTCCTAGCAACCGGGGGAAAATAGTACCTCAACAGGAAGTAACTGGGACAGAGCGCTTCTCAGAAATAACAGCACGCCTGCACACACACACAACAAACAAACACACACAGTTATGACACACATATTTGTTTACTTAATATTGATTGATGACCAAGATCTATCTCTGACGAAGTGATTTGAGTGTCAAATCATATCAATACAAACATAAATCATGCATTCGTTGCAAGTACTCAGATCTTGTACTTGAGTAAAAGTACTCAGATCGTGTACTTGACTAAAAGTAGAAGTACTCAGATCTAGTACTTGAGTAAAAGTAGAAGTACTCAGATCGTGTACTTGACTAAAAGTAGAAGTACTCAGATCTTGTACTTGAGTAAAAGTAGAAGTACTCAGGTCTTGTACTTGAGTAAAAGTAGAAGTACTCAGAACTTGTACTTGAGTAAAAGTAGAAGTACTCAGATCTGGTACTTGAGTAAAAGTAGAAGTACTCAGATCTTGTACTTGAGTAAAAGTAGAAGTACTCAGATCTTGTACTTGAGTAAAAGTAGAAGTACTCAGATCTTGTACTTGAGTAAAAGTAGAAGTACTCAGACCTTGTACTTGAGTAAAAGTAGAAGTACTCAGATCGTGTACTTGACTAAAAGTAGAAGTACTCAGATCTTGTACTTGAGTAAAAGTAGAAGTACTCAGGTCTTGTACTTGAGTAAAAGTAGAAGTACTCAGAACTTGTACTTGAGTAAAAGTAGAAGTACTCAGATCTGGTACTTGAGTAAAAGTAGAAGTACTCAGATCTTGTACTTGAGTAAAAGTAGAAGTACTCAGATCTTGTACTTGAGTAAAAGTAGAAGTACTCAGATCTTGTACTTGAGTAAAAGTAGAAGTACTCAGACCTTGTACTTGAGTAAAAGTAGAAGTACCAGAGTGTAGGAATACTCTGTTTCAGTAAAAGTCCTGCATTCAAAATGTTCCTCAAGTAAAAGTAGAAAAGTATTCTCATCAAAATATAGTGAAAGTAGTGACAGTAAAGTAGTCATTGTGCAGATTGGTCCATTTCAGAATAATATATATGATATGTTTTATAATGATTGATCATTAAAGTGTTCTCAAAGCTGGTAAAGGTGCAGCTAGTTTGAATGACTTTGTATACTGCAGGGTAGCTTGTGAATTTACTCCAGGTGGAACTAAAGTCTGATTTAACACTTGATTATATTTCACATCATTCATCCACATCTGTGAAATAACTAAAGGTATTAAATACATGTAGTGGAGGTTTTACAAAACCCGCTGTGTAAATAAGTGAAAATGTCTTGATAATATCTCCATTATTTATGACCAGAGCAGTGACTCATGGCCAATATCAGTATTTTAGCGGTGAACGATGAATAATCT